GTTCTAACAAGAATAGTGAAAATTTTCCCTTAAAGACTTTTGAACAAAGAAATAAAGAAAGCTGGATTAAAATTAAGCCCTGGGTTACGGCTAATCGGCCTTTGAACAACTGTGCCCTGATCTAATAGAAAGTCAAAATAATTATAAACATGCTTCGGGGAGTGGCTTATTAATATGCATCACATGTGTAAGTTCTTCATTTTGAGAGCACTTTCACTTTCGAAAGGGGAAGAATAATCTATCCTGGTAGTCATGACTCCAACCTTTAGTCATTATTATAAATAGAAGACAATTTAAGAACTCATGGCCTTCACTGTTAGTAATTCTGTGTGAAAACGCTTGGAAAATGCAGCGTTCGCGCGTTCGGGAAAACTATAGAAAAGCGTTCTGGAAAACAAGCTAAATACTAGCGTTTTCGTGGAGCATTAAAACAATCGACAAACATCATGTTTTCATGGCCTTCACCATCTGTAATTTCATGTGAAAAACGCTTGGAAAATGCAGCGTTCGCGCGCACGGGAAAACTATGGAAAAACGTTCCGGAAAACAAGCTTAACACTAAGGTTTTCGTGGAGCAGAAAAACAATCGACAAACATCATGTTTTTATGGCCTTCACCATCAGTAATTCTGCGGGAAGACGATTGGAAAATGCAGCGTTCGCGCGCACGGGAAAACTATAGAAAAACGTTCAGGAAAACAAGGTAGAGTTTTCGTGGAGCAGGAAAACAATCGACAGACATCATCTTTTCACGGCATTCACCGTTAGTAATTCTGTGGGAAATTGCTTGGAAAGTGCAGCGTTCGCGCGCTGGGGTAAACTATAGAATAACGTTCAGGAAAACAAACTATACTCTAGCGTTTTCGTGGAGCAGGAAAACAATCCACAAATATCGTGTTTTCATGGCCTTTACCGTTTGTAATTCTGTGGGAAAACACATGGAAAATGCAGCGTTCGGGTGCACGGGAAAACTATAGAAAAACTTTCAAGAAAACAGGTGATTCATTGGCATTTTCCTAGTGAATGGTAACATGCGATAAACTTCGCGTTTTTCTTGAGTTTTACTGAGGGTGAACAGTAAATTTGCCATCCTTGCTCAGATATCAGAAAACGTTAGTATAATGTTGAATTTCTCAGTCTTTCACCATTTCGGAAAATTAACGATGAACGAGGGATTTTGTGCCGTGCGTCAGAAAAAATGAAATCACACATCAATTAAAACTTTTGAGCAGGATTTACATCCACAGAACCACCTTCTAACGGAAAATTTACCTTTGACTTGTTCGTTACCTGTACCGGTGTCATGTTTTCCCCCTGTTCCATCGCCTTTCGGGTGCTCGCTCGTAACAGCTGGTACGATGTTTTGCTCCTTTCGTGGGTCATTTTTCGGACTATGCTCTTGATTAGAACCACAACCTGGGCAGAAACGGAATCCAGGTTGCAAACGCGTGTCTCCACAATTTGAGCACTTCATCGTGTAAAATCACGGCTGCATCACGTTGTTTAAACGCTACTCGTGTCGCAAAGATATGTAGCCATTGAAGAGAAAATTACGCGTCGTGCGCTCGCATTCACATGATCCTTGCAAAGATGAACCTATTCTTAGAAATCAGGCGGAAGTGCTGGGAATAAGAGACGACATCTGATTGGCTTCCAATTGTTAAGAGGCTGTCTCTCTTATTTCCACCCGGTCAATTTTGCGTCAAAAATTTGCCCTCTCGACATATTTGAAAAGGCGAATTTTAGCATATTCTGACCACTAGAAATCGCCATCGGCCGATGGCCGTAAATAACCTTGATTTAGACGCTAAGTTTTGGGATTTGAGACCTGGTTGACGATTCTATCCTAATTCTAATTATATGATATCAAACTCCAGAGAGGGCAAATTCTAACTTTCTTGGCAAACTAGAAAGGTTTTTAAGCAATCTGATATAAATTCTGTGGCTTAACTATGCGAATCAAATATTTTACAACGTTACAAAATATGCCTATTTTTCAATTTTTGAGACGTTGCGACGGTCCCTACGGACTGGGAAATAATTATGGCCCGTAATGCAGTCAGAAAATTATTTCGAATCAAACCAAATCTAATTTAGTTCTTTCCTAGGTAAAGTCTTTCTGTTAACAGAGTTTCAGGCAAAATTATTTTTGATGCAAAATTGACCGGGTGGAAATAAGAGAGACAGCCTCTTAAATATTGAAGAAATGTAAAATGGTTTCCGTGTTTACATAGTAAACACGCGGGAGGTTGGGAGAACACGAGATAAGCGTAGGAAACCACGACACGAAGCGGAGTGGTTTCCAGCTTATCGAGTGTTCTCCCAACCTCCCGTGTGTTTACATCAGGCTATGTAAACACGGAAACCATTTTACATTTCTTTTATAAAATAACTAATGAAAGAGGAACGAAAACCGTGTTTACATACGCTCATGTAAAATGGTTTTATGGCCAATCAGAGCGCGCGTACTATTCGATTTATTTTATAAATAGATTAAGCCAAGCCTAAAAGCGGAGAATAAAGGGGTAAGTTTCTAAAGAAACTGTGGTGCTGCGTCGGTGGGAGAGTATAGCAGGTAATTTAGTATTAACAACTGGGTTGAAAAGGTAAATCAGCCACCGTAAAGGGTAAAAAAAGCTGACGTTTCGAGCGTTAGCCCTTCGTCAGAGCGATAGTAATCATCGATGTAAATTCAATCGCTCTGACGAAGGGCTAACGCTCGAAACGTCAGCTTTTTTACCCTTTACGGTGGCTTATTTACGTTTTCAACCCAGTTGTTAACACTTAATTACCTGCTAAAAGCGGAGCCCTGGTTAGTTTATTTTCTAGCCCCTCATTATAAAACTCTTCCGCACTGACTGTAGAAGTTTTTCCAAGGCGATCAAGAGACTGGTCCGGGGGGTAGGGAGGGAAGGGAAGAATCGACGAGATCTGGAACCTGGGGACGACGTTCTCACAACTTGCAACGCGATCAGGAAAGCAATATATATCATCGTCCTATCATCGACCAAAAGCAGATTCAGGGCAAAGATCATTTGCATAACTTTGCACTGTAAAATCTTTCGATTGGAACAAACATACAGTTCTTTTCTGTTTGTAATAAATTATCTTTACGTTTTATTTGACCATGATCTCTTGGTTTTTGTTCAACATCTTATTTGCTACTAATAAATATATTTGCCAAGGGGTGGTCCAGTTAATTTTTAACACTCATGCATTTTTGTTTTGCGGCTCGTGGGTAAATATTGGCGGGAAATCTAAATGTTTGGTAGAAGAACAAACATGGCTGATAACAGTACACCTTGGGCTTCAAGATGGACCGTACAGTTTGACCCTTATTCCGGGTATGTTAACGATGAAAGCAGCGCTGACGAACTCATAAAACAGTACGAGATAGCTACGACGACACGCTTCAGTGTATTTAAACCAACAGGAGGATTTTCAAATCGCAGTAGGCTGGGTAAGTAAGCTCACATGTAAAGATTTACAAAACAAACCATACTGACAGTAAAGTAAAGTGAAGTATAACTTTATTTAGACACTATAGGTATTTAAAGCCAGGGGCGTGTGAGATCGTGTTATTAACATGAAATATAGATAAATCAAAATAAAAAAAGGGATTTAACTTTTTTCCAATAATTATTGATATCTTAAGAATACATGTACACATCATTATTCTTCGGTTTACACTGGTCAGTTAGACTTTCAAAATTAAAATATAATTAAAATTCAACTTAGCTTCAAGTGTCAATTTACTGTGAGCCTGCAGCAAGAGTTGGCAAGAAATGCTTAATTAATAAAGATTAATCTTAAAGTGTCAAAACCCTACTCAGTGCTATTGACACACAGCTGCCAGCATCCCCATCCATTACACCAGTCCTTGGGCTACATCTGGGTGGGGCAGGCTTGATTTTCAGGCCCTCCATTTTAAGCACCCATGTGTATATATGTACGTATGTGTTTGTGTACATGTATCGTATTGCTAACTTAGCTCGGTTCCTCTTCTCACATAAAAACGTAGGAGTAAAAGAAAATGCAGATAAAAATGCTCAGAACCACTGTATACAATGGGCTTACTCACAGGAGATGACAGGATGCAGACTAAGTTTTGATGGCATCCCATTCCAAATTGTGGGGGTCAAAGTTTTAGAATATGCCAAAATGGGCCAGACAGAAATAAGGCACTCAAAAGGAAGGAGGCTCAAAAGAGACTACAAAAAGATGTAAGCATGCATAATAATTAACTAAATAAGAATGTAAACAAGATGATATTATTACTTAAGGACTCCCAAAGAGGATATCATATATAGGGCATTACATAGTTATTGATTTACCTTCACCTATTTGCTCTTAAGCTAACAAGGTGGTAAGTCCCAACTGATTTTTCTAAGCAAGTTGGTGAGCACTCACCTCTCCCTCAGGGCTAATAGCATGCAATAATGTTTTCTTTTTTACCACTTGCAAGTAAATGGACATATCACATTTTATTTGTTAAAATAAGCAAAGTCGCAAAAAAGGACCACTGTGACTGCAGTTTACAAGGTAGGAATCAAGTACTATTTTAAAGGATACTTTTCATTACTTCTAAGTTTATTGATAACTTAACTATTCCCATATGACTGCTCTATCTAACAATCCAATAAATCTATTTGGTTTCAGAAGGAGAATGCTGATCACTGCTATAACAACACCAAACAGCACTTTAGCAAAGATCCACCTAAGGAAAATAATCAAGTATCCTGAAAATAAGGTCAGTTTATTTAAATTATTGAATAAGGGTTCAGGGGGCACTACCATTAACATGAATGATCACTAGCCTAATAAAGGGTGCTTAATCCCGATGGGCCTTGTGTTACATGTAGGTGAAGTGGACATATGATAAGACAACCTGGACATTTCATTGTGCAGAATTGAAACAAATTTACCTGTAATGGAAACAGAGTGAATATTTTAGAAACCAATTTTTCAAATATTATTTTAATTAAAAGATTGTATCATTAGATTTCAGAGAACACAAAGAGTAGAAGGGAGACAATGTCAAAATTTCTGAGAACATCCCTAGAGTCAGAAAAGAAGCAAACAATAGCTACAGAGGAGTGTATTTACATATTACTACCTAAACCTATGGATCACTTATTTCACCCCATGGGGAGGGTTAGTACTTGGCCATCAATTAAATTTTTTTTGGAATCAGGAAACTGAAGTTCTGTGGGGGATTTACGGTGACTTAACTTAACACAGATCATCAGTCTACTGTAGACTGTGCTGCTTCCACTGTCATGTGGAATATATATAAAGAATGAATAAAGATTATACATCACAACAAAAGACCAATTAAATGTACTACATGTACAGCTTCTTTTAGCTACACTGGCAGTTATTCCTCAAACTCAATGTCAAGACTATAATATCACAATTTTATCGGAGAGGGATTTCCACTGGCACTGTTTTAATGGAATGCTGTCATGGACTATTTAAATGGATTTTCTTAAAAAATACAGTGTTCAGTAATCTGTAATTATAACATTCTGTAACTATTACTGAAAAACTCTACCAGAGGACTACCTATGGTAATGTTGGTATAATTTGCATTATTATTCATTCAAAATATTGCCCTGTTTCTGATAGGTTAAAACCACTTGCATATTTCATCATAACCAGCTGCTGTTGACCAAATTTGGAAAAAATTTTCTCATAATTATTGAACCAATGACATCAAAAGTAGCTGGCTCCAGGTTATTGAACTGTTGACCAAGAAAACCTGGGGATGAGGTTGTGTAATTTTTTAAATGAATAAATAATAAAGCAATTATTCTTTCTTTCTTGTTGTGTAATCAGACTGCTGGGCTACTTCAGCCTATTGATGAGACACTGGTTAAAAAAATTCATGAGCTTGTTGGAAGTGGTGTTAATTGTGTTTCTGAAATGCAACAGAACCTGCATCATTATGTAAAGAAGGAACTTTTCACAGGCCAACAGCCTCCAGATCTAACCAACAGACGGTTCTTCCCAACAACCATGGATGTCAGGAACCACATGTATTGTGCCACAGTGGTATGCAGACATTCACAAATTGATCAAGAAAACCTTGACTTAAAAATCAATAAGTGGAAAGAAGTAAGCCCAGATGATAATTTCTTTTTCAGGCCTTACTGCCTTACAAGTGATAGTGAGTCCTATCAACAACCACAGTCACTGAAGGAAGAAAACAGCACTGATGTAATTAAAATAAGTATAGGTGATCCATCCAACAACCTCCTCCTTGTTCACCAGACGAAGTGGCAAAGAGAGCTGCTTTTAAAGTATGGTGGTGAAATTTGCCTACTGGATGCAACATACAAAACTTCACGCTAATTGCCCTCCCCACATTCTTTCTGTGTGTGAAAACCAATGTAGATTACTGTGTTGTTGCTCCTTTTTTGGTTCAGCTGGAAAATGCAGATGCCATTAATGAAGCTCTACAGCTCATTAAGGACTGGAACCCAACATGGAACCCTGATTTCTTTATGGTGGACTTCAGTGAGGCAGAGATCAATGCCATTGAAAGGCTGTTTCCAAGTAAGCATGTAAACATATACTGGTAAATATTGATAATAACCATTTTATAACCATTTTCTTTATTTCATGTGGGAAATATAGAGAGGCAATACTTATTAGGAATAACTTCTTCCCCCCCCCCCTAAAAAAAAAAAAAAAAAAAATTTTTTCTTACAGGACTAAAATAATGACAATAAATTATTGCCAATTACCAGTAATTATCCAGACATTCCAAAATCATTACTTTAATTTCATGAAAATATCAACAGTGTTCATACTTGTCCTGGAAAACCTGGAAAGTCCCGGAATTTTATTTTGGCATTTCCACAACTGGAAAGTCCCGGAAAAAGGCTTCTGGTCCTAGAAAGTTTTGGAAATCTTTTAGAATCAGTTAAAAAATAAGAAATGTGTAGATGATGGTAAGGACAATTAGCATTGAGATCTTGGAAGCAAAAGGGTCAATGTGTATTTTAGATTCCTGGAAAAAATCAATATTACTATTATAACAATAATGATAATAATAAATTACTATTATTATTATTATTATTATTATTAGCATTATTAGTATTATTTTTAGTAGTAGTAGTAATAGTATTATTATTTTACTCCATGGCTCACAGGTCATGCTAGGCCCCCTTCGTTGGTAGTTTAATTTTTAGCATACAATAGGCCTTGTGTTAGCTGAAGTGGTTGGCAGCATGTATTCTCTTATCAGAGAGATTTTACAACTCAGTTTTATAACTGTTCCAGGCTGTCTTGTGTATATTTGCGATTTCCATTGAGAACATGCATGGGTACGGTGGATCAACAACTCAAAGAATGGCATTAACAAAGACAAGAAAGACAACCTCCTGAACAGTTTGCGAAACCTTGCAAGAACTTCCACAGAAGGGGACTTCAATTTAGCACTTAGAGATCTTCAAGACAGTGAACTGTGGAGGACCAATACAAGACTCCAAAAGTGGATGAACACAACATGGCTTCCCAAAAGACAGGCAAGTGTATCCCTTGCATACATTATAATAATTGTGGAATTATCCCTTATAAACTAGTAATAACCACAGGTTAGGAAGTGCGTGCGAGGGCTATGCATGATTTGTTTCACTGAGGTTAACGATTTCATTGTAAAACAGTGGCGTTGTGTTCTTTTTCCATTTTGGGCATTTATATTTGCAGCACAATAAAGGGTTGCATAGTGTGGGTGACTGTTTTCCCATAAACGAGACAAAGAGACCTAAGAGTGGTTTTACTGACCTTGTGAAACAGTAACACCAGTTTGATTATACACCAGTTCTATTTTGTGTTGGGTTTGACAAAATGGTTGTTTTTTCACGTTGTAAATAGAAACACTGTTGATTATAAAATGGACATATTGATTGAGTCAAGGTCATTTGATGTAATGGAACAATGATTTATTTGAAATTGTAATGGAAAGAGAAATGTATCAATATTGTTTTGAATTATATCTGTTAAAAACACAAACTATTGGTTAATAAAACTGAAACGAAATGACTGTATTGTATATAACTATTCTTGCATAGATGAGTGAAAGGACATTCATTAAATGTTCATTTAAAAACTGGAATGCAAAGTAATTTACAAATACAATGTTGTTGTTGTTACGACATATTATTTTGTTAGTCACATTTGTATGTAACTTTTTTAAATAGATCAATGAAAGCACATTCATGCACTACAATGTTCATGTTGAAACTGTAACTATAACATAACTTTGTGATTTCTTGTAAGTGTTGGCAGCTGATTCAACGTGATGTTTGAAGCTACTGCGGGGCTACTTTGTTTGGCATTATCTGACAAAGACGACGAGGGGGTACTTGTGAAAGTTACATCGCTGTTGGTCATTTGTAGCAAAGTTGTGGTTTGATTTACAAGAAATTGCCCAATGGATCAACGCCAAGGTCAATGGACGCACAGCTCTCGATCGCTCTACAGTTCAAGTCTTCAATGGATCAACGCCAAGGTCAATGGACGCACAGCTCTCGCTCTACAGTTCAACAACGCCAAGGAGGAACACAGATCTCTCGCAATGGCCGGAAGATTTCGATACCCGACAACAACAGACACGAACAGGAAACATTCCGATCGCAAATTCACACGCTCGCGTGGTCAAAGCGCCTATGCTCAAATTACGTCCTTTCATTTCATTGGTTCTTAGTGTCCCTAGGGACAAATATTTGGAAGGACGACTTTTTTTTGCTAAATTCGAGTCACTGCAAGGCTATATAACTGCTGCGCATGCGTTTGTAACCAATGTTGAGATTAGGATTGCGGGCTCCGCTGGTCGCCCGCAATTATCCAGCAACAATTCAAGATTTTTGGCTTAAAAATTACACACATTTTATTATGTTCACTTAAAATCCTTGTCGCTCTGACTTTAAACATCAAACAGGCCACCTCCTTGGATGATGTCATTTTGGGCCATTAATCATTCAGATGAGTCCAAGATGCTCTTATAAGGAGATCTGCAAGGTGAAAATCAGATTTCATGCAGCTTATATTCATGAAGTTTACTTGGACACTTTGTTTCTATTGGCAGCACTGGGTTTGGGCATACAGGAAGGACCGCTTCAATGTGAAAGTGAACACTACCAATAGTGTGGAAAGAAAGAATAGGACATATAAGCACCAGTTTCTTGCAGACAATAGAGACAAGACCTTAAGTGGTGTCATCACCGTTTTAGTGACACAATTTCTGCCAAATGAGTACAGAAGGTAAGGAATCAAAAGCTCATCTTTACCTTAGATCTCAGTGTGTTATATATTGATATCACATGACTATGATTTTAGGCCTAAGGTGTTTTTAGAGAATGTAGATATATAAAAGTTTTTTTTCTACAAGTGAGAAGGATGTATAAAAGTGTCATGCTTACTCTGGGATGAAAATTGCCTGTAAGAATTTCATGCATGATACTTATAGACCCACATTTAATCCATAGGTTATATTCTACAAGTTCAAATTGAAATACTTAACATTTAGGAGGAAGCTCAAGCTGAATATTCGAATGTTGACCGTCGGTGTACTGTCATCACACAATCATCTTAAAATTGTGAAATATGTACATCAATTTATTTAATACAAGTTTGAAGGCTTATCATATGATAAACTTCTGATTAAGTACCTCTTCAGAAATTTCTATACATATAAGTTTAACCCAAATGCAATTAAATTAATACTTATCTTTCTCGAGTATTCTGATGTCATTGTTCTTCTGTTCACTTGGCAGCTATGAGGTTTAGGTGGATGGTGTGTAGGATTTCAGAGGGGTTGCCAATCAATCAGATCGACCGAAACCAGGTTGACAACTTACGAACCGGCCAAACATTTCGTTAACAGCGCCATCGATCAAAGTATCATTACAGTCCAACAAAGGACCTGTTTTTCTGTTCAAATCTGGCAGAAACTGGCTCAGACGCACTACGCGAACTTCCTAACACTCGAGTACACTGTGAGTACGCGTCAACAAGAAAAAGCGGAAGTCACGTTGTAAACTACGGATACTCATACAAGATGCCGCTGATATGTCGTGGGCTCATCTGGTTTAGGACGATGATATATATTGCTTTCGGAGATCAACACGCAAGCCGCTATCTCAAGTTAGTTATTAGTGACTCCAGCGTGGGTGAAGTTTGCCGAAGAACGAACAGAACATCGTTTTACACTTTTTGGGACTGATATTGATGTGATCCGACCGGAAATTTTTTTAATGGAGTTTGTTCTTACGGAAAAATCTGAAGGGTAAGTAAAACTATTTTAGACATTGTTGAACTAAAGCTGAATTAGATTTATCCAGACAGCTCATTGCGTGTTCCCGTTCCTTTCAGCAATTTTATTTAAAAATCGCATTTCGTCAACGGTATTTGTTCAGTACATGCTTTAAACTTGAAAAACTTTTTGATGTAAACTCTTTTGGTAGTAAAAGCTGTTTTACAATCTAAATTAGTCTTGAATCTGTCGGTCGTTTGCTTAAGTGAACGTTCTTTTGATCAACACAAGCTCGGTGTAACAGTCTACCAAGCAATACCGCCCTATTGCTTCCCCCAACATAACGTAAATCTGATAGATGCAATAACATTTATACTTGACACATATCTTAACCTTCTTTACGTCTGGAAATATGTCGATATAACTTTTCGATCAACTGCCGTTGTTTGACGTTTACATGCATCTCTTACCACAGTGTTACCTGAAGTTGGTGAAAGTAACCGTACACAAATTCACCGTCGCAGATAGCTTTGACTTCAGCCAGTCTAATAGTTCTTCAATGTCACTGCGTTGAGACTGTGCAAGTAAGGTGCCTTTTGGTAAGTGGAGGTGGCTATCCATTAAGATGATGTTGTCATTTACATCACTTACCTATGAAATCGTTAAACCATTAACCCTTTAACTCCCAAGATCTCATTGTTAATTCTCCTTACAGTCTGCCATATAGTTCTTGTGACATTAGTTTGGAGAATTTGGTATTGGGTCAACCAATAATCCCCCAATTAAGATTTTTCTTTATTCTCATCACTTGTCTGCTTGATATTGTACTGATATTGTAAGGAGAAATTCTTTCTTGGTCACTTATGGGAGTTAAAGGGTTAATTATTGTAAAAGCAGCATTTGTGTTGGTATGTCTTTTACTAGGTGGAAACTCAGAGCAGATTCCTCACTTGAATTAGTCTCCTTGACAAAACAAACAGTTAACTCCTCTTCATAACTTAAACTACCCAGGCTGCTTCTGACAAGAGGTATGGCTTCAACAACACCAAGATATGATAGTGACTGCATGAAACTGTCATATACCTGATTCTCCCCATCATACATGATATCCAGCTTGGAGTCAGTGGTTGGTGGTTTTTCAGTTGAAGGAAGGATTTGTTTGTTAAGTATGTCTTTGCTAACAAAAAAAAAAAGACTGTACAAGCATTGCTGCCTTGACAACCCCCAATTGTTGACTGAGATAGGAAGGCTGGAAGTTCCCAGAATGTGACTGATTGTGTTGTTGAAGATGGAGCATGTATTGAAGTGGATTGTGGTGGTACACTTAAGTTAAAAAATTGTTGTTGAGATACTGATGGTGTTGTTGTTAAGATTGATTGTGTGATTGTAAAAGGTAAGAGTAGGTGAGGTGAGAACCTCAAGATCTTTGGTGGCAAGGTTACCCACAGTTGAAAAGTAGTTTTGGTGTGAATTTGCAACTGAAGCAGGCCTTTTTGTGCTATGTCCTCTTTCTTGAGTTGTCCTGTGTTGAACACTTGGTTGTGGTATAACTAGCTGTGCCATACTTCTAGTTATCATATTTCTCCTGTCATGGGACTTGTAAAAGTCTGAATACCTAGAGGCATGTGTTGCTAGCTGGCTTTTTGGCTGTTCATGACTATTGTGGCTGTCTGCAATGTTGCTACTTGTATTATGCTCTATAATACCTTTATTGAAGGAATCACCTACCTCATTTACTCTTGTTAGAAAAGGATCATTGCTCCATCAACTGGATGGGCAACTGCTATGGCTGGGAGACTTGATGCCATATGAATTGCCACATTAGCTTTATCAGTTGGTTTAGTAGGCATATTCATAACATGAAAATCATCAATAAAATGGATAACAAGTTTTTTGGTCTTATTTCATTGATTGCTTATGTTTTTACAAAAGTGTTTATCTTTATTGTTCATTCTATTTGTTCTCCTTTATCCTGCAGGCTGTCAGCACAGTTTTTTCCACAACTTCCTCATGGTTGTTTTGCCTGCTGCTGTTTAAACATGTCATTCATACATATTCCACTGCTAAGGCCCAAGACTCTCCCTGCAGTCTGTGCAGACCTGGTTAACCATGAATATCAAGGAACATTTCAGCTTATTTCTGGAGCTGTGATGTTTTCAGGGATCTAAGGGAAATTGCATATTATCCTGTTATCATACTCAAGAACAAAGGTTGTTTTTTTACCAGTGACTGCTGACACTGTCAGAATAAAGCTGACATGGAAATTTTTTTAATTATATAAAATGTAATAATTTTTTATTCTTCTAATGGCAAAACTTTAGGCAGGTAGACAACTTGTGAAGTAGTGCAACTATTCTTTGCTGCTGTGAATGTCAGTGCCTCTTACTGGTGGCATGTCTATCTGCACTCACTATTGTACTGATGAGGATGTAAAAGAGATGTGGTGCACAAGTCTCACAAAGTGCCTGCATATCATCAGATCTGTATAGAGATTGACCCACACTCTCATAGCGCCTGTGCAAGGCAGACTGAAATTTTTCTACCAGCTCTGCAAGATTATATAGAAAATGCAATAATAATGTATTTGACCGCTCTGTGAGTTATATAGAAATATTTTGAACAATGAACATGTAACCGAAGAAGTTACAATTGTAACTTCTTCGGTTACATTCATTAAATCTGCAAACCAGAGTAGCATCAAACCATGTCTGATTGTCCGCCTGGTTGCCGTGTGAACTTTCATGAACATGCGTTTACTTGTAAAATATAAGCTTAGTGCAGAACCTTTATCAGTGTTATATTATTACCTGATCGATGTTATCATGGAGATGTTTAACCCTGCAGGTGCAATCATAGCATAACTATGATTATTAGCAATATGGGGGATTGGTTACCTTTCTTAGATTATGTCCAGGCATAAGTAAGGTACTTACTGTGATTAATGTTGAGAAATTGGATTTACCAGCCTGTGCACCAATTTCCTGACTCTCTTTGTGGAGCTATTGAATTTTGGTAGAGCAGTTAGTTTTGCAGCATACATTTAACTGTCATAGCTTGTTAATCACATTGACCATCTGTCGAATCTGCTTGGCACTCCTGCTGAATTTTGCATGGCACCCATCTCCATTTTGCATGAATGTTTTTTTGTTTAAGTTATTGATCTTCTCATGGAAACAAGGTGATCATTTGCTTTATTGTTTATTATGTAAATGGGTGAAGTATGTAAACCCAGGTTATCCAGCAGGAAATGAAAGCCTTTGAATACAACTACCTAAAGTAAAGTGGTCCTTGAGGCACATGTTTTGTCAGCATTGCTCCAACAACTTGTTCACCACAGTGTCCCTGGTTGATAACAAGCCTCACTTTTTCCAGCATTGTCAAATAGTTTGTACTGTCTCATGGGAATAGGTGTATCACTCAGAGGGGAAGAATGTGAAAGTAGTGGGCACGATCAGTTGTTGCTCCTTTTTCGAATTTCTGATAGTGACATTCAGACAACATTTCCTGGTTCCACCTCCGTCACGAGTTATTTCAGTGTTAAAGGCAATTATGCTTCCTCTACAAGAAGAGCTCTGGCGTGTTTTTTCCCCCAAACAACAAACCTTTTGGCCGAGCAGTTTGCCATACTGGGGAGACGATGAAAACAAGTGCTATAACAATACAGAGGGCTACGAAGTTCATTGCCATGTCACGACCGCTCCACTTCAATACTAAAATTCACACCTGTGCCCTGAATATTTTTTTTTTGTTGGGAAAGCTATGTTGCAGAGCAGGTTCGAAAGAAACTTTCTTGAAAATGGGAACCTTATCTGTCAAGGCTAGGGCTTATCCCCGCCAAATAAAAACAGACAAGATGAATTTTAAAAATGCCGCCATATCGTCGCTATAGTGTTACCATGGAAATATTGTCATTCCCATTCCTTTTCGCGCGTAAATTTTCAAGCATGTGCACTCAGTTTGCTGCTGTGTCAGTTTCTTAACCCTGGAAATGGCAATTGGTTTCCTGTCTACAGCAGGTGGAGATCCAGAGAGAAAAATCTTTGATTATCTCAAGAACGTTCTTCATCTCAGTGATGGAAAGTCGAACTTAAAGAGTAAAAATATTTGTAATATTGCTTGATTCTATTGATCGATAAGCCATGATTAATACATTGAGTTTTCGAAACAAAACTCTGGTGAAGCAGGAAATCTCCCTGCCTGTTCCATATTTTCTCCACCAAACGCTGGACCTCGATTAGACGTTAGGTTCATATAAACACTGCAGAGAAAGTGCAGTTATAGATGAAATTTTTTTTTGCATCCCCGGCGTTTGGTCAAGTAAATAATCAACTCTTCTGAATGCATCTCTATGAAATGCTACTTTCATAATAAATTAATGTAAATGGATGCTCAGTGGAAACGTAATAATCTTGGAAGAAGTCCCAGCGACTGTTTGATGTGGCTGAACAAAGGAAAAATTTTGCCCACTTGACAAATACTTCCCGGTCTCGAAGCAATGAAAGACAGCCTCTTATGGTCAAACGCCGGTCTCGCTTAAACTTGAGCTCATCAATCTTTTGCTTGGAATGCAAATTGAACATCCTGCTCAACTTCATATTACGTTCATTGAATTTAGTTCATATCTACTTACTGCTTCTTTGTGCCTTTAAATGGATGGCCGGGGAACAAATCCACTCTTCTGCGAATCTTGACAGAATACCGCTAGAGACTTTTGATTTGTCAAGGGCTTAACATACTCCACGGATGTATGGAGTTTCTTTGCAGGACTATATACATTATTGTTATCTTTCTTTGTGTGGGTCACATTTTGGATCTGTGGTCCACACTGGCCGTGGCGCGAGCAAAATTCTTGTTTAAGAATGAACAGGTACCTTTTTGTAGAAAAATGTAATCAAATTTGATGAATGTAATCCCTTTCTCACCCAATATTTTCAATATTTTTTGTAGGTTCGACCGTGATTTTATTTGTCTGTTCAAATTAAACCGATTTTATATTTTTCAATTTCTTTAGGATCCATTTGAGAAGATACCAGAAATTTATAAACAAGAGATGCCGCGACTTGCAGTCACACGCTTCAGTGCAACATTGAAAAAAATGAATGTTGATTTGTTTTTGAGTAGAGTTGTCGAGGTCATCACTTTAGTGCTGGCTCATGAAGAAGACACAAGAAGTAAATTGAGGTAATTCCTGCGTAAAGCGTTGATGAATCTACAGAGCAAAAGTTCTTTCAAACAAAAGTATATGACCTTGTAATGAAGTATAAGCAGTGTTTTTACTACCATAACTAACGGCAACCTTTTTTTTCTGATAGCCTGTTTACTCAATATTGTTCTCAGGGAATACTTAACTACTTCCTTCGTTTTCAGCCTCAGTGAGTACTTATCAATGGTTTTTGACGATAGCTCCGACCTGGAAGAGATTCCTGATGAAGTATGTGTAATGCACGTGGTTCATGCGTTCAAGCTCGCGGTAGAAGTGCGTGAGAAAGATCAAGGAAGCAGAAGGTCCATGTTGTCCTAAAGCGTTAATTATATAATATGGGGAGTTCGAGAACCTCTCAAACTGTCGTTCATTGGCCAGCTGAACTTCCAGCAATTACGTTTCCATGCCTTATTATACTTTCAAGTACTTTCCAAACTATTTCCCATGATTTATATTCTTTTCATATATTTTTAATTTGACATTCTGCATGAGCTCAAATATACTTCTGAGATAAGACACTTTCCAGGTTAGAATGTAAGAAAAATCAATTTACATATTAACAGAAAAATTATAAGCATGAAAGGATAACATGTCGTTATAAAATAAGGTCGTAAACTAAAGGCAGCTCATAAATAAAACTTTTTGCCATTTTAAAAAGCACAATAATGCACATGAATTTACCAAAAAGTTTGGCTAGTAATAGTTAGCGATGACTTCTGCCTCGTAAACATCAACGATGCCTCATGGTGACGTTAGATGATAACATGATTATACGGATAGTGCAACCCAAGAAATATCCAAGAATAGTACCTTTACAAATAAATTTTACGGGTTTTAACGTTCATAACGTTATTTTCTATAAAGCCTTCGTCTCCTGAGGTTTTTTTTTTTTACTGAGTCATATCGCAATAGCCACTGACTCTAAAACGTCTGTCTCTATCTGTGAAAGGTAGAAAAAAAATTGAAAACAGCAGGTATGGAAAGGTATTTTTTACTAAAATCAGAGAAAAAGGTGGAATGATTGAACATTCACACCGGTATCTTAACCCACAATTCCAAAGGAGAATAGACTACATAGTTGTCTTTTTATTTTTTCCCTCATTTCAAAATGTCGACTTCATATTCTGGATTATAATTTAAACTTTTTGTAGTCCTCGAGACTCCAAACTTTTTCTAAAGTTCCAGTGAGTTTATATCCTTTAAATCCTTTAACCCCAGCAGGGCCCAACACGATGCCGTTTATTAAAAGAGAAATAGCTTTGTTACCTTGAGACTCCAAGCTAATGGTATGACGGCCCTGAGGCACGTCTGAAGCCACGAAGTAAACACGAGTTTGATAATGAACGCTACCGAAAGCTTTCCCAATTATGGCTACCGCGTTCTTTTTGTCTTTGTCGAGCCACATCACCACACGACCCGAATTTTGCCTCATTCTTCGTAAAATGATACCTACAGACCATTTCTTGGGTGGAACTTGTAAGGAGAACTCTATAAAGCTTCCCTGTCGAAGAGACACCCAGCCACCGAACGCATCAGTTCGACGGTCTGATGGAAAGCCCATCTTTGCTTTGATGCTTTCTAATGGAAGCTCGCTGAAGCGCCGTTTTTTGTTGACCTTTACATCAAGAGACTGGTGCACAGTGGATTTTCCCCATCTTGGGTTTGTAGATGCCCAACAATGAGGGTTTGTAACCAGTATCGAGCTGCTGGTAAATAAAGGGTCCTTCATTGGAGATTTCTCACAGAACAGCTGCTGGCTCGTTCGTTGAAGAATCTTCTGAAAGTAACGGATTTGCATGAGAGCCACTTGAGCGTGTCCTTTAATATCAATATGCAGATGATCATCATTAACCATTCCCGGCCGTATGATGGCTTTTCGGATGCCATTAGCTGAATTCACTGGACAAAGTATGTCACGCCAGCTTAGCAAGGTAATTCCGTAATGAGTTGCGAGCTCGTGTTGTCCCAAATCTTCCAAATTATGACATCTTGGGTTCTTAGCAGTGCTAAGAGAAGCACCCTTCTTGACCAAATCAACCAAGCTTACATACAGAACTAATGGAAATGACTTCAAGGATAATACTCGTCGCGTGAGGAGTTCCATGGGCCGCGCTGTTGCACCGTGTATGCATCCATAATCGTTTACTGATAACTCGATAAACACTACATCTGGTTCATCATCTGTTGTTATGAAATTCTGCAGGCAAAATGTAAAGAAATCGCTTCCTGTCCCTCCAAGTGACAAATTTTCTACCGTCAACTTGGAGCCAGTCGTTGTTGAAATCACTTTGTCCCACCACTGAGAGAACAGTTGGTGATATAAACGCCTGTGATTTTTTATTCCACCCCCGGCTGAATTTGATCCACCAATCACAATCATTTTGACAGGCTCACCCCGGAATATTTTGTTCGTCAGTGTCGTCACACGGCAAGGATCAGTAATGTCATTCATGTGGATTGCCTTTTTAATGTCGTCTTCTGTGACACTGAGATCATTGATGCTTTTATACAAATCTTTATCCTGCCAGATGGCAAATGGCTCATGAGTTACCCAAACGAACGAGGGGTTGTGTCCTCTATAAGAAATATTAAATGCGATACACACTGAGTAAGCACTAAACCAAAATGTGCAATCCTGTATGACGCTATTAAGTGGCAGACAAAAATTATGATAAACGGTAGTGTGAATATGTCCAGTAACAAGGGGATTTAAACTTGTAACCTAGCCCTCAGTACAGAATTTCAAATATATGACACACTCAGCGTAGAATTTCAGGCGCTCACGATTCTACCTGTATTACCAAACGTTGCCAAATACAGATAATTTTCGTTTCTGAGCATCTCTATTCGACGATAGCATTTGTATGCACAGTTATCAGAGGAAACCTATGTGTCGATCGTTTTCAATGGTCTATCACAGATATAACTACCAACTTAGTGAAATCTGCGTCGAAGACAGTTTTTCATGTGTGTATTAGTCTTGAAAGCAACAGCTGTTATTCAGTCCAAACTCTGCATTCAAAAATTTGCCCTAATGTTTGAAATCTGCCATCACTCTACTAAAGCAAATTTCATTTCCGCGGATTTTTCAATTATAAAAAATAAATGCACCAACTTGTACCGTGCAAAGATGGCACTGCATTGTAATAGACAACTAATGACACACTAGTTAACCACAATAATCCTGTACATGGTTTAAGAGAAAATGTATACAAGGTGCCGAGAGAATTTATTAGAGAGGGACTTAATGGAGTTTCTCAAGTGGTACGCAAAGCTGACAAAAAGAAGAAACGACCTACCCAGTTGAGCGGGCACCAATTGACGAGTTCTTCCGCGAGTCGGCAAAATAGGGATAAAAAGTTACCAAGGCGAGAGTCAAAATCTGCCACATTTTCAACCGTTGGATGATTGATCATCTAAGCTTAATAATGTTTAAAATATTAGTTCTAAGGTCAATCCATTTTTACGGAAAATCTATTTCGTATTCCGATTCAGAACGTAAACAAACTTTAAATGTGTTTTCTCAAATTACAATTTGAGATAATCCTTCCCTAAAATATTAACGACTTACGATGTTCAGGTAAATTTTTCCACACTAGAGAGTTTAAACATATCATACAATAGACGCAAACAGGTATCTTCGCCGCATGTCGGATGACACTCCAGCACCGGTCTGGCCGTCAAGGTAACTCGTAACAACACAAATGAAATAAGATTAAAATTAACACTGGTTATAGATCGTATATGGGGGAAATCAAGAGAACTGATTTGCTATTGTCAGAGGTCCGAGTAACTTGAACATACCACAAAGAGTTTAACGTCGGTGAAATCCCAGAATTTGTCTGTCTCGCGACCGAGCGGTTCATTTAAAAATTTACTTTCCCTCTACCAGATAGTTATCGTTCTCTAAATTCGGTTGTTATTATGGGGTATAACTTTAATCAACTGGCGGAAAATTATAGGACGATTAATGGTCTTACAGGGCGCCTATATTGTTTGTGATGAATTTAAGAAATTGTTAAGGAGAAAATCAATGGTTAGCTTGTATTTGATTGATTTACGCATTTCATTGTGGGCCGATATATCATTAAGGCCTGTAATAAGATAGTGTATCAACCATTTACATCAGTTGGAAATTGGTAGAATCAAGTTTACTTAGTTACAAGGCTTGAATACCGAGAGCTGCAATGACGTATGACATTGGGATATTACCTGCGTTATCATAGGAGCGATAAATTCAAATCACCTTCAAGCGTCGCGCGCTGTTTAAAATAGCACTTAAAAAGGTCGCTCTGTTCGGTTTTACAGACAGATCGAAACTAACCAAACACGACCGACTTACCGATAACATTACGGCTAGACTGACCGATCAGTTTACACGAACCGGACTTAGTATATTCCGACTGACTACAAAAATTCACTTGACTCTGATGATGACTTCCGCTCAGGTTGTTAAAACGTCAGTCACCACCAACGACAACACTCCTTCTCAGGAATACACTCAGCCGGACGAGTAGACTGCAGTTAATAAGGAATAACAGCTCAATCAAAATGTGACCAACAGGCTTTAAACTGTCAATGCCATGCACATGCTTCACATTGTAAGTTCCGATTGCTTTGTCGTCATACTCCTTGGCTTCTTTCTTGTAATTTTTTAGGCAAATGATTGTGTCGCCCCCTGTTAATTTTAGAGTTAATTTTGACTTAACGTTTATCTGTATAATGTCATGGTTTTTATTGTTCTATTTAAGAATTAGCCAAAACTAAGTTACACTTCGTTGAAAGGAAAACTTCATAATCGCCCCCTTCGGTGTAAAGCCCTCCTTCAAATCAGCGCCCCCTCCCTCGCCCCTCGGCCACCGCCTCTTTCTCGGTCAAAATCTTTAGTAAGAGCCTGGGCGCTTATTCGAGGAAATGATAGTTCTGATCTATTATGAAGTAGAACAAAGGAGCACAAAATTGATGAACTGTATTCTGATGCTCTTTTTACTAAATTGGCAGATGGAAAAGCGGATAATAGAATCAATTACAATCACAACAGGAAGTGTTGCGACAAAGGCTCTTTCTATCAGGGCCATTCGTGTGCACATAAAAATTTTTCCAAAGCATAACTTTGGGTTGGTTGCTTATTACATCACATTTGAAGACACCAACAGCAGCAAAGAAAGAATTTACGCAAAAGTTAAATGAAATATATACTTTTCTTTACTAACTTAACATCAATTCAAAGTGCGGTTCAAACTTGCATGCTATGCTAATATTATTCTTAGCTGTAGCATTTTAAGTTATCTTTAGGGTGTATTAGGAGAAAATTATAAAAAAATTAATTGATAATACCAGCCCGCTTTAGATTTCAGCTGCATAAAAGCTCCCGCTTTTCTGATATTTTTGCAGAGGGGGCATCAAGAAGAATTTTTCCTAACATTCTAATTAAACTAAAAGTAAATATACGTGGTATTTAAAAGAAACTGGCCGGCCCTATTCATAAACTACAGAAACGAAGTACCTTAAAGTAGCTAAAAAAGTGGCAGCATTTACTACATGCCAACATTTTCAAATCAATTTATGATTACGTGTATCTAGTACCTCATTATTGTACGAGAGAAAACTGAGGTTAGGAGCCCAACTATTACGAAAATTCAGCATGTAACATTCATTTAATTTAACCGACTAAAAAGAAGTTGACTGCTTAGACTTTAAAAATGGACCGCACCACTGTCTTGGAGTTTTGAACCGACTGCTTCTCAAGCAGAAGATTAAACTGTCGTCACTTATGTGGACAGCGGAGTTCCAAACGTCCTTTAGGTGCGCCATTTTGATGCTGTCTCTGTTCCTGGGATTTGTTTCAAGCCTTTGTAGGCTAAATAACATTCCAAGTAATCTTCAAAGCTGCCACAGATTTGTACTTAGGTCTTCGTCCTGTTAAACTACAGTACTTCACAAGGCAAATTATTCAAAGTTTAGGATTTCTAAAGCCGCAAGAGAGTGTGCCGTAAACTGCCTCTTCTTCCCTAGCAATTAGCAATATCAGGATTTCACTATTTTCAATTCACACTTTAAATACCAGTGCTAAAAAGAATAGAGCGTGGACTTGAACAACAAGCTCGTTTGTCAAATACGAAAAAAACTTTCAATTAGAGGGGAAACTAAGGGAAAATTGGACAAGGCGCAGTAAAGTATTCTTCTAAAGTGTTTTCCTCATGTGCTATGTGTTCTCAATACTTCCACCCTACCCTGAACTCGACAAAAGGCCTCCCCCTCAACGACCTGTCAATCAGCTGTCTGTCAGGAGCCACCCAATCTTAGTGAACTAGGGTCTCCTTTCCCACCTTCAGAGAGTAATTACAACGAGCCAGGATGAGGGGCACCAGGTCTCTCTCAGGATCATGGGCTATTAATTGCAACAAGGTTACCTCTGATACGGAGACACGCTCCAAGGGACTTTAGATGAAAGAGAACATTACAGATGAGATGTATAGTTGGGTCTTACTTATAAAAAAATATTGGATGAGGTTTTTGCAATATCTAGAATGATCAAGGTCGATATAGGGGTTAAAAGTCGAGGCTGAAGGATAAGCCGGCTGATAACCCTTACCAAGATCTTGATTGTTTTGGATATCACCAAAACCGAATCTAATAATTGTTTTATTATATACTGAACGAAAATAAAAAAGTCTCAGAAGTAGGTGGAATTGAACATTTATTTCTATTTCATTTATTGTAAAACTTAGTTAAACTTATATTTTTGCCAGGGCAAAGAGAGATTGATGAAGAAGAAGCGCTGAGCGACGCAGTTCAGCGTGTCTGGTGGTATCTTCACCTATTTGAAACGAACCCTGAGGTCATCCAGAGCTTACGCTTTAACCCTCAAAGAAAAGTTATGGACCCAGCGGAATGTCTTGAAACGCTGATAAGGTTTGCAACTTTGTTTGTGCGAGATAAATCATTTGTCTTAGAGAAAGGTGGTCATTCAAACACTTGGTCCTTGCGTCGTGGTAACAGTTCCGAACGATGTTTCCAACGCTCATCTCTAAAGTTCAGTGTTTAAGATAACGTTCAACAACTATGTGTAATGACACGTTGAAAGTTTTTGCTGTTTTGTCTTTGGAATACTCATAGCTTGTCTACGTTTATTAGGAATTGTGGAGTACCCAACCCATCCTGGTAAGAACTTCGTAATTTCGTGAACTTTTTGAACAGCCAGCTTAGTGATTGCGAGGAAAGTGCTTTCTGTGACCCGTCGCTAACAGCGGACACCTTACAAGGATTGAAGACTTTTGTGGTCAAATTTATGATAATTATGTCTGAGGTAAGAAAAGTATTCAAGAGGCAGATATGAGCGGCAACCATTGTAGAATCGTGTATACATGTTTTAACAAACATCATTGAGTTCTGCTTACACTAAGTCGCTCTGTATCAGGATTTTGCAATGCGATCATTAACAGACAAAGAAGGCCATGTATTTAAGGACTCTCTTGAGGAAACAGCTGAATCATACGAGGAACAAGAAATTGTTCCTTTCCAGCTACGAGGGCGATGGGAAGCCAGGTAACTGACTTTTTTATCTATGGATTACCTCATTTGTGTTACAGATTTCTCAATATGTGATACAGATTACCCCATTATGTTGCAGATCGAGCACTTTGATAAAAATATTTATCCGTATATTTCTTGCTTATTCCTTTCTGAACTTAGCCCTCATCCGTACATCTTTTTTAACCCGGAGCATGCGACCGTGACTTTCCTGGGATTCCAAGTTGATCAAAATGGAAATCTTCTAGATCCAAGACCAAAGAAATCATTAAGCGGAATATCATGTCAAGACCCCTTCTAACAGGACTTCATGTGCAGAAAGTGCATCTGGACAACAACTTTGAGTCTTATTCGAAGTAGGTATTCATGAACATTATATGATGGTTTTGCATGCAAGTTATTTCAATGGCCTGCAAGCTAATTTTAAGCTATCAGCAGTGCGCATTTCCTACTTATAAAACATGTAGACAATTTTCTGTAACGTATTCACTTGTCAAGGAAACATTTTTGCTGCATACATCGGAAATTCAAAAAGGTGGACGACAATTTGTTTTCTCTGAAACTGGATGAGTTACACGGTAGAATTTTCCATATACCTTTACCGTTTTCCTCTCTGACCCCCTTTTGTTAAATCAGCTTTAAGTTTTTCTACTGGGTTTTATTGCTCGAAGTCAGGCACTTTCAACGTACGATTCTATTTTGGTGGAGTTGAACCCATATAACGGTAGAGCTTAAATTCTTTCTCGAATTATCTATGACTTGCTACAAATGCCAGGTGACGAGATGAACGGCCCTCCCAAAATAATTCTTATGGGAAGTGAGCGATCCTATCGGTGCAAATGCAGTTTTAGTAGAGTTTTTTAATTGTTCTCACAACAGGGTTGACAAAATTCAATTGCTGTGTTCTGTCATGGCGATCGAGTGCGGTTATGACCCAGATGAGTCGTACGAATTGACGGGTGATAATGTGAAGAAAATTCTAGCCATCCACATGAGGTTCAGAAGAAACATCCCAGTTGTAATCATGGGTGAAACAGAATGTGGAAAGACAAGACTTATTCGGTATTTGTGCGGACTGCAGACCGAAGGAGAGGTGGAGGAACGTAGAAACATGCTCTTAATGAAGGTGTAACCATAGAATCTGTTTCCTGTTTTGTAGTGAAATGCTGTCAATGAACAACTATTATAAGTTTACATAATGCAACTGCGCAGCTTAGTAACATGAAACCAAAAAAAAAAAGTTGAATCTCTGTTTTGAGGAAACTTCCAGTAATAGAAAAGAAGTTGAATAGAGTTATTCCATCTGTAAAGGCAATATATACGTATTAAAAAGTTATAAGGGAATTTTTTTCGTCGGAGCGAAAATGCATGTCCCTTGATGTTGGTTATAGAATGTCCCCAAAGTACAGTTGTCCCAAAAGAGGAATTGAATCTCAATGCAAGTCATGCCATTGAAGCCTCGCTTATGTTATTTTTCGTAGCTGTATGTTGTTGTTATTGCTATTGTTTACGGTCCCTTGTAAGGGTATTAATTTCACCGCAAATTGTTTATCGTACAAAAAGACGGAAAGTTCTCCAGACCATGAAGAACATGATCAGAGACTAAATCCCCCAGGTTGCATTTATTCCATAGGTTATTTCTCTTATGTTTAATGTACTCGAATACGGAATTCTCGAGGGCCTTCGACTAAAATTCCAAGATTACGATACTTCGTCAAGATATCAAATCTTTGTGCGTCCCTTGAACTACCCAAGTAGCACGCTACGAAAATGTATGTAACAACACTTAAGCGGTATAGCCTCAGGAGAAAGACCAGTATGTAGGGTTCGGTTTCTCAGCTTGTACCTCTCTTTCTCTATGTCATTTAAAGCGGGAAAGGTTTAGTTCGCGAGACTTGATGACTCTTTTTCACTAGATCCACGGAGGCACCATTTACAAAGATATAGAAAGGAACGTACTTCGTGCTGAGACAGTGGCTGTCAAGAATGAACGTCTCCGAAAAAAAATCGACACCGTTTTGTTTTTTGATGAAGCAAACACCACTGACGCTTTAGGAATGATAAAAGAGATTATAGTGGATCGAAGGTGTAATGGTCGTCCCCTGAGTGACAATTTGAAATTCGTTGTTGCTTGCAATCCATATAGGAAGTAAGTTCAGCGCTAACACTATGAAATCGGTAATTTTAAAAGTAGAATTATAAATGAGTAATGGAAAATTTTCAGGCAAACTTAACGAAATACGTAGTTTTGTTGATGATTGCATCATTAAACCACAGCAAGGCCTAACTAAGATATATTCTCGGCAGGCATGCGAAAGAAATGATACATAAACTAGAGACCGCAGGATTGGGCTATCACATCAAAGCGGATGAAACTACAGAGAGCCTTGGTAAAATATTTCATCAAACGATATTTAGTTAGAACCATTTATTCATTTTAGTTGATCTTACTTTATTGTGCAACTATATAGGTGGAATCCCATTGCGTCACCTTGTTTATCGAGTGCATGCTTTGCCAGAGAGCATGCGCAGTCTTGTGTGGGATTTTGGACAGTTGAATGCCGAAGTGGAAGAGCTTTACACTCGTCAAATTGTTAGAAGATTTGTGAGTAGAACTACTTGTGGTTTAAAAACGCGATGTATTCTAGCAAGTTTGAAAAGGGAGAATAAATAGTGTTCCCCTTCTATACAATTCTTTTGTGAAGTTTAAATGAGCCACATCACATTAAATTAGATAATCCGAGATCACCTGGGCATGGTTTGCTCCTTAATAGAAGTTAATTCCACAGGAAAAAGAGAAGAGCGATCTACTGTTAGCGAGTCTATGTGGGAGCGAAACTTCCGTTTTTCTTCCAAGGAAACAGCATCTGCAGAGTGCAAGCCTGCACAAATATTCGACTATGCAGACGCAAAGAAAAGAGAGAAGCAACCCACCGTTAGCGAGTCTATGTTTGAGCCAGACTTCTCTTTTGCTTCCGAGGAAACAGTTTCTGCAGAGTGAAGGCCCACGCTAGAGCCTCTGCAACTGTCTTCAAGAGTCAATCCTCTGGAAATGTTCCACCATGTAGAATCCTGAGATGTACCGCTCGTGGAAGAAAACGTAAGAATTGTTTCCACGTTATCCAAGACGATTCTGTAACATATAGATACCAATGGTAAAAACTCTTTTGATTAGCAATTGCGCATGTCTCCTGTTAGCGCTATGTTTGCAATTTTTCCGATGCCTTACGTTTTTCTTGGTGTCAAACCCGCAATGGAAAACAGATAAAACTTGCTTTTCGCATATTAATCTTGCGGCCTTACGATTCTTAAGGTTAACGTTCATCACAGCCCCTTGTATTACACCCTTCCATCCACTCATTGTTGCAAAATTGTTGCCTTATACCTTACAAAACAAAGCGCAGCATTCCTTAGGGAGACGAAGAAAAAAAAAAGGGACAGATATAGATATATGGTTTAGTGTGGGAAAATCTATTATGGTCCGATAAAATAAAGAAAAGTTGTGACTGATTGCAGCGAGACCTACTTACCGAAGTAAGGCTAAAGTTTAGAAGGAAACTTTATTCTGGTATTGATTGTTGTCAGGTTGATATCGACGACAGTATTGACCCGATCACTTGGTCTTTGATTCTTGCTCTTGGAGTTTGTTATCAAGCACGGTTAACAGAGAGGGAAGAATACCGCGAGGCAGTAGCAAACTCATTCCGACCACCATGTAGGCTTCCTGGCGGCGCTGAAAGAAAAATATTATGTAAATGATATCGCTTACTCTGAAAAACAACTGCTGGATGAAAGGGAAGCATCAGTTTCCAAAACTTCTTTCAATTTTAACTTAAGAGAATTTATTAGAAATATACCTTTGTAGCTTGTGCTTGTGTGTGAGACAAATGGAAAATTAACCTGGAGTTTCCCACAAATCATTGAGACTTTAAGCGTCTCTTGGCTTAGAAAGCCTATGAAAAAAGCGTTTATTTATCTGGTTAGCTTGCTGAAAAACTAGACTTTCTAGAACACCTGTAATGACGGGAAGTATATGATTTGACCACAGCTTATCATTTGTTTTTCATTCAACGAGAGTCAATTTCTATCGAAATAGTCATATCAGTGTAGTCCTAATAAAAGTTAAATGGTGTCTGCAACTCTTCTTAAAGATGTCAAGAAGCTTTGATGGGACAGCTGGAACTTGGACCAAACATTGCCTGCAATGAGGCCTTGAGAGAAAATGTGTTTATGATGGTGGTGTGTATTGAGCTGAGGATCCCTTTATTTGTCGTCGGTAAACCGGGGAGCTCTAAATCACTGGCCAAGACAGTTGTTGCAGACAATATGCTGGGAGGAAGATCCAAACATAACCTTTTCAAACGTTTTAAGCAGGTATGATCGAAGCAAGTAGGGCTGTCCAGCGCTTAACCACCGTAAGACTGGATTCAGTTTTACCAAGGATCCAACTATGTTGAATCCATTTGAAAATTGATCCATAATGGGTTTTCTTTTTTAGCATTATCTTGTGTACATCTTTATAGAAACTGCACAAAGGAATATCAAAATCTGAAGTCATATCATATCAGTGTAGCCCACAGTCTACCCCTGAGGGAATATTGGCGACATTTCAGCAATGCAGTGAACTGCAAGAAAGTAAAAACAAGGGAAAGACTTCAGACACGTTTGCTTCCGTGGTAGTGTTAGATGAGGTAGGACTGGCGGAAGACTCACCCAAAATGCCCTTAAAAACTTTACATCCACTCCTGGAAGATGATGACCAAAACGACGGGTTTGTGATCCAGACTGAAAAGAGTTTTACACGCGTCGCTTTCATTGGTTTGTCGAACTGGGCATTGGACCCTGCCAAAATGAACCGTGGGATAATGCTTTGCCGTAATGAGCCTGACGAAGACGAACTGGAAGAAACTGCAAGGTAGAGCTGTTAATATTGTGTGTGATCGTCTTTGTATAAGAATTCAAAAAGAAAGCGTAGTTTTCAAGGCTAAGCGAAAAGAAGACTTAGCTTATCACGGGAAGCCAATCACCGCAGATGACGATAAAGGGGTCATGACTCGCTGTGAGTATGAAACTCGACGGCAATGATTGCCAACGGCCCCTCCTTTTCACCAGTTTCTCGATTCATAGTGGTCACGTGCGAGTCGTCACCCAGTTAAAAAGGTAAAAGTAAGTAAATTCGACTGATGAGAGAGCTCAGACGAAGACATCTTGGGGAAATGAAAGGCGAAAGAGAAGGAGAAGGTTACATCTATTGGCCCTTTTTATCCCTAGGCTAGGTAATTGAGGGACGTTTTATACTAGTTAACAGCGAAGGAGAGAACATCCATTCTCGTCTCCGCTTTCAAACCAACACATCAGGATTTACAAGAAATAATTCCAGTCACAATGATATCCTTTTCAGGTTCATCATCGCTGATTTTATTTATCTATTGCTCATTGTAGGGGTATTTGTGGAAGTGATGAGGACATTATTACTCATGTAGAACCCCTTATAAATCCGTTAGTCTGTGGCTACCAAGAGCTCTACGACAGACAGAAAGGATTGGAGAAACTAAAAGAAGGAAAAAAGGACGAATTTTTTGGACTTTGAGATTTCTACAGGTTTGCGTTGATTGCAGCTGTTTAATTTCATCGATCAATTTATTAAGAAATTTACGGTAGGTTTCTTCTTCTTGTGTTTGACTCAGTCTAGTAAAGATGATCGTCTCCATTGCGAAGGAAGAGAAACGTCGACCAAACTGGAAGGAGCTCAAACGCGCTATTAAGAGAAACTTCAGTGGCTTGATGGAGGTCGAAGGAGATTTTAACCCTGTTAAAATTCTCATGGAAAATATTGGCTTCCCAGCGGAATATCTACAGGTTAAAAAAACACTTTCCCTTCGTTTTAAACCTATTAAAAAGTTGTACTTCAAACAAATCTTCGCACGATTCCTTGCAGAGAGTGTTTTTTTCATTTATTGAGTCTCAAAAAATGTTGGGTAAGTGTGTTCTTGGACAACGTCCATTGTTTATAATTTTTATGGTAATTGCACCATTCGTGTGCACCGCCATGCGACTAAAGAAAGAAATGCAAAGTGTCGTTGTGATCTCTTTTCAAATAGTTTCTTGGTTCTGTTCGGTTTCCCAGATCTCGCAGTTAAAGCGGTTGTACAAAAATGGTTTCAATTTACATTCCACATAGTAGACTGATTAAATAGTTAATTTAAATTAAACAGTAGACTTTGTCAAAAGAGGTAGCCTCTGTAGCCTCCTTTACGGTGTTCAAACAGATATGAAGTTCAGGCCTGAGTAAAGAGACCTGATGCTTTGACCAGTCAGTTTGTTAACCTCTAGACTTTCTACCAAAGCTTCATCCCAGCAGCCTTCAGATTAATTTATTTTGGTGAGAGTTGTTAAATAGTCGAAGTCATCGTGCGTGTATTTTCCTTACCATTGGAATGGACCCCTCATTTACAGGTTGAGGAGGAATTCATGAAAGATGAGTCTCTAGACCTTATCCGGGAAAGCCTAAACCGTAAGAGCATGATGGGGTAGGTCTTTACACCGCACTTCACAAGTAGAATTACAAAAAGAACTTGTCCGTGTTATTCAGCGTTATTATATTCTTTGTTATTTATTATTTATTTTTATTATTTAGTATTTCCGACGGACATGGATGCAGGCTCTTATGATTGAAAATGTATGTGATTATTAGTTACTCCATGTTTCTTCAATAATCTGCCCCATTTAGAAGTGACCTTATATGTATTCAAGGAAAACAAATGAGTAATCGCTCGTCGTGATTTTTGTTAATTTTCTTGCTTTCTTGTTTCGCAGACAGGGACGATATTTGCTTATCATGACTGAAAACTTTACCGCCCTTCCAAGAGTAAAACAGCTCTTGTTAGAGCAAAAAGATAAAGAAGATCCATATGTCATCTTTGGCAGTGGTTTCCCAAAAGATCAGTTGTTCAGCCAGGTAGAAATTATTTGCATATTTATCAGTTACTGATTGGCCCAAGACGAATGTAAAATACATACTTTAGATTTCAAATAAAATTTAGAGATTGCGCAACTGAAATTCTTATGAAAACATTAAGAAAGCGCCGTATTTAAACAAAACAAAAACGAAACAAAAAACACGGCTGATAGTCAGTTGCTCAACAACGGTTTGGTTTAAAAGAGCAATTAATATTGCGCTTCTCCAATTTCTTCATTATGTTTGACAATAAGGAATAACTGTAATAATCCTCTTCCCCTTATTGAAATGTGATTACGTCGGTATACTTTGCACAGGTTTGCCGCAACATCAACCGTGTCAAGATGTGTATGGAGGCAGGCAGAACAGTGATTTTGCTCAATCTTGAAAACCTCTATGAAATCTCTACGACGCCCTAAATCAGGTCTGTCGCGATTTAACTTACACCGTACAAATTCCTGTACATTAGGATATGGGAGTCTATATGCACAACGCACTGTTAATTTTAGGCATGTTCGGTTGTTCATTTTCATAAACTTTGTTTTTCATTTGACTTCAACTTTATCTCTTCAGTATTACGTCTCCTTTGGAGGAGAAAAGTATGTCGATCTTGGGCTTGGGAATAATCGAGTCAAATGCCGCGTTCACAAAGACTTCAGGTAAAAACGGATTCTCTTGGGGTCTACTACCGACGTGCAAGTTATCGACTAGAGTTTGATTTTACAGTTTGTTAGTGAAGGACATCCCCACTTCTATAAACCTGCAACTTTAGGCACTGAGCTTGTTACTTGAACCTTTACTGATCGCATTACAAAACGTCTACTGAGCAATTTTGAAGGACTTCGCCAAAGACGAGGCACCACAGTGACATAACTTGAAACTTTTAATTCGTTTTACTCTTAAGCTCTGCAATTTAAGAGTACTATAAATTTGTTTTTTTTAAGGGTTTTCCTGCAGAACTAGTTATACTTTCTTTGACAACTTTTCAAAGATGCTTATTTGTTACAACTGCTTGTAATTCACTATAAACCTTTTTCAATCAATATATTGAACAGGCTAATCGTCATCGCTGAAAAGGACGTGGTTTACAACAAGTTCCCCATCCCTCTGATTAACCGCTTGGAGAAACACTTCCTTGTTATGTCATCTGGGCTCACTAGGCCACAGAAAAAAGTGACCAGGAAATTAAAAGTTTGGGTGGACAACTTTGCTGATATTTTACAGCCGCCTCGCTGAAAAAAGAGGTTTTTTGTGCTTTAGTCTCCAATGTATACTGTTTTTTTCCTTACCTCTCGCTATTCTGATCGACCTTGCCGCAACTGACATATACATGGACCTTAAATTTCCCCCTAGAGATTAATACGTATTTCATATTTGCACAACATACTGTACACAAGTATATTGCTACTTAAAAGGCAACCCATAATATTTGGTTGTTCCCGATACCACGCTAGGTAAGACAAAAGAGGCATTCATTGATGCCACCTGTCCAATGATATGGCTGATATTAACTAAAGTTGACATCCCTCATTGTTCCACTTGTTTTTTGAAGACCATTCTCTAAAGGAGATGCCTTTATTGGTTATCACGAAGACATCGTCCCAGTTGTTGTTTTGCAAGTTTGTGCTGAACTTCATAGCGACGAAGTATTTCTCTCAGACGAAGAAAGAGAGTCTTGGGAAGAAAAGGTAAGTCGCATCGCGAGAGAAAGGAATTGTGACGGTTATAAAGAGAATATCGTGTTTATTTATTATGTGATTATTACATGAACTAAGGTGCTTACGTGATATTCACCTGGAAATATCGACGATTCAGTTGAACTGAGACTGAAGATGTCCAAAAGCTAAGTCATTTCATGAAACGTAGGCCCGTCGTTAAGGTAACTGTCAACAAAATATGGTACTTTGCGGAAAAATCGTCCTACGTGCGCCATGGAAAAATACACTGTAAAGCCTATAAAGCATAGATTATGATAATGTGTAAAAATTTTCACAGTTCTTTCTTTTTTTAAGCGCGTGCAAGCCATGATTTACTAAATTACCATCCTCCGCGTTACCGCCGACCTCCAAACAAACAAGATAGAGCCGGTCATTCAGCAGATAATAGGCTAACAAAGTGTGTGAGGCTTTTTCGATATTCCTATTGGTTCCTATGAAAATCTGTTTCGAAGTTGGACAATGGATAATATTTTGGTTGTTCCGCTCCGGGACGTCACGAAAAAAATAGTTCGAATTTCGTAAAAGCCTTACACACTTTGGCGCTTTGATAGTAAAAAACCTCGAGTTTTTGGCCTCCAAAGAAATCCACAGTTTTCGCATCTCATTTAAGAGCGTGTAATTGCCGTCATGCCGCCCACCAATAATTCGCAACATCGAACTCCCTTGCAATTCTTGTGAGAAAGAATTTGCGGGAAAGGTCCTCTCACGAAACAGGAAAAACGAATTTATAATGAAAGAAATCCAAAACTTCATCGTGAAAAACAGAAGGAAAAGCGGGCTCACCAGACTTTTCTCTTTTCGGACTCTCATTCTTCAACGTTTTGCGAAGTGTGCTAGCAATTCCCTTTTGCTGTGCAGTGCGAGACGCGATGTGAAATCCCGGACGAAAGCCCACGGCAAACGTCAACACTCTGCTGGATGCCTTTCCGCTTGACACCTTTCACTCTTCGGTAAAGGTTCCCCTAAAACATTCTTCAGTCTTACCTCGCGTTGTTTATAAGATTTTACAATTTTTTTCCTAGCAAATCAAAATTATCTGCTTCTATAACTAAAGAGTGAAAAAAATAAATTTTGAAAATTTTGACCAGATTTAGTCAACAGTAACCTTTAGGGAGTACATAACAATGTTTTTTTAGGTGCTGAGGACATGTCTGGAGCGATTGCTTCAGTGTGCGACTCCCGACTCTGTTACTCGTCTCCGTTCTTCACGTCTGAGGTCAGAGGCTGAGAGAATATGGACGACATACTTTCGCGAGCAGGAACACTCAAGCCTGGCAAACTTTTTGGAAAAAGTTATCGGAGATGTCAAGTCTAGTGACGGTGAAAGGGCTAAAGTACCACTACGCGCCCAGGTGAAAAGAACAACTCTCTTCTAAAAGATTACCGTTATTTAATTTCGTCAGCTGAAATTTTAGCTCGACATTCTAATTAATATATCATAACTGTAACTTGCCTTTAAATAACCCACAGCGACAAGCAGTCTAACTGAATATTACCGCTATAATGCAACTACATGAATCCTAGACCTCGCTCTAACTTCTAACGAGTCATACAAATGTTTGTTGGGAAGTTTTGTAAGGGGATGCGAATGTTTCCACACCATTTTGTGTTTGTTTGTTTGTTTGCTTGAATCTTCTTTTACAGTAATCCTCAAGGAGATTACATATAAAGAGAAAGTCGCAAATAACCGAAAACCTTTCAAAAGGGTTTATTACACCAAAGTTCGTGTGTATTTCTTTTTCGCAGTCCTGTGATTTCGAAATCTACCTTAGATGACTTAAATACGACTGGAGGATGATCTCTTACTTTTTTAGTGTTCGACGTATTATTTTTCAGATATCGACTCACTCTCGTCTCCTCTCTGAAAGAGACATTCCTACCATTGCAAAAGCTGCACAGCTTCCTCCCAGTTCAGTGAAGTGTGCCCCGCTGCAACAGTTTCAAACCGAACAGCAATTCTTAAACTGCATAGGGTAAAACTTGTTCTTCAATTTTCGCTAGATTTCTTCAATTGGAAACTTTTTAAAATAGCCAATGCATTTTAAAATTCGAATATTTAATGTACGTTTCGTAGGAGAGACTTCTGGTCCACGCTGGGAGGCAGGGAAAGCCTGTTAATCGTTCAGTGCGACTCCGGAGAACAAATCCTTGATTTGATAGCATGCTCTCGCCATTTGCTCATTGAAGAGTGTAAGGAAATGGAAAACGTGTTGCATCCAGATGCCACTGATTGCAGTCACATTATAATGATTGTACAAGTGCCCAGGGTGGCAGGGGGCTGTCGAGAGTTCGTCAGTGTGCAAGGTGAGAATTGGTTATCTGTCCACATTGACGAATTGTGCCCTCCAAGTGAAGAAATACCTCCGGTTGAAGCACTGAAGGACCGTTCAGTTAGTGAAATTTTCGAGAGTGTCATTGATAAGACAGAAAACTATTTGACTATTGATCAAGTTCTAACAAGTTGTGTGCAGACAGCAGCCAGTAAGATTGAGGATGACGAATCGACACTTGGAAGGGCAACTAGACGAATCGAACTGCTGCTTAAACTACTTCCTTCCAGAACGAAGGCTGGTGAGTTTTTAGAATAGTAGTTGTTAACGTCTTTAGACAAGGAGTTGTTGACAACTGAACCATTATTTATACGATTTGGTCTTCTCCTCTAACCTCCTCAAACAATTATTTGTTCATATCGAGGTACGTTGTGTGCATTTGAGGAAGTCGATTGCAGTCGGTTTTTTACCTTTATCCCGAAAATTAAATTTAAGTAGGATTAAAAGCGCTACTCGATGCATATCGAATAGCTATTCGGAAGGAAAATTCGGATTCTTTGCTGTTACCTTTTAAATCTAGATGAAGCAAAATGAAAATCCCAAGTAAAAGCATCTTTATTTTTTGTACAATAAGGTTTTTCAATGTAGGCTCATCCCTAACACCTTTCAGATTGATGTTGTGATTCCATGTTGTTGCAGAAGACCTAAGTGACAACCGCTTTGAGATGATTCTAGCTAAACGACTTCATGACCTACTAAAAGTAAAAGACCAGCGGGCACCAGAAAAGGGGAAAAGGTGGCTTGAAGACGTTGCCAAAGCGTGCACTGTAAACGAAAATGGAGCTTTCAAAAAGGCACTTTGGCGCCGTTTTCAGTATGTTGTGGCTCCTATCCTGGCAGAGGTCATCGCCTATGTTGATCGCGACGGAAACCTTGAGCTGGCTGTCAGCAAAGATCCCTGGATTTCAAATCTCTGGTTAAACGTACTTGAAGACAATTCCTTCGCTACCATTAATTTTTGCAATGTTCATGACAGGTGAAGAAGATGTGAATGTAGTCACCTGTGTATTGTTAGGCATTACATGAGGTGCCAGGGCAACCTGCGGGCAAGGACATCGTACTTCTGGCTCTGTATCGGGAGATAACCTTAACGCAAAGAGCGTCGGGTGAAGACCAGCATTTTCACCAAGAAGTAAGAAATAACCTTGATTGTTATTCAGCAAGTATGAAAAGCACCATATAAAATAGAAGAATTAGTTTTTCAATATAATTTAAAAAAACGTGTGTCCTTGAAGTTTATTTACCGCATACGTTGTTTACGACAATTATTTTCATTTCCATCAGAAATGTGTTACTGTGTTAAGAGACGTCCTTCTGAGTAGGTGCAGCGTGATATCCCCGAATGTAAGTTGACCTATGGATCATGTTCTGATGGGCTGATTAAGACATATCACGTAGTTTTGAAACTATTTTGGGCGGTATTCATAGGATTGTATTCGGTTTAAGGCTTGACATTACCGGCTTGACAGTGCCGGCAGAGCACTTCACGACAATCACAACAACAAATTGAAGTTAGCCTTAGTCTCCGATAAACATACCTTTGTTCGAAGGAGTCTAGGTAAACATCCTTTGTGGAATAAATATATCCAAGGGCCTAGAACATTCCAGACCAGCCTCTAACCTCTCCTGCTATATTTTCTAGATAACCTTTAATGTAATAATGAACGAAGTTGTACTGTTCGTGATGTTCACGACACTTTGGTTCCACATAAATGATTTCCCACTAATTCTGAAACATTCACCATGTTAAACGTGTAGGCGCAATGTTTGGTCAGGAATCTCTTGAGGAATTCTCAGCAGAACTTGGAGTTCCCATTCCTTGCTGACCAAGAGACTCAGAGCGAGACAGAAAAGGCTCTACCCGAAATCCTGTTGCACCTGACCATCGTGTTTCGGTGCATTGGTTTTGATGAGTTGCTGAACCCTTTAAGGGAGATTGTTCTTGCTCCGAGTGAAATGATCGTAAGTTGAAAGTCTTCCTTCATCTATCGTACGAACCCAAACGTCAATTCTTTGTGTTCCAAACAAAAAACAAACAACAAAAAACTTGGAAAGGAGATAATAGAGTTTTCCCAATGCCGAAGCTGTGCTACAGCTGGACAGATTTTTCTCGCCTTTCACTCTGCAGAATTCTTTCCTCCCGACAATGCCAGAAGACAGTTTTGAAGAAACTCGATCGGCCATGACAGAGCAGAATGGTCAGTGGTATGGTAAGTATCGTACTCCATACTTAGGCGGTTATTCAGTCGCCATAAAGCCGAGTTCTAGAGAGTAGGCAGGTGATGCGGAATTATTTTGGTATTCATGTTGGTAAAATAATGTGTCCTAAATTTACATGATAGTCATCTATCAGATAGGATTTTTACTCCCAGTCTACCAGTGTGAATATGAATGCCCCCACTGTCAATCTACTTGTTTACTTTCGGTCATTTTTATCGCTCTGTAGCTAATTAATATTTTTGCAGATATTGGTAGACGCTCTCTGACGCGAGACTTTGTTAAGAAGTTTCTCTTTTTCTTTTAGAATGTCCAAAGCGTCATCGATACTTTGTTGGTGATGTAAATATTGTTATGTACTAATTCATTGACTGAACAACCGACCAACCTGATTGATTGATTAAGTCATTTATTAACTAATAGATTCATAGTTGACCCAAATGATTGAGTGATCGATTGATTGATGATTGGTCGAAAGATTGATTGAAAGATTGACCGATTGTATTGGTTGACTTATCTTATAAAACGGCGTTACTAAAATAACCTGGCCCCGGCTGTTCGAAGGTCGGATATTACCATCCCTGGATAAATCTCTATCCGGTGGATAACGCTAAACGTTTTGCTATCACTTATCCGCTGGATAGCGATTCATCCGTTGGATAGTGTTATCAGCCCTGGCGTATTGTTTACGAGTAATTTCGGCATTATAATCGCATAGTTATCTCTTCATAGTGTGGCAGACCATACCAGCAGTGCGATTGCCCTTACTGTGACTCGTCCGTTCCGATTGGAGGCCTAAAACACCGTTTGGTTTCTAACAACAGGCTGGCACGCCGGTATCTGATAACTTGCATTGTTAATATTTACGCACAATTACTAAACGCTACCTAACCCAGGGTAATTAAGTATTCTTAACTGAGCTGATAACGTAAATTGGCTACCGTTATGAGTTTTGAAGCTTACATTTCGAGCGTTAGCCCTTCATTAGCTGCTTATCCTACACAGCGAACTTACACGGTATTTACATAATTACTTCTATGTGCTTTTTGAATGTTCCTGTTAGGGTTACGTTGATTTATAAGCATGTATAAAATTGTATATATCAGCTACAAATATTTTTTTCGCATTAGATTATTTATGGAGACTGCTACACGGTGGCGAGAAGATATGAATTTTATGTTAGATCGCAGCGAACGAACGTGACATTATTTGTGCCATGAGAACATAAAATTCATATCTTTGAGCCAACTTGTAATTTTTTTTAATCATAACCATTACAATTTCCTAAAATGTGATTGGTGCATCAGCTGCTCTATATTTCACTAATCACTCTGTACAGTTGTAATCGGACAGTGTAATCAGACAGTTGGCTGTAATCGGACACCTGAAATCGGACGGTTGGCTGTAATCGGACACCTGTAATCGGACAGTTGAAGCAGCCAATCATACTAAGTCCGCTCAGCCAAATCCACCAATCACAGAATTGATCACAATAACCATAGCAACAACCACTTACCCTGCAAAGAAAACTGGGAAATTTCCAAATTTTTTTGCTTTAGACATTTTTCCTAGTTGAGATGTTTTTCCTAAATGTTTTTTTTTTTTCGGAAATTGTAATGGTTATAATTAATTGGTATCAGGACAATCATACTCGATTTTGTTAATAACTTGTATGATTACAGACTGAATTGGATTCCACTCGGTCCCATCACCATTATTAATTACATGGACAAAAGATAAACATAGCAGAACGTGAACAACTGGTTTAATACAAATACTGGGTATAAATAGAAACAAAATACCCGGCGGCCAAATTAAAGAAAGGTTTACAGTTAGGCCAAAATACATGTGAACTGTTTTAATAAGCTTAATGAAAATTCGATTACTGACTCTAACTTGAAGCATAAGATACTTTTATTTTCAGCCTCACTACGAACCCACGAAGGCAATTCAGCACGAACAGAGCAAAATTTCACCTTTGTCTCGTCGCAACTTTAGAAAAATTCCTTGAAAATATTAAGATCACACGGCTGTTTCTTGATGGTGTTGTCGTTCTTTTGTTGTTCGGAAAATGCAGTTACATCTTCTTCACTTACCACAACAAATCTTGCGGCCATTCAATATTTAAAACGACCAACAAACCAAGTTCATTCAGCAAAGTTTGAAAAAGCGAAAATTGTGACGTCGTTGCTCAATATCGCCACTCGTGTTACATACGAAAATACGCCACTCGGTTCCTAATGAAGATGTCGTATTGATTGTGCCAGCGTTTTATAGTTCTCGGTAAAATGCTCGCGTCCATATTATATATCAAGTTATTCACCTTACTCTGTCGGAATAAAATGAAACACTTTTTACGTAATTTTTTAATTATGCAAGAGGAAAATTGATAGCAACTGGTTAAAAGCAAACTGGATAAAGCTCACTTCGGTATGTAATACTGAAGTAATATACTAAATCTTCGTGGTATGTTAGTCACGAAAAATTTTCCAGAAATCTAGGTCAAATTAGAAATGGGAATCTTGTCGAGGGAAGAGAAGCACATAGAATAAAGTTCAAATTCAACTCGATTCGAAAACGGGTAAAGAATTCTACACAGGAGAGACTGTCACTGAAGAGTAACTCAACAGTTGTATGATACCTTGCATTTTTAGGGAAGACCGATCTAACAAAGGTCACATCTTGGGAACCCCTAAACGTATCGTAGGTCCTGAAAGAGATCTGTCTCCTACTATTGTGAGCCTCTTGAGGTTTATTCTCCATTCAGCGATGTTGTCCGCAGCCCAAGAACAACCTGAGGTAGACATCAGAATAGCAATCTATTTCCCTCGTCAAAGGTTATTTCATTTATTAACAATTAATATAGTGCGGCGTTAAATATCTCGTGCTAGCCAAGGAAAACAAGAAACTTTAGAACATAACATGTACGACATGTCGCACTTAATTGAAGACGCAATCTGTTCTCATTAGTTCTGCTTCTTTCCTATAAGTCATCAATAGGCAAATAGAATTCACCTCAAGAAATTAACCACGTCAGTTCTATCATAATCCCTAACACTCTTCAGAAGACAACGGATCCATTTTCTATCGTCAGGAGCTGGCCATGGAGCTTTCATCGATGGAAGATTCAGCAGTTTACAGACAATATATTTTTGCAGAGACTGATTCGGACTTGACGAGTCATTGTTTCCAGTGTAGCTTTAATGAAAACGTTCTATTACCAGTCAAAATTCACATACAGTTGATCTACTCTTAATCCAAGGTTGTTAGTCAGCTAATAAAGGAGTTAGATGTTCAACCACGGAATGTTGGGGATTTCCTCTGGGCACATCTCGTCAATGATGTGGGAAATATATCGGCCAGCCTGGAAAGAAGCGTAGATGAAGTGGTACTGATGATTCATAGCGTGTTAGCTGGGATTGTGTATCGTGCAACAGATAGTAAGTTACATTCTTTCAAGTCAAATAGAGCAAGTTACCCATGTGGTAGCCATGTCCAAAAGGAATCTTATTTTAGCCCTAAAGCACTTCAGGGCAAAATGTATTCAGACAAGCGGTCTTGTGGGTTAAAAAACACTTGTTTATCACAAACAGCGTCCATATTTTGTAGACAGCTTAGTCACGAGAGAAACCTGTTACTTTAAGTTGTATACTTCTATATCTACGTTTAATTAGGAACAGATGGTATTGCAAAGTGGTTGACTAAAGCGGAACGGAGAGAATGGGAAAATCACTTTTCTACCGTGTTTTTGAGACCTGTTTGCATGGTAAGAGGCTATGCTGTTAATCGCACGTATTTGTGGATTTTTGCTTCATTGCTTTTCTCATTTTATATGTATTTTTTTATAGTAATGTGTGTCTTTGGGTTCAAAATATGTTTGCTATATTAGCGTTAAACGGACGGACGAACTCGGCCGAAAATCAATTGTGTCCAGACTGTTGAAAGTTATTCGAATTGTCTTCGTTATAATTACAAATAATGTTTGTCAGTCCTTACGATTCTCTAAATTAGTTCGGAAAGCTTCATTTGAAGCCAAAAAAGTTAGCTTCATACACGCCTTCGCTTCACCGAGTCGTCGATAAGTGTGGAGGCTCCGCTGGAGCTACGCTGGAATGGAACCCACCATACGGTGGCATTCTGTGTTATTCTTTATCATTATATAACTTCTTAAATTGTTAACTGTTTTAATTCTAATTTTGTTCTCTTTGTACAGAATTTGGAGGAACGACTGCAGAATTTCTATACTCTGTCTGTCAACGATAAGAGATTAGGCAATGACGATATTTTTTCAGTAAGACCTCAAGGGGGACTTTCCTAAATGGCCTCATTAGGATCATGGGGTGACTTTCTCACTCCTTTTTTGGGTCAATAGTCTAATTATAGCCTTTAGGAGTAATTTCGTCTAATTTTACCGCGACTGAAACGAATAAAATAAGCTAGAAAGGCTTTTTAATCGTAACTAGGGCAATGCAAACTCCCCAACGTTGTTTCAATAAGAATTTTTTTATGATGTAATTTGGGTGGTTATGTAACTATTTGTAAAATCAAAGCGCAGCCAGTGTCATAAGTTTACACATAGTTTTTAATGGCGGTGGTAAAAGTTATAAAGCTTTTAATAGAGCACAAGTCTCCTTTTGCAAACGACCAGTTTGACAAATCTAGGCTGAATTTTTAAACGCGTATAAAACCGTGATTATTTTTATCTGAAATAAATATATGTGATCAAGCTTCAACTTCGTGGTCTTATTGCAGGGAATGATCCCCTCATGCGGGAGATTTACGAGGTGGACGACCCCACGCCTCCTCGCTTAGCAGCAGACATTCATCCTGGACACCCCACCTTTTGTATAATAGAATTCGATTGACTATTGAGCATGTCATCCGTCAGTTTCAAGACGTCAGGTCAAACAAGGATTCATGCAAGATCCTAGGAAAATTTCTTAAGGAGGTACTGTGTGAATGGAACTACAGGAACCTTTTTGTTAAAAAGGCGACTCTAATTTTGATCATGAACAGAGACAGACGTCTTTTTCTTTTTCGTAGGAACACAGACTTCGTGCAATATGTCACTTACCGGATATTTTGGCTTTGCTGAGAATACTAAATGATCGCTTTCATCGACGAATCAACCGAGATGAAGCTGATAAGTTCATGATACGGGAGTTTTTGAAAGAATTGCCTAAAGGTAAAGTTGGAAATTATGTTCAGGATTAACCTGACGAGTTAAATGGTCAGAGACAGTGAATGATCATTCAAAAGTCTATTCTCGTCTTGGACAGAGATCTACCCAAAAAGCAATTGTAGGTTAATTATCTTACACAACATCGCAGCTAAACCGAACAATTATTTCAAAGGACAATCTGTAGACACTCAATTAAAAAACAGCTGTTCTCGTTTTGACTCTGATGATATCTTTCAGCAGCTACCGAGGCACAAATCGCACGCTCAGTCGCTAGCACTGCTTCCGATCAGACTGCCCACTCTCATATCACACGCTATTGTATGGCCCATTGATTTTCCCAAGCTGATACCCTTTGATATTTTTTGTAGGCCCTGAATAAAATACCCTGCCTTACTTCTGAGTCAAGAAGGGCAGCAAAATAGCTAATTTGCACGACCAATGTGGACAGCATGACAGGAATTAAGTGACGCAGCATTTCAGAAAAACAAATTAATAGTCATTTTCTCATCATGATCCAAAAATCTAAGCTTACTCTTACCCAAAGTAAACATTTTACTCCCTATGGACCGGAAATAATACGGCCACAACACTTACTGGTGACAGCGATAATTGATGTTAAGGATCAAGCCTCTTCCCTCTTCCTTCCTTCTTCGAAGCTGCAGATAGTGACAAGTAGTTGGTGCTACAAATCTGAAAAAAATTCGCTTTTTCGTCGAAATTCCTCTTTGGGTAACTTCGATCTCAGAATTAGTGCGAGATCTTAACCAATGTTTTATTTAACTTTTCAGACAAGAAGGAAAGCGTTACAAAGTCATTCGAAAGTTTTCTCACTGCTTGGGATCAAGTTCGCTTCCAGCTCAGTTCGCAAGGTGAGCGGAAAACGTATGCTAAAAACTTTTTAAGACGAACTCAAGGGGTAACAGTGAAGTGTTTCATAATGATCATGCTACAGTTTATTTAAAATCTACTAAAGTAACACAAGGACATCCATAACGGGTTCAGAATGGCAATTGGTATTTACATTGCTTACTAATCGTAGTGCGTTCTTAATATTTCTTTCCGGCACCTCGTTTTACTCCCTCTCGAGAACAGTGCTCGAAATCAATTCATATGACCTCCACCGTGTCAGTATTGCTACCAGCTGAGGCTGGCCCAGGTGTTTGTTGCAAAGCTTTACTGTTCTTCTTGGTCAATACACATAATGAAATGGTGGAAACGTACCACGGTGCTTTTGGATCTGACGAAAGGACACGGTATTTTAAATTAATTCAGTTACATAAGTGACACTAGAGTAGAGAATTGTAAAAAATTGGATGCCATTGAGGTTATTATCATGTAAGGGTTGCAATTGTCACTTGGGTAAACATATTCCAATCTCTTAGGCAGGTTACATATCCCTCTATCTCCAATCGAGCTAGATCCTAGAATCATTTTGTTAGTATCGAGTTCTAATATAGAGTTTTTTTAGCTCAGGCACCGATTGTGAGGTCGGTGTTCTTTTTCTAATTCCGATCTAATTTTAGTCATCTTCAGAATACCCTTTAAAGGATGATATGTATTTCATGATTACTTGAAACGTTGCCATATCTCAGTCTTTTATTTTTTTCCCATAAGGGATGGGGAGTCTAACACACATGGACTGTACTACAAATTGCAATGATAGTGATAACGAGATTTTGTCCAGGCCAGGACTCCTTTTGAGGAGGGAGTTCAACGCCAGTATATTACTGGCATTTGAGGGCATATCACGTTCCCATAGTATTATAAATCGTAATTTTCTTTCGGATCAAAGAGGAGAACCGTGCAGCTTACAACCCTAGCCCTCCCCTCAACTACGTATTTGCCTACCTCTGATCTTCTGTACTTCAGTGAGTATATATTTTCGATTCACTCCAAATATTTTGGGTCTGGATGATAGTACTATCGCCAAGATTCCTTTTACGGAGGTTTCGTCGTCGCAGTTGGTAGCGTATGACTCAGAAAAAGACTTGCTACCTGTGATGCTAGCCAACTGCACCTACACACTAGAGGTGGGAAAGGAGACATCATTGCAGTACAACTGGGAAGCCCTCCAGAAGCAAATAGTCGATAAGTTCATTCGTGGAAGGCCTATCGTGGAGTTTAAGGTACATGTTACAGTTTGTTTCCGAGAAAAAGCACAAACTATTTTGTCTGTTACGTGATAAGAATAGGTTACAGTCTAAGAGACAAAATCATAAGCTGCAAAACATAACACTAAATAAATATATTATGCCGAACAGTTTTTAAACTCCCTAATTTCAATCCCGACGTTTCATTCCTCTTTAGCTCTCCCTTTGTCTTCAATTTTCTTGGTCGTTTCCATAGGTCACTCAGTTTGGAGACGACTTCTTTATGGCTGAATTTCCTATACGACGAGATCAAATAAATTTAGGGAATCATACAATCTGTAGACCAGAGTGATACGAAACGCAAAACTGAATTTCTGGAAATGCACCTGTCCCACACTTGAGTAGTGGTATGGAATTCGCTAGTTCAACAAACCAACAGTTAAACTCACTGTCGTTAAGTACACTTAGTCAATTTTCGCTTCTCTATCTTTTAAGCTGGATGATTTCGTGTTTCATGAAGATGACCGCGATATGTCCTTCGTCAAGTTGAGGGAAAAGATTCCACAGGTTAGCCTTGTAGAAAGATATTCAAAATTCTTACGTGACTGGTCTCTTAAGAAACAGGATTTAATTTGCTGTAATAGTTATAGACAGACCTCACCAGAAATTACAACTAAAAGATATAAGTAGTCGTAATGATCGAAAAAAGTGTGTCAAACGTTACATTATGCAGGTGAAAACAATAGAAGTTCATCTGGCGGCGAACCATGAAAACCACATGTGAGATTATAGAGATCTGGTAGATAGTAATCATTTTTTAAAACAACATTCGTCGTTCTTTTTTTCAATTTTCGAGTCAATTGATGGTAATACTGAAGGAACTCAGGAACGTGAGTGAATTACTTTCAACCCTGGAAATGGCAATTGGTTTCCTGTCAACGGCAGGTGGAGATCCGAAAACGAAAGTCTGCGATTATCTGAAGAATCTTCTTCTTCTTAGTGATGAAAAGTCGAACTTGAGGAGCAAGAAGGTGGGTAATTTTTCTAAATGCAAGAGGAACAAGATTGCTGTCATGATACTCGATCTCGATCGCTTAATTACTTTTAATAGTAAAAGGTTGTTTCAAAACTTTAGACTGAAAAAAAGGTTTTTACATGTACCATATTTTCTGGAAGAAACGTTCGACCTCGATTGTGGCCAGCCTTGCATAAACGCCAGGGCTAAACTGATAATTTTGAAAAAACGCAGGTGCATGGGAAGGGGGAAAGCGATATACTGCAGGAGAAGACCAGGCAACAGCTTGTTGGGTCTTGACTATGGAAAAATTCGTTGATTTGATCAACTACCTCTGTGTGTCTTAGAATGGGTACTCAAATGATACACCTAATAAAATGTAAGAAAATTGCTCTCTGTTTATAAACGCCGCTCTTGTATTTACTGCACGGAGTACTGGGAAATCTCGCGTTAAATTATACCAAACAGTAAGGATTTTTGATGAATCCAAGAAGCAGTATACTCTATTTGTATGAGGATTTGGGGGCATCAATCTTGCCCTTTCTTTAATTTTTAGTAATTTATTTCATTACCTTACTATATCATAGGCTCAACAGTCTTGCTGTCTGTGTCACATCTTGGATCTGTGGTCCACAATTGCCGAAGCGCGTGCGAAATTCTTGTTCAGGAATAGGCAGGTGCACTTTACTCAATTTCTGTTACAGAGTATTCAAATCACCTTTAGTTGGAAAAAAATGTCATCATCTTTTGTGTGATGGTAAGATGTTTCCTGTCCAGTGGTTACGATCCCTCAGATCAGCCCTTTCGTTTCGCCATTTCTCTCTTTCGAAATATTTTAGGTTACCTCCACACAAAGACTACATTTTTGTCCCGAAAAACAGTCCATACATTTATTCTTGTTCTCTCTGTAACGTTCACGGTTAACAAAGTGCATTCCGTCTACCAAAATTAGTTTCCATAACGATCAACTAATCATCAACTGACAAACGATATCGCAAAATACAGAGCATAACTTGTGGAGATGATAGACTGGATTTGTTTCTTTTCAGTTTGACAGATCTTAATTTTTCAATTCTTTCAGGATCCGTTTGAAGACATTTCAGAAAGTTTTAAAGAAGAAATGCCACGAGATACAATTGCATTACTAAGTGCAGCACTGAAAAGAATGGACGTTGACTTGTTTTTGAGAAGAGTGATTGAAGTCATCAGTTTGCGACTTGTTCATGAAGAAGAAAGAAATCGTGAAACGGGGTAATTCCTATATTCTATAGAAATATTTTTAACGCAACAGCTCAATGATATATCTATGCAACACATACAAAGTGTGCAGTACAGTACACTTTTTTTACGATAAATTACAGTTCATCAGTTTCATTACCTAAATTTAGTAGTTTTACTTACCGTAGAACACATACACTATCATTAACCATACGCGACAAACTTTACATTAGCATCGAAAACAGTTCACTACCATGCTCATTCCACTTGTAAATTTGTCCAATTTACAAGGTGATACTTGTAAAGTTAAAACAATCCACAAAGGTTTTAATTCTGCTCACCAAGTGCGTAGAGTTCAAAACGCTGTTTGCAGTACAACACATCATATTCAGCAAACTGTAAATAATGCTTAAGGCACGATAAAATCCCTAGTAATAGCACTTTTAAAGTAAAAACTAAAAGGAAAGCCAAGGGTGACATCTAATAAAAATCTTATCCTTCCTTAAAGAACATAAAAACCGTTTATGGCCACAGTTAGGGACCAAATTAATCGCTAAATGATAAAGAAGTTTAGATAAGTAAGGCTGAAGGGGTAGCTTTAGGTCTCTTTGTCTTTTTACATGGTTGGAAAGTCTAAAATCTTGGTTTTCCGTGTCCTCCGAATTAATTACTTTTGTAACACATCTATGATGCTCATGGGTTTCAGCCACCTTGTCAGCGTTAGAGGACGGAAATTTTGTATTGTTCTCAAATATAACCTTCTTCCTCTTTATTTCCAGACTCAGTGAGTACTTATCGAGGGTCTTTTACGACAGCTCCGATTTGGATCAGACTCCTGATCAAGTCAAAGTAATGCACATAATTCACGCGTGCGAGCTTGCGCTAGATGTGCGTGAAAAAGACCAAGGACGCAAGAGGTCCATGATGTCCTGAGGTTCTTATTTTTGGGAGTTCAAGAACCTCTCACATTTTGTCGTTCATAAGCTACTTGACCAGCCAGAATTTAAATTAATCCTAAATCGCAATTTGAAGGACTCTTCAAACATGCAGAATGAATATGTTTTTGACGCTATAATCAATTTTGAAATTGTAGTTCAGCTCACATGTAGTACTAAAATAAGCCACTTGCCAGGTTTAAATTGCGATTATTTTCAAACTTCAGTCAATTCTTTGTAAATCATCTATTACACGTTGGTATCAACTAAGCTTCATTGCTTCCATCCAGCAGGTCGTGGATGAAAGTTTGAGCCGTTTCGATTGGCAAACAAAAACAAGAGCACAAAATTCACTTCAGCTTAAATGCAATACTAAAATTAGGCACCTCCAGGTTTAATGGACGAAAATTAACTTAATCAATTTTCAGTAAATCAGTTATCAGCAATAAAGGTTAACATATTGTTATCAACTAAGCCTCGTACCTTTCATCCAGCGCCTCGTGGATAAAAATGTTGACCGTTTGGAGTAGCATACCAAACAGGAGCACAAAATTGTACTGGACTGTACCAAAAAGTTTGGCTGGTAATAGTTGACAGTAACGGCTGCTTTACAAATGTCAACAATGCCTTAAGCCAAGAGAATAAACCACATGTTTATAAATGTAGTACAGCCCAAGAAGTATCTTAAAACATTACGGGCGCTAGAAGTTTAAAATTCCTGTCCGTTAGTAACCGTAAAAAGTTTTTTCCTCTCCTAGCCTGGAAAGTGTTGGCTCAAGAACCGGCCACTCAGTTTTCGTCTTTTTTACGACTACATTGGCAGAAACGATGGGCCAGAGGGAAAAGTGGTTAACTACAATCACAACAGGAAGTATTGCGACAAAGGTTCTTTTCATCAGGACCTTTCGTAAGCACATAAATTTTTCCCAGCTATAACTTTGGGTGGGGTGCTTACTACCATTACATTTGAAGACACCAACACCGGCAAAGAAAAAAATTCTGCAAAAGTTTAATGAAAGAGATACTTTTCTATACTAACTTGACATTTATTCAAAGTGCGGTTCAAACTTACATACTAATATCATTCTCAGCTGATGCAATTTGATTTATCTTTAGATTGTATAAGAAAAAAATTATGAAAAATTAATCAATAGCACCGTCCTGCTTTAGTTTTCATGTACATAAAAGCTTCTGCTTTTCCTACTATTTTTGCAGAGGATGGCATCGAGAATAATTTTTTTAACACTATAATTAAACCAAAGGTAAATATACGTGGCAAAAGAAACTGGCTGCCCCTACTCATAAACTACAGCAACGAAGTACCTTAAAGTAGCTACAAAAACGGCAGTATTTATTACGTGCCAACATTTTCAAATTAATTTGTTATTATGTGTATCTAGTACCTCATTATTGTACGAGAGAAAACTGAAGCCAGAATCCAAACTGTTATGAAAATTCAGCATGTACCCATTCATTTCTTTTACTGACTAAAAAAAAGTTGACTGCTTAGGCTTTCTAAAAACGAACTACACCACTGCCTTTGAGTTTTGAACTGACCGCTCCTCAAGCATAAGATTAAACTGCTTGACGATCTTTGTGGAAGTCGTCACTCAGCTGGACTGCGGAGTTCCAAACGTCCTTTAGGTGCGCCATTTTGATGCTGTCCGGGATGTTCTCAGTTCCTGGGATTTGTTCCAAGCTTTTGTTGGCTAAACAACAATCCAAATACTCTTCAAAGCTGCAATAAATTTGTAGTTATATCTTAGACTTGTTAAAATATAGTACTTCACAACCAAATTAGGATTTCTAAAGCCGCAAGAGAGTGTGCCGTAAACTGACTCTTCTACCCTAGCAATTAGCAATATCAGGATCTCACTATTTTCAACTGCTAAAAAGAATTGAGCGTGGACTTGAACAACAAGCTCTTTTACAAAATACGAAAGTAGCTTTGAATTAAAGAGGAAATTTAGTGAAAATTGGACAACAAGGTGCAGTAAAGTGTTTATCATTAGAACCTTCGGTTCAAATACAAGAAAAGACACTGACGATATCATCCCTCCCAGGAAATAGTATTACCTAAAAAAGTTACTTTTTTTTTTTTTTGAGAAAAAAGGTTTCTTAAAAGCCAAAAGTCTATAAATTAGGCATAATAAGGAAATCTCGTGGCTGTCACGGTTTGTACATCATAGCTCCACACTTGCGAGAGAAGGCATTATTTCCTAGAGTTACGAAACCAACTGTAAGAAGTGCAAGATAAGAATAACGACTTTGGTTCTTATTTAATTAACGCATTAGAGAATGGGGCATTTCGAATAGCCTGTCCTACCTCATCGTCGAAATCGTTTCGCCATCTTTTTTGACATTCAGAAGAATAATTTGCAGGAGCTGCGGCAGAAATATGTCCATGTCGATTTTTCGCAACACACGATTTAGTCTGGTCTTTTCGCTCGAGCCTAGTTTTTCCTTGAAAACGTCAGATAATTGCTCAAAAGGCTCCTGAAAAAAAATTTCCGAAAACAGTTTGTTTGAAAATGGATCTAACGAGATCAGACACACCTCACCAAACTTTTAAAATCAAAACTACCCTTTCCTAACCTTGCGGTAAAGTAGAGGTATACATCTCGTGTACAGCATATTAAAAACACTTTGAACGAAGTTGAAATTGCTCTTTATATTCGCAAACGAACGAATGCTATAGTGCTAAGGTTCGTGAAAAAATGACGGACATTACGCAGAACGAAAATTAAACCACAAATCATTTCAAATCTAACCTGTTTGTTCCTTGACTTGATTTTTGCTCTCTCGAGAGCCATAAGCCGCCACAATGCCAGGGTATGGGACAAACTGCAGTGCTGCTCTGCCTGCAACAAGATGGCATAATCCATAAGAACCTATACAAGAGTGAAAGCACTTTTACATAGAACAATTCCTGGCGTAGGAGCAAACAGTCGAAAACAGGGCTTCTCCTTCAGTCAACTAATCGAAAATAATTATTAGACATCTCTCACACATCGTTCGAGAGCTACAAAACCTCTGGCGTCCAGAAATTAGTTTTTGTAGCAACAAACAAGAACATTTTGATTTACATGTTGGTGTTGGGAGCTTTGCACCAGTCAAGAAGGATGACTGCTTAACCCTTTAACTCCCACAAGTGACCAAAACAGTATTTCTCCTTACAATATCAATACAATATCAAACAGACAAGTGATGAGAATAAAGAAAAATATCAGTTAGTGGATTATAAGTTGATCCAATACCAAATTCTCCAAGCTAACATCACAAGAACTGTCTGAGAAACAGAAAGGAGAATTACTAATGAGATCTTGGGAGTTAAAGGGTTAAGTGAGTGAAATGAAAAGGAGAAATGTACTCACTGTTGGACTCTTGAGACCTCGATCTTTGGGTAGCTTAAGTACCTCATGTAAGTACCATTTTAAAGGCCTCTCCGGCTGACCACCCGATGAGGCGAGAAAACCAATGGCAATATCCAGCGACGACATAACATCACAGACATCAGACAAGGAAGACCGCAGATCATTAATAATCTGACTTTCGACGACGCGGGAAATGGATTCCTTCAAAGAAACACTTGGTGTAAGTGCCTTGGATCTTGACCACACCAATACAAACAATAACATCATAATAATGCGATAAATACATTACTGTCGACGTAGCAAAAACAATTCAGAGCTGAAAACCTGCTTTCGTTAACTGAAACAGCTGGATGGAAAAGTTAATCACGTTAGTAAGTGGAATATAATGCTCTTTCCGTGGTCAAGACGGATCCACGTGCTTATAAACCTGTTTCCCAAAAATACAATCAAAGATAGACTAGATGACAAAACAACAAAAAATGAAGCAAGATTTCGTTCCCAATGAAACTACAAAAAGTTAGGTTGCAAGTAAATGAGAAAAAAGAAATAATAAAAATACATATTTCATAAACGAAGGTAATTTGAAATGTTTTCCCAATCTAAAATCCCCAGTTTGTATCGCCAATCAAGCGTTATTAGACAGCCGCCAACACCAAATCTCCTTTTCAAACATTCCAAACCTTCAGATTATTTTCCAGGGTGCATCACTGAGACTAAGACGAAAGCAAATTTCTGCTCTAGAACTCTACAGTACACTGGTTAGACGTATATATTAAAACGAAAAAAAAGGGAAACTATGAACTTTACCTGAGGAATTTTTCCAGTGAGTGAAGTGAAAACTGCGTCATCTCGGGTGTCTCGGCTGAACGCAACACGTTCGTCCTGAAACAAAAGAAGAAAAGGCGCTGTCAGATATTACAATTACTTTGGTCGCAATTCTTCTTCCAGTTGCGAAGGGATGGTCATAACGAAGCTCCAAACGCGTCTTTAAAAAGGAATGTTCGTTTTGTTAATTTTTTTGTTTTTTTCTAATTGTTGGTCATCAGATACTGACCAGTAAGACAAGTAAATGAAAGAAAGGTAAAAAAGGATGAATAGCACGAAGTGTAAGGAAAAAGGGGTTGACACCGTTGTTTGTAACATACTTCCCAGAAACTGAAGCAGTGTGCAAATTACCCTACGAAATAACTTCCATTCTGGCTGTATCTGTCACGGGAGTCCCATCTTTGAAATTTCAAAATAAGTAAGCTTTTGTTATCCATCAACTGAAATTGTTGAGACTGATTGAGATATATCTTTACAAGAGAAACGTGCCCATAAAAAAAATGAGATTGAAACTGTTTGCAGTAAGATGAAGCAGACTCAAGGTAAGGGAATGAAAAGAATAAATACATTCCTGTGCGGTGAAAAATTTTACAGAAAAACTGAAAATGCTTTTTTCTCATCATATATTATGTGTTCTAAATACTTCCACCTTACCTTGAACTCGACAAAAGGCCTTCCCCTCAACAACCTGTCAATCAGCTGTCTCTCCAGAGCTGCCCAATCATAGTGAACCAAGGTCTCCTGTCCCACCTCCAGAGAGTAGTTACAATGAGCCAGGATGAGGGGCAGCAGGTCTCTCTCAGGATCATAGGCTATTAAGTGCGACAAGGTCACCTCTGATACGGAGACACGCTCCAAGGGACTATAAATGAAAAATAACATTACAGATGAGATGTATAGTTGGGTCTTAAAAACAATCATTGGATGAGGTTTTTGTAATATTCAGAATAATCAAGGTCGAGATAGGAGTTATCAGCCTCATCCTTCGGCTTCGGCTGATAACCCTTGCCAAGACCATGATTTTTCTGGATATTACAAAGCTGAATCCAATAATTGTTTTATCATACGTGAACGAAAAAAAAAGTGGTCACAACAGCAGTTGGAACTGATAATTTATTTATAAACGTGTAAAAGTATTCAAATCAGCAAGCAACACAAAGCGCACGAACTTGACATGATTTACCCTTGGAAATCGCGCACTGTAGTTACACAGGACATGATTACCCGTGACCTTGAGTGTCCTTGACATGATTATTGTATAATTTGCAGTTAGATGACGTCCCAGGCGCTGATTTCGAAAATTCGCTGAAGGCTTTCGGCCAATCAGAAAAGAGATCGTGATTGTTTTTAGTTAGTGTGCTATGCTTAGGTGGTAATTATCCAAGACTAAGCAGAACTGATGGCAAATGATTTTCATCAACATCGTAACTATTTCCGATGTACATTATTCTCGAAAATAGTAGCTTCAATTCATACATGTTCACATTCTAAAGCTGCCTTTGGGGGAGACGATAACTGATTGCAGGATGCCGATATCAGTCTCATGTTGCAGCTCAGTCAGTTTGACAAACATCCCAGACCTAAATTAAGTAGAAAAACGTTATCGACGCCCGAGTCAGATCACGTCGATCAACTTTTTGCTTCTACAGAAGGTAAAAGGAAAACAGCAACACGTAAGCTAGTCATTATAAAGTTATGTACCTGTTTTGATTAGTTGCACTACGGTAGGCTCCCAGAGACTCGTTATTTGCATTAACCAGGAAGAAAGTGAGCGAGGTCGAACAAACTCCCATCCCGGTGGTGCAGGGGAGAACTATCGCGATTGGACAGTCGTTGTCCATTGTGGTATTACAAAGGTTTTGTGGGACGCGCAGGCGACCTTAGGGTGTAAAGAATGACAAATTAGAACCCGATGAGAGTACTCAAAAACTGCAAGGTAAAACTGCTAGAGCAAACAATCAACGAAAATACTGAATTTGTGCCTGCGTTGAAATAAAACCACATTAAAAAAATTCGATTGATAAAAGGAATAACCGAAGGAAAAGACCCCATTGTTATAAATCAGTGCGCTCCTTTTTAAAAACCGCCAATTCAAATGTTCGAGATATCATTTCAGGACTAAGTTTTCACTCCACATCAAAGTCTAAATTTAGCATCACTCATGAGTTTGGCCCTTTTTTATCTCACCACGCGGGGCTCACATAAATTTTTAAGTAACTCCACAAACACTAATTACAAAAAAACCAAATTTGGTCTCAAGAATCACTCAAGCCTTCTTCCATGTACCCTGGAAAAACGGAACAATCGTTGTACCTTGATCACCGAGAAATGACTTGCAAGCATTCCAAGCATTCTTGAAACTCTGGAAAAGGTTCGTATACTCCTCTTTCACAGATCCTGGAGACAAATTTGATTTCAGCAGAATTAAAGTTTACTTCAAGAGTCATCACAGTTGCACTAACACTGGCAACTTTCTCTTCAGTAAAATTCATACAAAAATATTGTTATCCAGGAGAAGTTGCACGGAAAATGTCAAACACAGAGACTTGTCAAGCAAAATCTTGTCTAGGACGCAATTTACTTGCGCAGATGACCCGACAAGACTTCTCAAGAAAATTCTGACCGTGAAAATTTTTCTTGACGAATAAATAAACAAAATTGAAATTTAGAAGTCACATTTCGAAGAGGTGGAAATGCTACAGCTTTGACAACTCCGTCATTCTCGTCGTCTAAAATATCCTGTGGAAAAACTAACAGGGAAAGGTGCATCTGCTAACTGCAGCTTACTGTTTGAAAAGCAGCTCAAAACATCAACCTTTTGCATTGAACAATTGCCATGGCATTGGCTATATCGGATACACGTTTGTAACTTATTAAGTACCTTTGGGAAGGTCCTTGAGAAATTCACGGACGGTATAATTCTCAGCATCTGTTCTGTCAATTCGTCGGTGGAATCTGTCCATCAATAGACGCTGGAGGCGAACAACATCGGGCAGAAACTGAACGAAACGCAACCTGTGTTCCTGCATTTGTTGAAAAAGAAAAAGCATGTAAAGATAGAGACTTATAAAGCAGACTCCCTTCGGTTTTTCATGAACAGATGCTGCCCGAAATTAAGGCAAAAAAAGGGGTTTGAATTACAAGAAAGACTTTTTTCTTTGTAGCACAGAACCCCAACTCTTTGCAGCAATATGTTGATTTTACCTGTTTGAGGAAAGCGTCCAACACTTTGAATTTCCCTCCGCCACCAGATAGGACTTCTTTTTGAAAAGAGCTACTCAGTTCCTCAACAGTTATATGGTGTCTGTACTTCCAAAGAGCGCGAGACATGGGCCTGACGCCTTGAGATAAGTCTTCAATCTGTTCATCGAACTCGTAAAGTTGACGTACCAGTGGGTCCTTTCCTGAAAATGACACCATACGAAGACGTGTGAAAAATTGTTTCACTTGAAAAGTGTCGCCTTAATATATTGAAAATTTGTCATTTACGAGCTGAGTCAATCTCCTCCATTCAAAAATATTATCTTCGGGTAATTCTTCTCATTTTACAGACTCCGTTTGCTACCAAGCTTATATTAAACAGTTTCGCCAGAGTTTGTTTAACTGTGCACGCTTCAGCAAAGATTGAAAAACAAAAAAGGCACTCAACGATAAAAGTGCTTGTAAAACTTGTTTTGTAGATGTCTCCAGAAAAATACGGCTCACTATCAGCTAAGGTTGAGTTAGCTCCTCTTTCAGGGATGACACTAAAGCCCTCCAATCCACTAGTCCTAGTACTATCATTAGCTTGACGCGCATTTGTTTCTGCATCAACAAGTAATATGGAAAAGCATACCAAATCTCTCGTCTCCCATCAAAAGTCTTGAGGCGTTTTGGAGATTCTCGTCAAGATGCTAGGAAGATAATGCAAAAATAAGAATTACACTGGCGCGTTACCATACGCATAAAGATCGTATGTAGCAAACTAATTAGCGAAACAAACAAAAAGAAATCGCTCAATTTTAAGAGTACGTACGGTGATGACAGGAACAAGAATCTCAGAGCAAAAAGCTTTCTCCCAGCTGCGGCGACTTTCCCGGGTTTGAAGACGCATGTCATGGTCATTTCCTGGAGAGTATGGAGAGAAATGAGAACACTGGGCAATAACAAACAAACTGGAAAGCAAAATAGAAAGAGATACTGAATTTTTGTACAATATGCTGAACTCATTTTTTAGTTTGATCAACGAGAAGGCAAAAGTGAGTATGTCGTCATCAGAATCGGTTGATTCTCCTTACTATGCTGCCATTCGCCAGTTCATCATGAACACTATTCAGCAACATCAGCCAGCGACTCGTGCATCATTTATTTTCATTTTTCTAATTTTACAACCACATTATGGTATCATCTGTTATCTAATTGTCATTTACTCATACCTACGAACCAGTCCTTAATTTAATTTTCGGTCAGTTCGAGGGCTTACGGTCAATATGTTCACTTTTTTAGAATTCGCAACCAGAGCTAATTGACTCCTTAATGTTGGAATTGGTCATAGTTAAATTATGACGACGGCTAGAGCTTGCGCACGAGAGACAAAAGTGCAAATTTCCAGTTTCTAAAGCACGATTTGGTAAAGAATAGAGCCATTTATCCTCGACGGTACGGGTGTTCATCGGATGAGAGTTTGCACGTTCATCAAATTGTGTTTTTACACTAATTTTAAGGTGTAAAAGCTTGTACCGGTTTTTCCCCCATTTAGCGAGATCATCCGCTGTAATGCTAGATGAACCGTCAGAGCTGCGTTATCAACACTGCACCCGATTGCTCTACTGAGAACATCCAGGTCTCTCTGCAAGTGCTGCCATAAAAACTGTCCCACAGACTGCGACGAGCATGAAGGTGTGATCAGTTGTACGGTTGCCTTTGAAGAAAAAAATCGAAGATTTCAAATTGTACTCAAGAGTTAGATAGATGAGAAAAAACTTGGCTGCTTTCGTTAATTAAAACCAAAGAGATATTTGTTCCATCAGATTTTAGACAAAGTTATCTCCACTCAGAAACTGGACTTGGAATCTGGTGGTACCGGGTTCAGGACCTCCACACTGTTCTCGGTTACCCTGAGTTCAGCTCCTTGGCTGTGCTTTGTATACCCTTGTAAATAAAGCCTTAAGACTATTTTTATCATCATCATCATTATTATTATTATTATTATAACTATCATTATTTTAATTTGAGACTTCCTATCACTCTAAAAACTGGTCAGTCAAACTAAATATCGCGTGAACCGTATACTCCTCTTCTCTATATCAAATCTACATCAAAACAGGGATTCAGAGGGGTTGCAGCTAAGAAAAAAGTTACCAGAAAGTTCATTTTCTTACAGCCGCCTACTGTGTATAACGACTAATCACCTGTGGATTTCTGGATGCTCCCATGACCATAGACGAGTGCATGATAATCCTCAGCAAGCTGCACACTATCGGTGGCATGTCTCTCTGAGGTTCTGCGTTCGTAGGTCTCGAGCCAGGTTCTCCGAGTGCATGGCCAGTTTTAGTCCTGTCTTTCCTAGAGATAGAAAGTTGAAAAGTACATACCACTTAGATAATCAAATGCGCTTAAAAGTTTTTACAATAGATACGTCTGATGTAGTGTCACGAGCTTAAAACATAATGCCTTGATGGAAATAAGCCAGAAGAAATATGACACGAAACGAAATGAAACGATAGGAAGTACCAAGAAACATCGGTCAAAAAAAATTGGGTCAAGATCGAAATGCTTTTGTCACATACCATAACTCACTCACTCACTCACTCACTCACTCACTCACTCATACCCTAACATAGCTATAGCAAGACTAAATTTTTAAGTTGGTCATTTGAATCCATTCAAGGGAATATAGACCACACAGTTTACATCCTCTTGATCCATTGTAATCTTTTCCATCCTTGAACATCTCTCTTTCTTGGTGTATTACTTTCTTCTTTTGTGTTTCTGACTTCAAAGCTACCATTTTCTAGTATCCTTTCTGGTGAAGTTAGTCTTTCAAATTGCACAAAATAATACTCAAAACATCTCAACGTTGGTCTTCTCTTTGATAAAAATAAGTCCTCAACGTGTGATGAAAAAAAATATCTTTTCCCAACAACAGAAAGAAATGTTTAAGTTAGTCGAATAAGATGTCTTTAAATTACTTCTCAGAAACTCTGTATTCTCCTAAGAACTCGTGATCCTTCCCTCCCAATACTTTTCCACAACCTGGACATTTGCCCTGCTCCATTGGTTTAGAACACTATTTCCAAAAAAATAAAATCCATGTTAATTAGCACAATGAACACCGGTGACTATGCGTAAAGTACATTAAGTTCCACAGCCAGAAATTCCGAACCAAAGAGGGTGGTGCTTACTTCTGTTACGCGCCAGCACACATGACAGCATGTCAAGAAAGCTAGCGTGTGATTGGTCCCTCTTTTAAAGTAAACACCTTAATTAAAGCAAAATGACGTCGCACGAGAGACTTTCGAATGGGTATTTGATATTAAATGCCATTTCATCCGCGGATGCCGACTTTGTCCAGCCACAGAAATTAATCTAGTAAGGAGGATCGACTTATTGGGAAGTCGAAAGGCTTGTCGAAAGACGGGAAACAGATGAAACGGTAAGTGTTTGGCCGTAGTGCCTGTCTTCGCACGTGCTCGCTTGTGTTTATATATTTTTAACTGAATTCAGTCGAAATCAGCACAGGCTTTTTTTTTGCCTTTCATTTAATTAGGTAGAATGCTTGCTAAGGAAGGGCTACTTGCCTTACGAAGCCTCGTGGGAGCCAGAGTAGGGTATCTTACCTCGATGCGAGGAACTATTCAACAGGCCAAGCCCGGACGTTGCAATAATTCCAGAAAATGTGTATTCTTTTAGGGTGGCCGTCGAACGGCACTTGAAATCGCGGTCACATTTGCCTGTAAGGTTGTTTTTTCGGGAATGTTTTTCGTTTCTTGTTTGCTGGTAAGGGAGTGTCGAGGGAGAGACGGACATTTTTTGAAAAAGATAATTTCAATGCTGTTTATTTTCCTCTTGGGTGAGATTCTTGGGTGGATTGTCATGGTCAAGGAATGAAGGTTTTTTTACCCTATGACGGTTAAAACGTATATTTCTTGGTCCCCAAAGAAGTATGAAATGGGTATTGGTGGGATTTCTACTTTGTTACCAAGAGCATATCAGGAGAACATTTTTTTTAATTTAATTGAAGTGGCTCTAAATGATTGAATCATGAAGAGCTACTTTAATAAAATTAATTGTGGTAATTGAACTGAGAAAAGTGCAATTTGTATAGGTAATCACATGATTTCGAGTGCAATTTGGAATAAATAAGCATGAGTAAATTTTTTAAAAGACGAACAAAATTGCACAAACCTGTAGGGCGAGTGCAATTTGTGGTCTTTGAAAAAATTAACAAGTGATTGTTTATTCCAAATTGCACGAGAAAAATCATGTGATTACGAGTTAATAATATACATGGAAAAATATGAGATGGCTTATCATAATTAAACATAAGCAAAGCATGTGCATCAAGTCGAAAAATAATTTATTTAAACCGTGCATTCGGTCAAAACAACTGCGTACGATCAAAACAATAATATGCAATGATATCTTCACATCTTTAAGGCGAAAAAAAGTTCAGAGTCTGGCTAAACAGTTCAAGGAATTGTTCAGTCTGTGTCCGAATCACTTTCCATGAAATGGAATCGTTGTTTCTGAGGTTTAACCATGCTTGTTTTTTAATGTGTTAAGCTTGGTCGGCTCATAATTTTTGATTTCCTTGGCAATTCCCTTCTCTAAACACCACTTTTTCCAAACCGACGACCAAAAAGCAGTGCTTTTTATGGTGTCTTCATTGTTCGAGCTGTTTTTCAGCGGCGGTGGAAAAAGAAAACCTACCTGCTATTGTTTTGCTCACAAATTTTCAAATTTTGTTGCAACATCTAAGGCTTGCATTTGATTGGCTATCTGTGAGTTTCTTTGATTATTGACCAATCAGAATGTCTGATTTGCTACTTTCTTTGCACTGAATTAACCCTCTTCTGCACTGAATTACCTGAAAAATGCATTTATCTTAACCAATCAGAACTGAGCAACTTTTCCATGTGTATTATTAGGTCTGTAATCATACATGTGATTTCAAAATAAAAGAAATATTCTCCTAATATGCTCTTTTCAGATTAAATAAAAATTATGAGTTTTGCATGAGACAGTGGAAAATATTCCATACAAATTTTGAGATGGATATGCTAAGTGTAAGTGGTCAGTAAGTACATTCAGTTTCAAGCGTGCATTCATCTCTCTTAGTATGTATAACTTTGTTACAAGTGTACATTCAACTCTGTATTAAAAAGGCAGATAAACTTTTTAAGTGTACATTCATCTTTGAAAGTGTACATTCAAATCTGTAAATTCTAACTTTGTTGGCCGTGTAATTTAATCTTTGTAAGTGTACATTCAAATCTGTTGAGGCACAGTGCTTTGTGAGTGAACATACATCTGCGTACGCATAAATTTAACCTGCCTCAGTAACTGTTCATTCAGCATTGAATGCAAATGTGAAAATTTACATTAAAAAGAGTATGCTCTCCACTGTGTTTTTGTCATCAGGATGAAGTTAGTCATATTTTGATTTTGGGGAAGCCACACTACCATGTTCTGGTTGTGGATTGGGAGGATTTGTAGTTGAGTAGTTTATAGAAAAACTCTCATTACTGTTAGGGTCTTTATATTTCAAAAGCTGTAAATCCAGGGCAATTATTTTTACTAGATTAAGTGCCTTCTGTGCTTGAGTCTTTAGTTCTTTTAATTTTCAGTTTGTGCTTGTTTTGTTTTGAGGTCTGGAATTCCAGCTCATCTGTGAATCCCCAAGTTTCCATTCTGTAACCTGTCAATGTACTTAGTCAGTTGTTGATTTTCATTGTTCAGTTTTCTAGTTCTTTCCTTTTCTCTGACATAATGTTTTTCAATCTCTGAAAGCATTTCTTTGGCCAGTTTCTCCTTTTTTTCCTCAAGATTTTCATATTTACTCTCCAGTTACAGATTTCTTTTTCAAGTTTTGACTGAATAGCACAAAGATCTACTTCCCAACTTCTTTACCAAGATCACTTCACTTTTCAAAATAATCAGCCTACACAATTTTTCCTCATGTCCCTTTCTGTTTTACAATTTTCATCTTGTGTTCAGAATCTGATTTGTGATTGAAGCAGCAGAACAATGGTTTGAAAGTCGGCCTTCAATTCGATCACTCTCTCAACTGATCTTTAACGCATGGCCAGGGATGATTCCATTTAACATGTCAATATATGCAATGCTTTGGGTTTCTCTTTTCAATTTGTGCCACTGTATCAGTGTGGTATTCCTAATTGCCAGTGAGAATACAATTTCATTACCACCTTCACGTTATTTTGTTTGCAAATATGTACGAGGAGGATCACGGACCGGGTAGCGATCAGACATTTTTTATTCTTGTTTTTGTTTTTTTTTTTCGCGGGAAATCAAAACAAAAATTTTGAAATTCCCACCAAAAAGGCCTGTTGCACCGAGCCTCCAGCCTCGTAATCACCTCCTGTAGATACCAGTCTTATCTGTCAATAAGCTGTTGGTATCAAAATGGCGATCATTGTTATACAGCATTTAGTGCGAGCAACAGAGGCTTTCAAAACTTTTTTTTCCGCGCGATCGAAGTAGGATTACTGTTCGTGGATGCGTTCGTATTTGCTGAAAGAAGACTAAAAAAGCCGCAATATTTTCAGGGTTTACAAAGTACGATTTGCCGTAAATGTGGAATGATATCTTTGAACTTAAATTATTTGATTGGGATGGATCGTTACAAGAGAGGATTTCGGCTTAGTTAAGATGTTCAGAGTGGCATTTACGAAGGTAGGCGCCATTTTGTGTGCTTTAAAGGGCATTTCTTCAGAATAAAACGCTGCAAGTAACAACCGAGAAAACCGCAACGAGTGTTTGATCTACCAAAACAAAGTAATTCCGCAATGAAAGTACTGATGAGTATCATTCGAACTGGCATTGGGATGGTGGGGGTTACGTCCAACATACGAATTTTATAAACAGGTTTTATACGAATCCCATACTGATCCTTCTATTCTTCAGCAAGTTTAAAATAGCGCACGCGCGATTCGGAATTTCTGGCTATGCTTTCTCTACTCGGACAACGGGCAATTGGCAACTGGCAACGTATTTACACCCTTCTCCCTTACCCATTGTGGCAAGTCTCTACGAGCGCAACCTTTGATTTCTTGGCCGATAATAGTCAGTTGCGGATCCAGATAGGAGTTCCAGGGATTCTGAACCACCACCCTACCCCTTCTCCCCCATCAGAACCCTGGGTACTTTCCCTCTACCTGAAGCCAATATTCTGCTCAGGGAAAGATTTCATATTACTAATAAACTTAAAGTTTAGTTGTAATTTTCTTAGTTTAAAGTATTTCGTGTCTTCTTTAGGCTCTAGTGTCCATGTAAAAAAAAATATATTTCCTTACCTCCCCGATGAAATACACATATCTGCAATTGCCACACTCTGAAAGAAAGTAGAGCGTAAGAAGTAATTTTAAAGTTCTCGTTGGAACACTAGAATTGTACATTCTTATTTGAGATCGCTGCTAAATCTCAACGTAAACATTTCTAAAAAAAAAAAAAAAAAAAAAAAAAAAAAAAGACACTTACCATACCATTCTCCAACCCGACCAGTGCCTCTCATAGTTTCAGCGATGACCTTCATGCACTCGAGATAGTTATCCTCGGGCATTGTTGGTAAGAAAGAATTCTGTACCAGGAGATCAACGGAGAAATCAGATATTCTGTCAGTAAACTACAGTGGAATAGGGTAATTTAGTATTTTTAACTGAGTTGATAACGTAAATTGGCCACCGTAAAGGGTTCAATAGCTGACGTTTCGCGTATCAGCCCTTTGTCAGAGCGAATGACGAAGGGCTTTAACGAAAGGCTAACGCTCGAAACGTCAGCTTCAACACTCTTGACCGTGGGAAATTAACGTTATCAACTCAGTTGATAATATTAAATTACCCTGTTATACTCTCTCATGCACTACAGTTTATTTAGAAACTTACCCCCTTTACTGTGGAACAAGATATGCGATTGCTCTTTACCATTTTAACAATAGAACTTTGATGTTATCGTTATCGTTATCATTTTGACCTATGCTCAGGATAACATATCTGTGTATACTCACCTTCATACTCGATGGATCAGTCAGGAGAGCATAAAGGGGCTGAGCCAAAGATGCTTCACCTACGCACTGCAAAGCTACTACTGTATGGATCACAATTTCGGCCAAAGCGTGCTCCTGCGGACCCTTTCCATTGTAGATTTGAAGTTCCTTTAGATTTCCACCCTGTTTGTTTTCAAGAAGTTCCTTGGCGAAATGTCGGGCCTAAATGATACGCATGGCTTATTACGAACAGAAAAAGTACCTTTCAACAGCCTAAACATAGAGAGGGTAGCAAAATAATGGTAGCGTTGACTATACAACTACCAATTCCTCTGGTTTCACACGAGTCGACACAAAAATCAAAAATTAAAAAATTTGCTAATTGTTCCTTTCTTTTCGACTCACCTCAACGACAATCGATTCTGCAGCAAACATGAGTGCATGTTTTTAATTGTTCTTACCGTTTCATCTAGGTGTCCTCCATTTCTTACGAAATCATCAAGCTTTACTCTCACCTGACAAAAAAAATTATCTTCTTTTCTAAAAGCAGCAGGAAAGAGCGTGTCGAATCAGGGAGGGGGGAGGATGACTAAGCATACAGAGCAATATTAAATTTTCTTTGGAAAGTGTAAATCGTTTTTCTTACCTCCTCAGACAAATTCTGTGTCTGGACTGGAGAAACATTTACCATCGTTATTTCACGGTACATTACCAGGAGGAGAATTACATTTTTAGAGACATCTTGTAAACTTGTTTCCTACGGAAAAAATATTCAAAAGTTCTCATGGTGAGTTGTATGGAAACGTCTCATAAAAGATGTTCGATGGTTGACTTAGCCTTCATTGTTAAAAAGGTACTTACACTTTGCTCACCAATATAGTTGTGAGATGTAAAACTGTAAAATTTAACCTCTAAGTCTTCTAAGATTACGTTAACTGATTAAAGAGGGTAAGTTTCTAAAGAAACAGAGCGAATGGCGAAGGGTTAAGCTAGAATATCAGCTTATAAACTCTTAAGGGTGGCCAATTTTCATTATCAACTCAGTGGATAGCACCAAATTACTAAGACTGTCATCATAATCCACAAGGGGTGGATCCAGCATATTTCTTAGGAGGGGCTGCACCACTAACGAATAATGTAACTGACGCATGATGTAAACAAATTTTGAAAGCGACCAACGAAGAAAAAAAGCTTATGACCAGGAAATAACATAATGTGAACTACTAAGAATGCATTGCAAACAATTAAGCAGAGAGAAATACGAGAGATGGCAAGTTTTGAGCTCGTTAAAGAAATAGAGGAAGTTTTTTTTTCGTTTTGTCACGAGCGTGGGACAAAGGAAAAATTCTGAGTCCCCGTGACGAAAAAACATCTTCCTCTATTTCTTTACCGAGCTCAAAATTTTTTCTTTGGCCCACGCTGGTGACAAGACGAAAAACATCTTTCTCTAATTCACTAGATATTGTATAACCGTCAAGTTGTATTAGGAAGCCGCAAGTCATCAAATTCCTTTATCGCGTGTGAAACATATCTGTCATTTCTGATGTCTGGAGTTGATAAAATCCAAAATAACCCACAATAATCCACAGCCTTCACCCTTACCTTTTCATTAGTAAAGAAGATAAACGGTACAATAGAAAAAAAATATACAGGGAACACTAACCGTAATGGCAGTGACAATGTCTTGGATGTTCCCACTGATGACAGTTTTGGCCAGCCCCTCACGGACGGCACGATAATGGTCTCCATGAACAACAAACCTGTCTTGGATTATATCCTCCTCCTACAGATCGAAGACCAAAGATCAATAGCAAGCAATATGCACTACCATAAGTAAAACGTAAAATGATTGTTGCCTTCAAACAGTTGACCGAACTGTTCCATTATGAGCAGTAGAAAAAGAGGACGGAAAGATTCTAGATTTTCAAAATTCTTCCTCTTTTCCGCTCCTCCAGTCCTCAACCGTTGCGCTTTGGAAACACTTGTGGTTTTTTTGAGAGATATTCCCGAGGTTTAAGTATATTTGTTCTTTTTAAGTGCAGAGAAATTTACTTCTCATAGTAGATGGCCTGCCTCGTTAACACGTTCACAGTAAGTAGAGCACCTGACTACAAAGTCAGAACTTACCAAAATTGAATCCTCCTTACATCCAGAGTTTTCCTTTCCTGTCTATTTACGATATGTGCATACAATATCTCTTTAATGATTCAGTTCTCACACATTTAACGAAATCCATTCATTAATCATTCATTGTCTACCTGCTGTCTGGCCTCTGGAGGTAGAATCCACGCCAGTTCCTTATATTCACCCAGAGTTCGGACACAGTCCAAGCCATACCGCCAGACAAGCTGTTTGATCAGGTAAAGCTGCGGTGTCGAACTCGACACTTCCACGCAAAGCTTCCTTGCAGACTCTAATAATAACATCACTTCTCTCTTGGCGTCAAGGTCTTTGTAGCTGCTATCTCCCTCAATGAACAACTTGTAAAGGTACTCTACCACCAGTGATAAGACGTAACGTCCTTTAGCAACCCCATCCAGAGAGAGAGCGCTCATTTCGGCAGAATCCTCGTCACTGGCCTTGAGAGCTGTTAATGCCTCTTGGCAAGTCTTTTTAGCATGTTTGAGCTTTACTGTTACCTTCGAATCGGCCACTTTGGCTTGATAACGGCTGATAAGGATGTCCTGAGGAAAAGGTAGCTAGATTTGAGAACATCTAGGACTTGATAGTACAATTTACTCCATATAATAAAAGCGAAATAAGTAACATCTCGGGTATGTAAAGTAAAATTTAATTCCAGTTGAACTACTCTAACCCCAGTACAGTATTACTTTAATTTACACACCTCCATGCACTGGACGCATAAGAAGCAGACTTCTTTGACGTGCGAAGGTTCAGGTTTTAAGTTCCGAGCCCCATGAAAGAAAACTCCCAGATGTTCTTTCACCAACTTTGTCAACTTCACACTATTTTAAAAATAAAAGACAATTTAGCAGATACTTATCTCCTCGTTAATTGGACAATTTAATGTGAATTGAAGATAAGAGTAACGAAAATCAGACATGTTAAGAGGCACAGGAAAGTGTGAGTGCTTTCATTGAGAAATAGCTTGTTTCTTAATGCTCTTACCTTGAGCGCAATAGCTGCTGGAGAAGAAATGAACGCACTACAGGGGTGGGGTCTATAGCATAATCAGGGAATGGAGAGAAATCCTTTGTCTGAGTTGAGTGATGACCGATAACATAATGCATGAGCAAAGAGATAGATTCCTGTTCAAGGTCCTTTGACATCGAGTCCCCGAAACAGAATATTGACACCAGCTCCATGAAAAAGGCATTACATCGGCGACGTAACTCAGAAACAGTCTCTTCATTAGTCCTGTGGTCATAAATAAATCATGAATAAGTATCAGCATAGCAATAGACTTATTTCTTAAACTTCGTATTCGATACCCTGTTCATATTCGGTCATGGGCCATGGTTTCCCGCCATCAGCCAAAAATATCTTGAGTTTTTGGCATTGAAAGCTGCGAGAAATTATGATTACTTTGTGAAAATATTCACAGTATATTTCCACAGAGTAATCATATTCGATTCGCTTTTTGGAGTTTTGGTTTTTATGGGAGGGAAAAAGATCCAGGAACCAAAAAAAAACCAGGAGAGCAAAGACAAGAACCAGTAACCAAGCAAGCCCTCGTGTGATGCAGGGTCCTGGAATGAAACTCGGCCACAGAATTAGGGGACGAGTGGTCTCGCCCTACCACATTCCCTGAAGTTGAATACTTGAGTCGCCACAGGCCGATGACAGCTTCCATAATTACAAGCCTTGAAGTGTCTCCAAATTTTACTCCGCTTTCAATTTCAGTTAAGTAGTTCAGTACCACCAACCAAATATCAGGAGGTGGTTAGCCTGGATTAAATCTAATTTATTGAAAAACTTTGTGACAAGTGAGTCCAAAGATGGCTCGTGTTGGGGGCAAATTGATCGATAAAGTAGTCTCTGATACTTGAGGAGATTAAGGCCCTATATTGTAAAAAAAAAATTAACTGTGCTGGTTTACCTCTGCTTGATGTCTTCACTGTAGTTAATCAAGAAATTTTCAATAGCCTGCAGCGATCTCAGCGATGAAAAGTCAGTTTCATCTCCCAAAACCTTCAGAAGAGAGCAGTTTGTTATTATAGAATTTCAATTTCTAGTTGAATATTTCCGTTAAGCATTTCCTAATTATAACCTACATTCCACAAGCTGATCGCGCTCTCGGAATTGACATCTTTATCGTTCTCGGCGAACAAAGTCACGTGCTCCACAAAGAGTCGAACAGCTCCTGTTCGTTGCCACATGGACCTGATCCACACAAGAAGGAAATAGCTTAATAATAAGCAGCACTTTTTTTATCTACATGCTCTCTAATACATTCTACGGGTCCTTCAGACAACCCCTTAAAGTACGGTACTACGAACGTTTTGAGTTGATAACAATTAAGAAATTTTTGTGCGTAGCAAAAATACTTTCCCCATGAATTCGACAAAGTTACTAAGGCCAAAGCCTTAGTAACTTCTCTCGCATCATCTTCAATACCTAGAATCATTTCCTGCCATTTAAATCAGCAACGTCGGTATAAATTCCCAAATAGCAAATTTCCAACTTGGCTTGGACAAAGATGACTGCAAAATACCTATTTAATGAGTGGTAAATATCTCTTTGAAGAGGTATCATTTACTTCTCTATTCACGACGTTCGCTCTCTTGGGAGTTTGTACATTCACTTGATGACTACACATGGCTGGCCAAAAGACCAACTGATTCAACATGCAAAATCCTCTCATAAAATACGGAGGGAGCGAATGACTGACTGATTATACAAAATCTTACCAATAAGGTCTGCCGATTAAACTGACAGCAACAGAGCCTAAGTGGTGTCCAGTGTTCCTGGGTAATTCTAGCGCCTCATTGCGCATATGTCGATTTAAACCGGAATTCTTAATGAATTACACACTTTGTCCGTGGTGAAGTCGTAATGGGTCGGCTTTTGCTTGTGTCACAGTCAAAAGCAACCTCAAAAAGGGAAAATTCGGTGTTTTCTCACCTGCAGTGACCAAGCATTAATGTTGATCTCTCTCCATAGTTTGAATATTTCTCAGTGACAGGTCCAAATCTCTCTTTCCTTATCATGTCTTCCACCGCCGGCCTTATAGACAAAACTCTGTCACACCATGTTCGTCGTGTGTCCGGAGAAAGCAACATCTCTCGTGAAGGTTGGAGTGCCTCAAGACAAATGTTCAATGCTGTGACATCCAAAAGCTGTAAACATTTTAAAATTTCAAAAAGTTACAGGAAAGAATATATCACAGAACAGTTAAACAATACCAAAAGTTGTACCTGAAACGAAGGGGAGGCTCATTTTGCGCTTGAGACGGCCGCGTCATTACAAACAAGTGATAATTTTCAGTTATAAAACAAGACATATAAAATAACCTAGTCTGTCGAAGGGACATAAATGTATCAGTGTAGGACACCCCTGCGAAAAGTTTTGCCTAATGTGATAGAAATAAAGTTAATAATCACTACTAATTAAAGCTTCTGTTTAGACAATGCTCTAAAAAATTTGAGTAAATTGAGAGCTCATTAAATTTGGGATGAACCTATAACTAACATATTACAAACAGCTACAATAAGGCATTTAAACCCACCACTTCTGGCTCGTTTCCTTGAAGAGCTTCCCGTAGTCTTGGTACTAGATTTGGATTCGCTTTAACGAGTTTATCAAAACATTTCAAACGGTGTTGAACTCTACTGTGTGCCACATGAACGAGTGCTATATCAATCGACTCGTTACCATCCTCATCTTCCAAGGTAACGATTTCTCTCGCTGACGAAAGAATCGCTTCGTAAACAAGCTGAATAAATGGAAGAAAAAAAAGCAAACTTAAATGTAATCGGGCTAAAGAGAGCATCATCTCACAACTTAACAGCTTAGTATTTTTCTATGACATTTCCTGACTTTCCTATCAAAAGGTCACTTTCCCTCTTGTATAGTAACATATTCGGTATATTTGCATCGTTTTTGATAGCTTACGTCTATAAATGATTTCTTGCCTAGGCAAGCACTACGAAAGAAAACATAACTATTCTCCAAAGGAATCTTATACTGCGATGAAAACACTGGTAGAAAAGAAACCTCGTGTTCCACATCGCTGGAAGGCTTGTACACCATGTGAACAAAATCCATCAGATACTGCATTCCCGCGGAGTACAGACGGCGCAATTCATGGAGTGGAGGTCCCAACTGCGAGTTACCGATCAATTCACGAAGAGAGTCCAACAGAGTGGCGCTAGAATGAACTGCAACCGAGGAAAAAAACATACATGAAACAACTGTTGCTAAACAGAACTAAATCGAGTCCTTCAATTTACCTCACTGACATCCTGAACACCAGAATATATAGTGCATATCCGAGATGCCCATGATTGACAATTTACTTTAAGTGATTTGTTTCATGTTCGTACCTGCATTTTTGAGAACATTTCATGTTTTCGTGAATAGAAAATTTAGGAAAAGACTGCACCAATAGTGGTCGTCAGTCTCGATTTACTCATATCTTGGTGATCATACACTAAATCTTAGCTAAGGTGACTGTTTTGTGTGACTCACTTGTTTTATAAAACAGAAAGACAACAGTGAAAATAAATAGGCAAAAAAATGCCAAAAAGTAGTTCATGTACCTTCGACGCTAGCTGCGTCTTTTAACAATTTTTCCACGCGTTGCTTGATAATAAACGAAAATGGAAATCGGCAAGAAAAACGATGACCACCGACCCCAGAACCGATAACTTGAACACGTTCTCGAACAGAATTAGTTGCGGGTGATATCATGTCACTGTAACTCAGCTCTGAGATGCTACGGTCGGCCAAGATCTTCAGCCACAGCATCGAAACCCACGTGTTGTCATTCTTCAACAAATCTAAATTGCCGTCTCTGTCTGCCAATGCAATGATCTCAGCCAAAATAGGAACCACAACTGAGAATACTCGCTGCAGAAGAGCCTTTCTAAAGGTGCCCCACTCTTGCACCCCTGTTCCCGAGAGAGCTTCTGATTGGAGCCATCCTTGTGGATTTGCCGCTGTTAGCTCCCTTTCCTTTAAAAGGTGGTATGTTCTTTGTACCGCCACACTTGCAAACGACTCTTCATCTTAAAAGAGATGGGAGTGAGGATTAAACAAATTAATAAAATAGTGAAATTGAGGAGTTGAATTCTACCAATTGCTAAATTAAACCTGGCTCTTCCAACTCACTTCACACAATGTTGCATTCCTTCAACTATTACCCCCAAAACTACAATTCTGAATAACACTTAAAAGTCCTTTAGCACTGCGCCCAAAATTGAATTGGTTTAATGGATCAACAAAGGTCGCAAATTTGATGCTCGTTCCAATCCAATATTGCTTTGTTGATTAAATAGGTTCCACACTTTAAGCGGCGAATTACCCAATCAATCCACCCTTGCCATTCTCGCAGTTTCCCTGACGACACAAAAGATGAAGATGGTCACAACTTTGGGAAGCCGTATAAATGGATTGCCTTTCGTAGCTTCTATATCACAATGACCTCTGCGTTATTCTGCGCGTTATTCTTACACTACCACAGCGACTCTGCTGTTCGCCAATCTGTAGAGGTCTCCACTTCTTGGGTACCTTTTATTGTTGAAAATAGAAAATCTTTTCAATTACAGGAAAAGGAGCGCCTTAATCAATAACTTCCCAAAAATTTCTGGAGATCTTTTGAGGATAACACCGATGGTACAATTGGATGATTGCAATATTCAAGTAAAATTTAGAGATTTTTCATTCGTCTTCCAAATACGAAGAAAGGTAAATTTAAAACACTGAAGACTTCGATTGCACCTTCCGAAAAGGTTATATTCCTTAAACTGAAAGACTTGTGAACTTTTATAAAATTCTTTTATGTCATATTGTTTCTCTTTACTGACCCCCCTGAGTTTGATAGTCATCAGGTAGTAAATCCAAAAGCAGCTCAATCCTTTTAATTGACCGTTCAGCTGATTCCGTTTCGCTATCAACCTTACACGCAGCCGCCTGTACACAGTTACGAAGGAGCTTCACCGCCACCGTCACCGCTGGTATGGAGTCATCTTCCTCAATGGGGTCTCCACTAAAAAGCTCACTGATGGGACGATCGATGAGTTGCTGGATGGAAGGAGTGTGCTTACCAGGTGGACGAAGTTCATCAATGTGGGCGGACATCCATTTTCCACCCTGGAAACCGACAAAGTTACGACATCCACCAGCTATTCTCGGCAGCTGAGTGATCAGTACAATGTGGACAGCTTCCCACGAAGACAAGTTGAGCATTTCAGAGGCGTTTGTTCGCTCTTCCAGCAGAATGTGTCTTGCACCCGCAATCAGGTTGAAGTTTTCATCTCCTGAATCACACTGAACCAGAAGAATACCAGGACATTCTCCACCGAGGTGTTCAAAAAAGGTTCTGCGAGAAAAAGATGAAGGCTCTTTTCAATAGAGAAAAACAAGGTATAAATCGTAACACAGTTATTTGAGACTTACGAGGTGAGATACACTTTAAGCTGTCAATGTCAGTTAAAGAATGTCTTAGCCACAGACAAAATTCGCATAGACAATGAGCAGTACATGCCGGTTGTGGTTGTGATAGTGGAGATGCCTAATTATCCAAAGTAGAAATTTATCGAATAAATGGATATAAAAAGTAACGCTCGTAAACAAAACTTGAAAATATCCCTATAAAGGTCCTTCTCTCCAACATATATTTTTGCCTTTTTATTAGCTCGTCTCTTACAGATAATGGACTTCTGTTGCATAATCAGTGTAGTCACAATGTTCTGCGCGCTAACGTGCATCAAGATCTCACCTGACTGAAGCCCTAAACTGTTGTTCCGTTTGAAACTGTTGAAGTATCATGGAATCCACAGTCGACCGTTCAAAGCCAGTTTGAATGCATATGTCTCCCAAATCGTTCTTAGAGAGCAGACGTGAATGAGTAGTAACCTAAAAAAAAGATGAAAACCAGTCCATTTAATGACAAAATCGAACACACATAGAACAAATATGGATATTCTTGGTCTTGCAAGAGCCATCCCTGATTTGTTTATTTGCCCATAGCATATCAATTGGTGATATCACCAACCGGATGAGACGAATGCATGTCGAGTTTCAGGTTCAGCATCACAAATATGTTCCTTGCCCTCGTTCTGAACCTCCTCTTGCTAACTTAAAACATAGTTTAAACAGCCATACCCTATTCACAACAAAGCTGAAACACGGTTTAAATTAGGGATTCTTAAACTGACTTCTTTCAACTTCAAATCAAGCACAATAAAATTACAAGTTAGAGATTAAGGCGGCCCTATGTAAATTTAGTTCTCCGGTTGTCTGTTGCTGATTTTCTTACGGTTAAACCTGGTTCAATTAAACATGTTTTAATGATGGGACATTACTCATGGGTGTGCTCCGACGCCTTTAAGACTTTGCATAAGATAAAGGCCTTCAGTTTCACTTAACCATTCATTACACTGTTAGGGCTTGTAAATATTGCTGCTTATGTGGTTTTTAAGTCCTCTATCTTACCCCGGAGAGAAGCCAACTATAAAATAGACGGTCAACTAACGACATTGTATTCCCATCACTCACTTGAATCAAGAGCCCCTCCTGACGCTTTTTATCAACACGTCTATCCTCCAAATTGAGCACGTGCGACATGAACGTCGCCAAACTTGAGTGCTGTTGTTCTTTAAAGTAGGCATTCCAGATATGAGGGGCTCGTCTCTCTAAAGCAGTGTGAGGAAGGCGAGCAATGGCATCAGGTGTAGCCATCTCCAAAAGCATCATCTGAGATCTTCGAAGTACCTTGTGAGTGGGAGAAAAGACACCTACAATGTTACTTTGCTGGTCTACTGAGAGTGAACTTGTACTTAACACTACAGTCTTCGTCATCAAAAACCTAATTCATGTTGGAGGCAAAGCATGTAAATTAGGAGTTACATTTAATGTCCTATCTTTCGCACGCATCTCGGGGTGATCAAAGTATTTAATAATTCAGCAGGAAAAAATATAAGCAAATTACATAATGGTCAAATCATTAATCCTCAACCAATTGCTACACATACTCGAGCAGAATTTGCTCGCTGTACTGATGAGTGTCACTAAACGGAATAAAAATTTATGCAACTCGCAAAATTTCCCATTTATTAAAATACGCGGAAGCCATCAAGATGTATGTATATTAAAATGACATTTCCATGAAGCTTACTTTCATTTCCCATGTATCCTCTGTGTCATCACTTGCCGATGAGTGCTCTTCTCTTTCAATTTCATTACAGACTTGCATAACAATGGAGGGAATTGTATCCTCGTGAAATCCAACAAATGCGTCTCCGATGGAGAAGTCCCTTTTATAAAATATCGAATTAAAAATATTAAAATAAAATAGCCCAAAATCTATATGTTCATATTATGAATAGTTGTTCCATATGCTTTACCTTATTCACATTTTAAATTGCGCCTCTACGGCAAAATTCAGCATTGAGAAAAAGCCAATAGTTTTTTTTTTATAATCATGAGCACAAAGCACACCCAAAATCGCGCAGTATTCCGAAAACTGCAAAATGCAATAACATTGAATGTCCTCATAACAAAAGCTTCGAAATTCTTTTTGTGTAACATCACCTGCCACGTCTGCCTTCACCCGAAACCTCGGCAAATTCACCGGCCCAAGTCCGTAGTTTCTGTACCAAAACCTTCTGGTCAGTAGTCAAACTTGTTAAGGTCACAAGGAAGTGTTTCTCCAGGCGGTTAATCAACGGAATGGGAAAGTTGTTGTACACCACTTCCTTTTCAGCAATCACGATTAATCTGCGTTAGGGAAAGTGACTTTAAATTCAAAGCGATGAAAACATTGGGTTAAGGCTCTATGGCTCACTAGCACTGCGTTTGTGAAGGAACACGAAGGAACGAAAATGACGATGAAAACGACAAAGGCTTGGAATTGTTTTTGAAACGTAATCCAGACAACGGCTAGGAAGGAGACTACAACGTGAAGAGCACATCAACATTTATCATGCTTTCTGTCTGGCCGCTTAAGAGTCGATAGATGTAGAAGTTAACTTTTGTTACAAAACAGAAGTACGACTTATAAACCTCACCATTTCAGTGTGAATGAAATAACTAATCATCTTTTCGATCCAAGACGATAAGAGGTAACGAAATGGCGGTGACAGCTGAACCACAATAACAAAAGGGAGTGAAATTATCATGGATTACACAGGATTCGACCCTAAAAAGACACTCGGACGACACTAGGAAGACGTTATCACCCACCGGGCCACGAGGGCACATTGGGAGAACGTTGGGAACGATGTAAATTTTAGGGTTTTTTTTTCGCTCCCTTTAATGAATTTGCTTACCAGTAAACACAAAAAAAAACATTCTTGACCTAATAATAATAAAATGTTCGTAAGGATCAAGATTATCTACAATAAGCGACAAAATTGTTGACATGTTGCCTTATTTAACCCCTCAGCACTTCAATTTTATCTCGTTTGCACTTATTAAGTAAACCTACTCGCCCCCTTCCTCCCAAAACAATCTTGTATCATGATTCCATGAACCTTCAGCTACATAGAGGTAACATTGAATGGGGAGGCGTCTTTTCAATGATTAGAGTGTGGAAAAGACAGGAGCGTTACTATACGCATACATAGGACTATTCAAACATGATGTATCAGCTAATTATGACGTGGATTGCAAGTAATCAGCCAAAATTCTTACTTGAAGCCATCATCAACACGACATTTGACGCGATGAGTACCAAGCCCAAGATCCACATACTTCTGTCCCCCAAAGTACACATAATACTAGAAATACAGCATACCAAGAAATAAGACTTAACATTTTCAAGCCTTTTCCACTTTAGTACATGTACAATACCATTGAAGACACGACTTAACATATAAAATAATAGTTACAATACTTTTTAAGAGAGGCGTTGCGAATGTTAACCACAAATTTGCAACGGATATCTCATACCTGGTTTAGGGCGTCGTATAGACTCTCGTAGAGACTTTCAAGGTTCAATAAGATCACTGTTCTTCCTGTCTCCATACAAACCTTGATGCGATTGATGTTGCGACAAATCTGGATATCAAGTTACTGACGTAAGTTGTACAGTCAAACAATTTACAATCATCTCTCGGTTCGCACATGAAACTGGATTCCTTCGTAACAAAAATTTGTTCCTATATCCATAAGTTTACGTTTTCATGCCATCATTGTTTACTTCTCCCTCAATCTCTCAAAACATTTGATAGTAAGTCCTGGATAAACTGTCATGCTAACTCAAAGACAAGAAAGTATTATCGTGAAATGTCGAAAACCGACCCAAACTGTAATTAATGTAACTCTGTTAACAGCAATGTGTTGGTTCTGAAGTTGAGAGGAGTATAACAATTCTCGTAAGATATAAAGAGTCTTTCCTCCTTTCCTTTTTACCTGAGTGTATTCCTGGTCATTTGGAAAACTACTTCCAAAGATGACAACTGCGTCATCCGCTGTTCTCAAAAGATGCTGCTGCATGATGGGTAGGGCGGCGTAATTTTCAGTCAGAATCAGAAGGTAACGGTTTTCACTGTGAGACATTAAGTTAACATGAAAAGTTATCCTGTCCCTATTTTATGTCAGCTACTTACATACAACTAGACGAACCAACAAATGAAGGAATGAAAAAATGGCTTGGGATGAACTGTACATATACCTGAAATTAGCTCTATCTGCAACGTCTTCCCTTCCAAGACTTGCCTCGATCAATCTTATTGTCGAGGAGGTTTCGGCAACGTCGTCATCCTTCAATGACAGGAACAAGTCAGGTTGAACAAGTAATTAAATCCAGCCCTAGTGTTAACTACATTTCCGAGCTAAACATACATGAACCAAACTGGTTAAAATTAAAAAAACCCTTAAATTTGATGTGGATAATCCTCTATTGATACCATGGATCAAAGTTTTCCTGTATCAGATATGTGGTCACGATTTAGTGTACCATTTTGCAGTACTTTATGAATGAAGTAGAGTGAACAGAATGTGGAAACAAGTTCGACACTAGCTTAACATTGTTCTATAGGTCAACTTACATCTTTTTCGGTAAAGTAGCGTTTGAATATCTCTACAGGGTCTCCTTCAATCAGGCCACCAAAGTTCCTCTTGATAGCATGTTCTAATTCATGCCAGCGAGGTCTCTGTTGAGATTTTGCAGCGATTGCGTACACCATCTTTATGAGGCTGGCGTAAAGATACACAAGAGATTAATCACTTCGAGCACATAATTTCCTAGTATAAGCATCATTAAAGAAGCGAGCTAAAAAGAATCGATGTAAAAGGTACGCTCTCAGATATCAAACCTGTAAAAGTCACGAAGACCGAAAAATTCTTCTTTGCCACATTTTTTCAACGTTGCAAATTTTTTCTGTTCCTTGTAAAGTTGTGCATATCCAGCGGCCAGTGGAGATATGAGAGGCAGAATAAAAGCTTTCACCACTTCATCCGTGGAGCAAATTCCCCTGGAAAACAATACTCACATGTGTAAAGGAAGGTAAGGAATGTCTGTTTCCAAACCTGACTCAAAACGACAGAGGACTGACTAAAAACATAGCGAAGTAGCACCTTAACAGTAGGGGAAATAGTTTGGGAGTTTGCTCGTGTTTATCATGCTGTAAGTCATTGGCTAATACCGATTTTCAATAAAACGGAGATATCACCACATCATAGTGGATGGAGGGACTATAACTTTATTTCTAAAGGCCACCAATTTTAACGGAGATCAAAGCCATTTGATACATTTTATTCTTAAAATTCTTTACCACAGTTATCACGGTTTTCACAAGGTCCAACAAAAGTAGTTGAGCAGCCGCAATAACATATTGGCATGGGTTAATATGAGCGCCAAAGCGAAAGGATACCATGTAATTCACTTACATAGCGCTGTCTATAAGTTCTCCCTCGCTTGGAACCCCACGCGACAGCATGATTCCACGGTTCATTTTGGCGGGATCCAGGGCCCAATTTGAGATTCCAATGAAAGCCACGCGCTGCGGTTTCTCGTCAGTCTCGATGACGTCATCTGCACTTGTTACACCATCCTCGAGCAATGGATGTAAAGTTTTAAGAGGCATGAGAGGAGAGTCTTCTGCCAGACCAACCTCATCAAGGACTACCACTGAAACAAACTTGTCTGGATTTTTTCCCTCCTGTAACTTGCTACACTGCTTGAAAGTCGCCACGATACCCTCAGGGGTTGATAAAGGACTGCACTGATATGATGCCATGTGAACCTAACATGAAATAAATAATTGTACTGTCTTTTAAAACGTATCTTGAGGTGAACATAAGCATGCTTCGCATACAACACTTTTTGGGAAGAAAGGGGTGTTAGAGGTACTTGGTGTGACTCTGAGATTAACATCCTCCTTAATGTATATCCCCTCCAATTCCAAAACGTAGAGCAGAAGTACTGTGGACTACTCGAAGCGTGTAAAACTGATTATGATCATATAACGAATGGTTGACTAATATCCCTGAACAATTCATCGAGTTCCTTGAAAGTGTGCTAGTCACCATTCGTACTTTTTGGCGCATAAATAAGCTGTTATAGTAACGTGTCTCGAGCAAGTCAACATAATAACCCAGCCAAAGCTCGAACTTGAACGTAACAAGGAAATTAACTACCGCGAGATCAACATATCTCCTTCAAATTCTCATCACATCGATCCTAATTGCTTTTCACTTGAGGAAAGAAGGAAATGACATTATAGTGTATCTGAAATGGCGATATAACCTGCTTGAAGGTCTTGAATAGTACCGATCTCGCAGCATCGCCTTGCATGTTATCAGCAACAACCGTCTTGGCCAAAGATTTTGAGCTGCCTGGTTTTCCAACCACAAATAATGGGATCCTGAGCTCAATGCACACCACCATCATAAACACATTTTCGCTCAAGGCTGTGTTACGAGCGATGTTGGGGCCGAGTTCCAACTCGTTTAGCACAGCTCTTTGACAACTATCACATACAAAAATAGGACACATTAGATAAATTTCTTGCTTACATCTGGTAAAGAACTAGCTAAGGTGTGAGTAAAAACCCAAACTCCATAACTCTTTTCCTGTTGATCACACTTCTGTCAACACCACGTAAATATGGACCAAAACCTTCTTTGTCTAAATAAAATACACAGTTTAGAACTATAAGTAGACTGGCCGCAATAAGTATCTTTCTATTTGGGTACGTAAAAGTTCCAAAAGGCTGGGTCATTAATTCTTTCAAATGAAGTAGACCACGTTGCATTATACTTTTCTCATACCTTGAAATTTCACGGTGTATCTGCTTGTGACCACCTGGAAGCAAACATGGCGCCTTAAAGCTGCGTGCCACAACAGTGCGATATTCTTCACGCCGCTCCTGAAGCTTGGCATGATAACAGACACCAATGGCGAGTACCAGGGCACGAGTAAGAGGAGTAATTTTATTCTGCGGAATATACAATATCATGATACTTTTAAACAGAATTCTCGCGGCCCCACTCTCTACCCCCTCAAACATAATTGGACTTCCTCAATAATACACACACCTATTTGTGGTTTGAGCAAGATAATGTCTTATAGCACCAAATCTTCAGCAATTCATTCCTGATCATTATTTTGTAGGATCATACAATTACTCAATAAGGAACATCCGAAGTGCCCAAAACAAGGAACGTTTCAGAGTTTACGATCTTTCTTAGTCCAATTTTCTTGCAAACAAAACTGACTTTCAAGAAACATTTCCACCGGTTTGAGAGGATTTCTGGAGCTTGAAAATAGCTTATTTGGAATTGTTTATGGCACGAATCCTATTTCCGATAGAATTGTATTTATTGGAGCATAAAATGACAAATGGCTTTATTACCACCTCTTCCTCCTCATCATCTTTACTGACGTCTAAACCTTCCTCCCTTCGTTGCTCAGCGGTCACCTTTCTCATAAGTCTACCGAGTGTATCCACGTGTTTATAAAACCAGACCATCACTTGCATGGCTCTTTCGACATCACGCAGACTGACAAAGCTGCATTCATCCTTGATTAAAAGAAAAAAGGGTTATTCTCTCTTTCGGCTTGCACCGCCACCATGTTTTAAAGCTTTTCACGTACCGATTGATCTCTCATATATTTTTGCGAGGCTGCTAGAACCTCAGCGACTGCTTGAACTGTTGAAGAGTCTCCTGCTAGTTGGCCTTCGTGAAGAATCTATCATTAAAACAACCCAAACACAAAAGTAAAATAAAATTGTACAAAAGATAGTTTAGGAAAAGTAAAATGGCGTTTGCTCTCTTCACTCGTAGTTATTCCAGAAAAAGGAAAAAGACAAAGCAACAACCCACCCTAGTTTGGTTGACTGACGTTTCATTTTAAGGATTTACACATAACATCAGTATGATATAAGTAACTAAATGTCATACTTCCTGTACTCCAACCACAAACCATGATTCAGAATGTTTAAATGAAAACGTTCACTCAGCCCTCTTAAACATGTCATGCATTTCTAGATTCATTTCCTCGAACAGAGGTCAGATAATTGACGGGTTAGAAAGACCATCTTTTGAGTTCAGAGAAACTATTAGAATACACTTACGTAACGGCTAACAATTTGGTTGGTATACAGTCTCTCTACGTCTGGTTTCAGTTGACCAAAGTCCCATATCAACGGGCGCATGCTCCCTGGGAGGGCGTGTACACGGTAGACGAGATGACGTAATGGGATATGACCTGTGGAGAACAATTATTACTAAAAATTAATTTCCAAGCGACAGTTTAATTCCCCACCATGCTCTACCACATTTGCATGTGGGATAGAATTTCTCTGTTCTTGATCGCGACTATTTTTTTTTCAGGGTGTAACCCAACATGGATGACCAGAGCCTGTCGCAATTGCCGGGAGTCAGCCAACAGGGAATTATTGCTGGGACAATTGCCTAGTAGGGAAGTTCTTCCCTGTTTAGGAATCATTCAACATTGAAGCTGCACAAACAATTCTGAATAAGGCACCACCGCTCTTCAAAATCAACGTCCAAAGAAAAATCCCCGAAATAGGGACAAAATTCTAAGGAAATTCAACGTTATATCGTCCCCTACCCAGCCGATCTTCTGATTCATCTGCTTTTACGTGATATCCAAGACCAGCTGACTCCAGCTTGTGGATCATGTCATCTGTGTGCCTAGAAATACATAAGACAACAACACTTAGCTCTTACCATTCATTTCTACGTCACTTTACGCTTATTTAAGCTTGGAGCAGAAGACACATCTTTTACCTTCTGTATGGATTACAGGCAGCAATAAACTGCAGCCTTTCCATGCCTTGTCCAATAGGCCGACCATTGATTCTTCGGTCCACCATAACTTCCTTAATCATGGTCAGTGCCTCTGTTGTGTTGGCTTCATCAAAGAACAAAACCGTGTCAATATTCTTGTCTTGATTTGCGCGGGCCATTTCTTCTGCTTGGTGAACTTTGAGCTTGATATCTTCGTATGTTGTTCCACCATGAACCTTGAAAGGAAGATGATGTACGACGAAAGTATAATAGCCATGTGTGTCATCCATTCGCAACAAAAAGGATTGTATATGACCTCTTGAAACTGATAAGTTTTACCTATTTTATGACAGAGATTCCATACCACCAGTAGGAGCAGCGCTATCATTTCCCACCACAAGCAACCATACGTAGCAGGAGCATCAATAAAACTATCACTAACTCCCCAACTTTTCAAAACACCATCAGCAACAGCAGCACCACCCTTGAACTCTCCAGCAATACCCCCACTCTCCCCACCATCCCCGCTATAACCACCATCTGTACCAGAACCACGTACAACAGAACCACTAAAACCATCCCAGTTTCCATCGCTACCTCTGGGCTCACCATCACCACCACCACCATCACCATCAAGATGAGCTCGTCACCAAAATCGCGTAATCCCTACCTAACAGCGTCACCATCTGCAACAGCATTCGCATCGCCATCGATACAATATTCAGAAGACGAGTATCACCAGCTTTATCACCATCGACAAGTTCCACCAACCATCATTATAATAGCCAAACCATAATCAACAGCATCTTATCCACCATTACCATCACCAAAATGCGGTGTCAGGACGCTGCTGGTAGAAATAAATATTCGAAATATAATAATCACCATACCTTGACGAGAAGCATGTTACGGGGTCCTTCAGGCCCTGCTTGTAGGCCGCACATGTATCGAATGAGACGAGTCTTACCACAACCTGTCTCACCCATCACGATCACAGGGATGTTGCACCTGCAAATGTTAAAGCTTAGAAGTGAGTGAAAACCAGTTTACTTTGTCAGGCAATGGCAAAATAGTGTTGAAAAGGTGTGTAGAGTTTGTGTTCGATCTGTTTCAGTTTCGTTGCCATTTAGACTGAAAATTGAATTTGCTCTGACCCTTGCAATTTCTGACTATAATTTGTGGTAATAATGAAAAGGGAATTCAAAACCACCACCACCTCTTACCTGAATCTCATGTGAATAGCCAGAATCTTCTTGACATTGTCTGTAGTTAACTCATATGCTCTGTCTGGATCATACAACCAGTTTACCCCCATCACAGAACATAACTGATTTATCTTGTCCTCTCTAAAACAGGGAAAATATGTCGTACAAATTCATCACAATGGAACAAAGTGTCACGTAGGAGGTAAATGGTTCGGTGAAAATCTGCTTTCCTTTCTAGGGGGTGCATCGAGGCACTGACTTTCAACCCTATCAGAAATCCTGAACGTTGACCCCTTAAGGAACTAAAGTTAATTGTGATAACTCTGTTTCAAAGACAAGTTGCCAAAATTAATTTATTGTCTGGCACTTACTTTTCGGAGGTCTCTATGTTGGTTGCAAAATCGACACGTTGGGCCTGCAGACCATTTCGCAAAGGTTTGGACATTAAATCTTTCTCCAAAGTTTGACGTGTTTGTGGGTCAACAAGATCACCAGCGGAATTGATGAAGAAACCAAGAAACGTCATAGTTATATGGTCTTGGTTGAAGAACAGATAGGGATGAGGACTATGTAACAGAAGAACTATCATAAGACACACTGTGTTCCAAACATGGGAGATTAAAAGAGAGGACATAGTCCTTATCTGATAATTTTAGCACAAAGCGAGCTGACAATACTTTTGCTACTTGAAAGGTAACCTGCCTAAGTTAGCTCGTCACAAAAGAAATGGCAGCGATAATCAAGAAAACTGTGAAGTTAGTAGTTAAGCTCTCACCTGCTTTCCCAACGTCTTCTGAGTTGAAACTGTTCTATCTCTTTTCGTTCAAGCTCTGCGTTATCCTCTGTATAGAATACAGTGTTCTCCTCCGTCAAAGATGGAGTAGCAAAATCCTTAAAGGAAAGGAAATAACTCTTTATGGTACTCACTGCTCCTGAAAAGCCACCAAGGCATGTAATAAATTCAGAAGCTCCACCACTCAAGGTAATTAATTAAAACCCAGTATCCGAGTTCTTTAGTTCTGAAAACTTGTCTGACTAATTGAAGAAGGGATTGACTATATAAGTCTAAAACATACGTTGTAGATAGCCAGATAATATTCAATGAAAACGACGAAGTTGACGCATGTAACTAATTTTAAGGATAAAAGCCAACGTCTATGTAGAGAAAACTTTAACCTTTCCTTCGCTACGGAGACACCATTCTAAATAACCTTTGTAAAGTGGTACGAAACTATCATAGTTTGCCTCTGGTATACTAGGTTGGTGTGCACGTGTGTTATTGCTGTAACTGTCCCAGAGTCAGCAGGACGCTATAAGAAGGTTGGGTAAGTGAAGATTTGGAATGCCAGCTTACCCTCGACATTTGTATCATAAAGCGCACAACGAAAGAGCGGAAGCCTTCAAGATTCAGCACATTGGGTCCTGCTAAAACAGCACTCATCAGCTGCATATCACAATAAAAACTCTGTTCACAGTCTCGGAGCTGCGAGTTCAAGAAACTCACAAAATGACGAATCTCTGACCACGAGGGATCAGGAATACCGCAATTTCTACAAAGGAAACATTAGTAAGTAACCATGATGGCAGACCAAACACTTTGTTTAAATAACCTTCAACAAGAAAGAGATATTATTCCTTTCATCTATGTTTGTGCCTAAGTATCAAGTTGGAAAGGGACGTCTCCTTAAACTTCTTAAATTCTATTTTTAAATTGTTAATGTACCTTTCAGAAAAGAAATAGTCAGCAAGTACTACCTGTTGACAGGTTTAGGGCATCCAATTAGTTACGTACAACAAACCTAAAAAGGAGCATGAGGCATGTCCTTTGATCTTCATCAACATTTCCTGGCGAAAACGTAAAATTGTCGAGACTCTTTCCTTCATTTGACAATTTCAGATATTGATAAACCCTCTGGAACGGTGCATTTCGAAACTCTTTGACATCAAACAGTGGATTGCAGTCCTGTTTATCTAGAAAACAATTCGAGGAAACTCACTTTAGAATCAGCTGTTAATTGCTGTTTGAAGAAGATCTGAATCTCAGTTAAATACCTGAAGTATCTGCTAAACGGCAGAGAACAGTTCTTGGAGTTTGACACTCAATAGTTGGTAGCAGGTCATAAAATGGCCGCTTAGACATTGTGGATTTTCCAGCTTGTCTCTGAAAATCAAAAGAGTGGAAGATATCAAAAGAGACAGTGAAGGACACGAGCTACTTTCCATAAAGCAACGGATATTTAATTTACTTCCTGAACTCTAAAACTACCAAGATTCCAACCCATGAGTTTCCAGGCCCGATGCTTTGGAAGCACTCGCTTTCCACTGTTGGGGCACGGGTTTGATTTCCAGACTACATAACGTTAGATGTGGGTAACCTCTCTTATTGGTTCTGTATCTTCCTTCCACAAAACTCAGCATCTGAAATTTTAATTCACCGACAAAACAATGGACGAAGAACCTTTCCCTGATTGTGCTACTGCATTATTCTGATGATTTAAAATCTATAGATGACAGTCACCCTCTCTCTAACTTTTCCACTCACCCCTTGACTTTGAGCTTCTTCCTCCCTTGTGAAACCCATGGGTAGGGGAGCAGCGGTCGTAATCTCAATGATGTACAAGTCAGTGCTTCGTCTCCTCCACACTCTCCCCATCTTGTCACAAAGGTAGCCAAGGACAAGGAGGTTGAAAATAAGGGTGTCCAGACCACGTCTCATCTAAAAAGAGAACATAACATGTCATAAGATATTGACATAAGTGAATTGAGTCTTTGTCCTTACGACTGCAATTCAGCAAAAGATTATGTTAAGAGCTTGAAAAGCTTTAAGACACCTCAATTCTGAAGTTTTTGTTAGCACTTCCCTAGCAGCATTAAATTATATGAAATTTACTTAGAGTAACGTTCGTTCAAGATCTTATTGACAGCACTTGTAAATAAAAAATGTGAATCTAGCCCTTTGACGCGACTGAAGACACGTGCCGGTTGTGCATGTTACAAGTATTGGCCACTGCAAATATTAATTCAAGTTTCAATGCGCATGTATTTACTATATTACCGAAGGTGACACGTCCAGATGGAATATACGGGACAGCGGTACATTTGCCTTCACTGCATGCGGAAGAAGTGCATCAACAAGCATCGACGAGTCTGTGGAGTTTCCATGAAGAGGTACGGTAACGTGCAAGAATGTTTTCGAGTCCTTTCTTCGCAAATTTGTTAGAACCATGTCGTTGTTTACGAGGTTAGGCAGTTGTTCTGTTAAGCGACGAACAAACAGAGTCTTTCCCAAACCTCCTCGGTGTGATGAGACAACTCGAACGGAGAGTCTACAAAAAATCAGCATGTTAGCTGCACGATTCCTCATCACAAGAAGCCCGCTATTTCGAATCATACCGCTCGGACAATACAACAGAGTTTCTCTTTTTGAAATCCTCCATTCTAGGAACGGAGACTTCAGTCAATTTGAACAAAACACTTCTACAAACTTTGCTTCTTTCACCCGCATTGCAAGGAAAACTTTTTTCCTGGACATTTTCCAAGGATATTTCCGGAATGGAGGCTTCCCTGTCTTAATCTCAGGGAACATCAGCGAGAACTTACTTTTCTGGGTCTAAGGATCCAGCTGTTGTCCAAGTAATCTTACTACCACTGATGTAACCGTACTGAGAAGGAGGTGCTTGGAACTGATGCTTGAGGTAGCTTTTCAGGTCATCTGGCGAAGGACAAGGTGGAGCAGCAACACGATACTGATCAAGAGCTGCTACTACGTTGGTACGATCTTCATTCTCGCTACTGCAGATTACCACCAGGCCATAATCTGAGAAGCAAAAAAACCACCGGCAATTCATACCCATAAACTTAGCCTTCCGATGAAAAACATGTCATTTAACTCAAGTCAAACTCACGTTCTCCAGCCTTGCCAGCAAGTCCCTGTGTCACTACACCCAGCATTTCCACTGCTTGCTTACTGACTGAAAAATCCAACACATCTGCGTGTACGAGACAATAAAATCGACCCTCCATGTCCCCTGTCGCACGTCTCCATAGCAACTCGATCTAAGTAAGAAAGAAACCAATAGGAGGCAAAAAATTAGTGGTTGAGCCACTCAACTCATGAGCGGGAAATTTCCCTACTTTCCTCAATCTGTTGGATATGCGAATCATATATATATCAGTATAAAAATAGGAAAATATCTTGAGAAAATCCTGCCGAAATGTACACTGTACCTCTTCTGTGGTGGTGTCAGGAGTGCAAAGAAGCACCTCAGCATGGCTTGGCAAAGGCTGCTGTTTGTCATGCATATAAAGGGCAAGGACTGTGGCAAGGATGTCATCTACAACAAAATGGGTAGGACAAAGAACAAATGTTAGTGTAGAAAACATGCTTTCATGTAAAGTACGCAAGATAGGGAATACATGGCCTCAAGACCAAAATTATTTCAGTTATTAGTACTTTAAAACAATGTACCGATCTGACAACGTGCTCCCTGGCTTCCTAATAGACCTACCTTTCGGGACAAGCATGAGGTTGGGTCGTCCTCTCTTTAAGAATGCTGGAAAGGTGCGAGCTGTCGCTCCAATGCCTGAAACGTGTAATTAATATCATGTTCATGGTTCAGCAAACAGAGATAATTTTGATATTTCAGCTGTAGATTTTCATTAACCTCAGCAGCGGTTTTAGCTGTTTTTCGTGAATCCAAGTGAGTGTTTTACCTAGAACTGAAAGTTCTCTTAAGATGTTTCCAAGCTGAGTGAGTGTAAGATATTGACCGATCTCTGTTTCGTTATCTTCATCTTGGCTAACCGCCTGCTCTGCAAAAATGGTTTCAGCAGGCGTGGACGACATCTCCAGTACCAGGTCTGAGTCGGTATCGTTTTCCCTGAAGCAAAACAAAATTATCAAAATCTCAGTTTTTGATGGTTGCTTTCATATCTTAGCTCGAAAACCATCTAGTTGTCACACCCACCACGTAAGCTTAACTATTCAAACCAGAAAACAAATTGCAACTTTTATTTCGAAAGGAAGCATCCTACGCAAAACAGTGACATTAGCTCTTTCTCTTTAACGTAAACATTGTCAAGTGTCTGTGATTACATACTTTTTAATTAATCCACAATGATGTTCCTTGTTGCATGAAAGTTAATTTTAGTTGATATTACTAACATACCGGAAATCCTCGGCTGGCATATCCTTATCATTAGACTCCACCTCCTCTGGGAAGATTTCTTGGGCAATCATGGGATTTTGCTTCGCATGTTCGTAAAGAGCCTCGATGTCAGCCTCGTCAGCTTCTTCTAGACACCACAATAGTAAGTCGTCTTCTTCTGCATCAACACCTAGACTCGCCAAAGCAGCCAACGCAATCTGCTCCGAATAACCATCATCGGCAGCTGCATTCAAGAAACTTTGAATCTTCGATGTTTCCTTTGGCTTTGGTTTCTTAACAGATGCAGTTTGTACTTGACACATACTGGTTGCTGCTGAGGAACTCGAGCCCAAGTAGTTGTTGTTGTCAAACATCGACTTGCGAGTCACTATTTCGTCGTCTGAAGGAACGTGAGTGAACGAAAGCAGCTCCGCTGTTCCTCTGAGGTTCTCGAGTAATTCTGTATCCTTAAAAGCCCGCTCTATTGCTGATTTTAACTGTTCGCTGGTCAAACTGGGACGAACACTTTCCAGCAAAGTGAGCACTTGAATGTTGCTCATTGCGAGGTCGTTGCTGTGGCAAACTGACGCGATTTCTTTCCTCAGTGTCATCAGTTGCTGCGTGGTGAAGAAGTTCAATTCTCTATACTCCTTCCTTGCATCACTGACCTTCTTCTTCCAGTTCCTGAAACACTTTTCCATGAAGGAGCTTTCCTCCTCCAATTCTTTCGCGATAGACTCGTCCGCGACTTGATCTTTGCTACAGTGATATTCTTGGCTCCAATTCATACGATGAATGTAACCAGATTCAAAGAGGTCGATGTATGCAATTGCTAAACGCATGACACCTTCAAGATTCTATAATTCGATAGAAATATTTTAGTTTGTCAGTATTAGTCAACAACTTCAACGCATAACTGCCCACATAACTGTTGTATTTCACTTACCCTAACGAACTGCTCCACATCATCCTTCCCTTTTTCAGCCTTTCCTGCGATCAACATCAGTTTACTCTGCAAATCCTTTAGTTCGTCAATAGAATAAGTTTTCCTCTGTTTCTTTTCACCTCGGTCTTTAAGGGGAACCGTCAGTCGGATCACATCTTTGAATGACAATCGTTTTCCTTGTTCTGGTGAGAGACCCCTTTCGGTATTCAAATGGCCCACGAGATATACACCACTGGAGTTGATCGTTTTAGCCTGCACTAATGACGTCATAGCAACCGAGCCATGAGACTCTTTAACAGTTTTTAGCCACTCTAGGTGTCTGCTAGTGTCGTACTACGAGAAATATAGAAGTCGGGATCAATCAAGTATTTGGTACCACTTTTCACTAATGTTCTGTTTTCTGTTGTGCATGATAATGAGTTAAAAGTAATAGGCAATACGGATAAAAATTCACACTCGACTTTATGACTGTAAAGCAGATAAAGGTATTCCGAATTTGGTGAAACATGTTCTGACAAAGTTAAAAGAGGTAAAGGTAAGCAAGATGCTTCGAAACAAAGCATTCAAAACTTTTAAGAAATCCCGAATTTTTTTTACCAGTTTTTTGGGTAACATCTGATCCGTCTCGACTGCTTTCCAGACAGGATCACAGGCGTTCATCAGTTGATCAAAGCTCACTTTTTTTCCTTCACTCTCTTTGAGGTCAAATATCAGAGGAGCAAAACCTAGGCAGCTGGTATGCAGACTGGATATGCGATCAGTTTCCATATCGCTTTCACCAGCAGAGATTAAGGCCAAGTCAACGAGAACCTTTAGCTCTTGGGTGGCTGCAAAACGAAAGACACTTAATGGCGTTCATTAATATCTATAGAGAAAAACAAATGTGAGTAATTATTCTAATATCCACCATACCAGCTGAATAACTTGCAAAGCAAAAAGATTAGTTTATCTTTGTCCGACGCTCGGAGAGATCAAAATTTTGAGCACCGCGCATGCATGGGCGCGAGCAAGTGCTGCCCGGGTAGCGGAAAGAGATTTCGTACCGTAGAGAGTTCCGTCAAACTTTATAAGAGATAAATAGAGCCCTTGCAGGCACTTGTTTAGTTGTTTCTCTGCCGTTTCTTCAATTTTCGTGACCGTCATTTTATTCGAGCCATGCAGCAAAAAAAATTGCATAATTCATTTTTCTTTTTGTAAATGTACTATGTGCTCTCCAGTTTTCGTAACGATAAGTATCTCACCATTAAATTTCACTCAAAATTTTTAATTTGGAAAGATAAACAAACTTACTACAAAATAAGATCATTTTGTTTTATGAACTGAGTTGTTAACGTAAATTGGCCAACGTTTAAGAGTTTAAAAGCCGACGTTTCGAGCATTAGCCGTTCGTCATTCGCTCTGATCAGGAGAACAACCTGGAGAATAGGGAGGTGCATGTTTATCGATACGGCTGGTGTTTTCGGTTAATACCGTACAACTGTTCGACCACCTGCCCCAACTTACATTTGATGGTGGAACGTAGCCACTCCACCAACCGTCTACTGTCTACCACTGCTTTGAAGCACTGAGCCTTATCAACATCCAAACATTGAAGAGCTTGACCGGCCTTTGAAAAGCTTTCTCCGACGCTGCTTAAGGGCTTCTGCTTGAACTCTACTGATAGCTACAGACCAAAAAATTGGAAAATGACACAGGTTTTTATCACATATTTAAGTAGGGTGCGCTTATCTTTTGTAGCCAACAGCTTTTCTTTGTAAAGCATTTGTCCATATGACGGGTTCTCCGAAATGATTTCCTTGAATCAAACTTACAGCCTTGACAACAGTTAAACAAAGCATCCTTAATTTGGGTTAAAATGTACTGTCGGATACTCGTTTGCAGTGAAGTACAGTCCTTTTAATCACAATGTGGTCATTTCCGATGTGGTTTGCGACATCTCGACAGCATACTCCGGTCTTCTTCAGCTGCTTTAAGAAGAGTAGTAGTTTTAGCGCCTTTAAAAGACATCCCGGTCCGCATAGGCAGTGCCCACACCGTGATACGAACACTCATATTTCACTACAAATGTATTCACCACGATGAATAACCGCGTCCTATTTTAATTAAATACTTGTGTGTTTACTTTCCAAACTTACTCAGTATCGTCAATACACAATTAGGGCTATGATACCTGATTACGTAGATCTTCGATGACTTTGAAGTCTCCGGTAAAACCCATTGCCTCCTTAAACTCCCAGATGGTGTCAGCTGCATTGGAGTACTGATGAAGATGTTGGTAACGTTGAATTTGAGCAACTCGCTCTCTAACAGTTTTATTTAGTTCTTTAGGGTTGGTAATCGTTTGAGCTGTGTTCACCTTAAACATGCAGCATAACTCTCCCTCGAGTTCCTTTTTTCGGTCTCTGTAGCCGTCAAAGAGCTTATCAACATCTCCAAGAGAAATTGTGCCATCCTTGACACTAGCAACATTTTGGGTCCAACTTTTAATAGCTGGTTTCCACACACTTTCAACAACATCGGAAACACTTAGCTGTGGTCTTCGTGTATCGTCATTCTTCCTGGCTGTTTGTGCCTTATTCCCATATTTTTTCCAAAGAGCTTGGAACGTTGAGCTTTCTTGTACTCTTCTGAGTGTCGAAAGTACCTCTTTAAGAGCCGTAGGGAGTTTAAAGAAGGTAAATTCGATTTGGTTGTCGTCTTTCCGTTTGCACAAGCCTCGAATCTGGAAAGATGAAACATCCTGATGCACTTTACTCTTGAGGTTGCTTAAATCCACTGTGAAGAAAAAGATTACTTTAGACCCTGTCGACATCAAGCCTGATAAATTATGAATACACGCTTATCCACACAAAGCTTTTCCTTGTCCTTATTCTTTTTAAGTCCGTTACCCTCTTACTAACAATGCTAAAACAGATACTAGGCTGAGTTTGAAGAAAATCAGGCTGCGAACGGAAATAAAACGAAAAAAACTTGCAATGCTCAAAATAGTGTCTCAAAACTTCTTACCTGGTTGGATCACGTCACACATTCCAATGAATATCCCTACTTTTTCTTTCATTTCAAAAAATTCTTGGATCTCTTCTATTCGATAACCCAGACTAAACTCAACATCTTTGTTCTCCGCACTACTTGTCTTCAAAAGTTCCAAAAACGTTTCCTTATGCCTTTGCAGAAGAAGTAACACTTGAATCGTCACTGAGCCATCTGATATGACTCTCACCAGAGCGTCCAGTAACGATTTAGCCAAAAACAACGTCTCCTTGGCATCATCCGAAAGTATACCACCTCTTCCAGACTCATCTCCTGAAAGACAGAAATAATCAAAATTTCTTCCAATCAACACGGCAAAAATTGACAAAGTTGAAATATAAATTTTTTTTAACTCTAAATCTTACTTCTCACGTCCATATAATAACAAGGCTTTAGTTCTTATCAATAGAACATTCCGGAAAAAAAAACTTTTACCCAAAACTTTAGGATTATTAGAGAACTGGAGGTATCCAATCATAGGATTCCAGGTGAGTACAAATTCCACCGTTCGAGGATCCAACCCACATGCCTCTGTTTGTTCTCCATCTTTTGGCCATGACTTTGTAAGAAACATGGACAAAAGTTCGCCCGATTTTCCGGCTTTTGAATTTGATAGATTGTGGAATACACGTATGTCGTCTCCTCTTCTTGAAGACTAAATAAAAAACGAAAAACATCAGATTATTCATCAAACTAAATTGCGTAGTCAACAAAGGTTAGCCAAGTATTTAACCCTATGTATTTTAAATTTCCAATAATATAATTCAGGTCTAAAATGAGCGAGTATTATAGTAAACTTAAAATTCATTAATGGTGACTTATCGTTGAATTTCAAATCGTGCACTAAACCTTAAATTCATCATTGTCGCAGTCTAACTTGATAGAGTTCCAAACTTCTCAGTAGCGTCTTTCTGTTTGTATATCAGTTTGATATTTAGTCTGATTGAATTCCTTAAGTAGTATACGCTCAAAAAAAATGAAAATCAACAATCACGATGGAAGAAATAACTGAAACCGGGTAGGTAGAAAGCACATATCTAAATTAGGTACTCTTGTGAAACTTTCATACTACAGAAACAGCCTGATTGTTTTAGGTTTTTAAAGCAATAAGGTCTTCACTTAGTGGAACACAGAATACATTAAGTTGACAAATAATCTTAACTCACATTAATAATCTTTTCCACTGCTTGAAAGGCAAGCTTTGTGAACGATTCTCCAACAGCTCTATCGAGAGTATTCATATTTACTTCACAAAAAATTTCAATCAAGAATTTTCCCTCCAACTAGGAAAAAGAAAGCAATCCATAAGGTAAAGAAAGATGTGAATATTGCCAAAAGCGTGGAATAAAGTCCCCCTGGAAAGTTCGAACTCTAACAAGTTCTAATTTCGCGGTGGAAAGCCATAAAGAACTCGTTACCAAAGTGGGCCATTTACCAAAATTATATGTGAAAAGTATACTAAATCCTTCCAGGATCAGTAATCATGAAAGTTTGTGATTCAATAAAAGACTTAAACTATAGGTACAAAGGTCCAAGAACTTTTGTCATGGGTGGGAACTTAAAACTGTTTCCCGAATTAGGGGCTTACCATTGAAAAAAACATCCTTGGCTTTAGCAAAGTGCAATGAGTGTAAGCAGCGAGTTTAAGTTCTTGCCTCTATTGTTAACCCTCTTTATTGCCTATTTCCTAAACCAAACAGTTTCGCAAAACGTCACCATCTTACCCTCCTTGCACGGTTCTCCAGCTCATTGATCAAAAACTCCCTATAAGCGGAAAATCCTTGTTTTTCATCTGCAACCAAAAGCAATTCGCTCCATAACTGGAAAAAAAATTAAGGAAAAATTTTCAGCATTTCACGTGGATTACGCCTCTTCAGTGAGTTAGATCATGACCAGAAGGGATTGAAAAGAGTAGTTTGAAAAATATAACCAAGCTTATCGAAGTACACATAATTAAATCACTGATGACCGATGTCAACCACTCTTATGTAAACGTTTTAGTATAACTTTCATACCATTACTTTTGCTTTCTACGTACCGAAAGTTCCCTGGCTAAATTGTCGCTCTTGTAATAGGAGGACATCTCTTTACCGAGATCTTTAGACAACCTGTCCCGAAGGCTCTTTAGCAGCTTGTTTATGACTATGCTTTCGTTTTTCTGGATCTTCTCTTGGCCAGGATTCTCTTCGAATTCCCGTCGATGCGCATAAATACATGTAAAAAGCAGCTTTATCGTCTGGCAGATGACTTCAACGTGGTCTCTGAAGTTCAACTTCTTGAGGAAGACTTCGACCAGCTGTAAACATACTGAAACTGTAAACTTGTCCACTTTGAAGTCAGTGCTGAGAAATTAATAAAAAGGTCCATCAACCTCTTTTGAAAGCGGAATGCAAATATTATACCAGCAAGTTAACAGCTCTTATCCGCTCCAAGCAACACCCTTGTTGTGATCCGTGCCTCAGGAATTCACTATTTTTTCCATAAACAAGTAGACAGAGGCTGGTTGACAGTTTAGTCGGAAGTTATTAAGAAAGGTTGACGAGTTACCCGTATAATTTCATTGAGCGTTGCAACCTACCATGTTGATTCTTTTTTCCAGTTTAACTGAGAAATCATCAGTCTAATACACTGAAGTACACTTTTCCACTGCGAAAAGGAAAAGAAAATTAATTTTAACGCATGAACACTTTCCTGAATAATAAATGTACTAAAATTTCCTCGGTCCGAATTGCCGGGTACACACCACATTATGGGGGTACTTTTGACACAATTTGAAAACTTTCTTACCTTGTCAAAAGGCATAGTTTCACGTGAACAGTATGTTACTAGGGCAACGCAAATATCAGAGATTAGAAACATCTTTGAAGCAATGATCTTATCTAGTTCCCATACAGGAATGGTGTGGAGGACGGTTCTTTTCAGCAGGAAGTCGACTTCAAAGGATGAAGTAAGCCTGGGAAAGATGTCTGATGGATTTCTGTGTGAAATTCAAAATCGGACAATTATATTCAGACGTGATGTTCTTTGTTGCGAAGCTCTGCACTTAAGTTGTTCACGCTTAAATTTGCATTTTTACAATTATAAATAGTTTGCTCAATTCAAATGGGGAAATTGTCATTTCCCCCACGAAAGCATTAGTTTCAGTAAGTTACATCAAAGAGTTCATTTAGCAGAGAGTACTCAGGAGTCTTAATGAAGAAAGTTTTAATATACTTAATCTAGGTGACCAGTACCTGAGCTCCGTTTACACTGCTATTCCAAAATACAGAAGTTCGCAACTTGATTAGTTTAAGTCAAAGAAACGATTAAATTATGCCTAATTGAAAATTTAAACAATGTTGTCTACAGATTTGCTTCGTTCCAGTAAACATACATAGTTAAAATGATTCCCAACATATTTACTTACAGCTCTACTGATGATCTTTGAAATTCTCTTACTCTCAGTCCCTGAGCTCCCACCCACTCTAATTTGCTGTACGATCCGTCAACACCAGGTTCTTCAAAAGGTTTAGAATCTCCTCTTAAAAAATGCAGCAATGGTACAGCCAATAACCACGTCAGAGCATCTTGTTTCCAGTATTCCAGCATGATTTCGTTACATAATTGCTCAATTCCTTCAGCAGCAGATCTAAAACGGAACGAAATAGTCTAAGAGCATTACCTTGCGCCTTAATATCATTTTAACTATCACTTTTACCAGTTACTGAAACTACTGTTAATCTCATTGTTTTTTTTTTCCTCACGAAAACAGTTCTATCATGGGTTCCTTAGAGCGACTGTCACCTTCCATTAACGTTCATACCATCATAAAAGGTCACTGATCAAAACCAATGTTTTACTTTCAACCCCTCTACCCATCTATTACTTTAAATAATGAGACGAGAAATAGTTACCATTTACCTCTTGTTTTCTCTCCCGTTACAGCAGCCTTCACTCACACATTAGAAGGATATCTACGCGTGTTTTTTCTCTTTAGAAGCACATGAAACCCCAAAATTCCAATCCATCCTTCAACTTAGTCACTTACCTACCGAGTCGTTTCAAAATAATAATGTGGACGACATTATAGCCCACACACGACTAAAAATTGCACTCAAACCATGCTCGTGATCCTTCTCATCATTTGTCTTAATTGCAGTGTATTTTACATTGAATGAGGAGCCATGTGCAGTACGTTCAAATTATGCTAGCAAAACCATGAGAACTGAGTTTTCTTCGTCATTTTTTATTTAAATCTGGAGCCTCAAAATCTTTATGGAAAGTAAAATTGCACTGTTTTAAATAAGTTGTGTAGCATAGTTACGAAAGAGCACGGACGGACTGACAGATGAACCACCAAACGTGACATGCAAGTTTTAGCACATTTTATAAATGTAGTGGCGACGCTTTCACTCATTTTAAAATTATGTTTGGTGTTTCAGTAGCTGGTTCTGTTTCTATAAAACGGAAACTACTTACTCTCTTAGTCCCTCACTAAACTCGCGCAGAACCATTTCATACAAGGTACACTTTTGGTCAGTAGGATCTGCTTCAAGCGTCAAGCATTTCAAAAGTGAAATTACATGCTTCCTCTCTAGCTTTATTTTGAACTGTTTGCAGATTAGAAGAATCGCCAGAGACGAAACCAGTGCTGAGGCCCTAGCCTCAAATTTCACAGAACTCTGGCTCACAGATGCAGCGTTTTCCTCAATTTTAGGTTGCAAGAGATCCACCAACACCTTCGTCAAAAAAAAAGAGCAAGAAAATTATTACTTCAACCACATTATCCATTTATCAAGTACATCATTCTTTGGGTGTTTTCCAATTCGGTACTACTCTCTACAAAAGACAGTTTCGATCATCGCGATGCGTCCTCAACCTCATTATCGCTCAATCATTCGACATCAAAGTTCTCCCAACATATGGACTAAATTACTGATTATCTGGCACTTTAAGCGTCACCAGGGGAACAAAAAATAACAAATGTTGTAAGATATGGATTTTACTTCCTCAACACTTTACCGTGAGAGCTTTGAAATCTGACGGTCTTTCTTTTCCAGGGTTGGAGTAGGAGTGCTTGATCCACACGTTGGTCATACAGTCTACCACTTTGTCTAACTTCACAATTGCTTCTGTCGCTTCCATTTCCTTTCCAGTGTCACCAACATGAAAACCCTTCCAATTTGGTATGTACGCGAGTAATGCTGTGGTGCGATTTGCCACTGTTTCGTCACTACGAAACCATCCTTTAAATGTTTCCCACAAACCTTTATCCGAGTAAATGTAGCTGACTCCGTCGAATTGGTGCCACGTTTCTTAACCACCAAAATAAAACAGTTGAAATACATTATCATTAATGCTTTCTATGAAAGAGCAGGCAAAATTACGATAGAGGTACAATTTTAACCGTAGAAAATCCCTAGGAGAAGGTGTTGTAGTCCATTTCACCCTCTAATTACGATGTTGCAGCAATCCCTACATCATCACAACAGAGTCTTTTAATCTAATTTATCGGTCCTACAATTAAACTTCAAAAAGTGCTTTTGTTTAACGACCGTACACATGACCGAGACCCCCTTGTTAATTAGTCTATTACGATACGTAATATCAGCTTTCCACACACAGGCACAGTATAATAACGATTTGATGTCTGGGTCACCATAACGGTCACTATAATATCACGTAATATCAGCTTTCCACACACAGGCACAGTATAATAACGATTTGATGTCTGGGTCACCACAACGGTCACCATAGGAACAGATGAAATTAGTTGGTTTGGAGTATGAACTGACTGCCGAGACAAACTAGAGAGGGCACGTCGTCGGGAGCTGAACCTTGTAGAAAAAAGGCCGTGAGTGTAGTGGAGGTTCGACTGGAAAAAAATAAGAGAATTATGCCAATATCTCACCTCCCTGTTTCAAGTACTTGGAGGGAATGTATAAAAATCGATCAATTATGTCTCCACGAAAGCGTGGTTGAAACTCCACCAGCTCTTCCCATACAACGTTTCCCTTCTTGATTATCACGTACTTGTAACTGGTTCCTTTTTGTGCACGACTGACCGTAAGAGTGAACTGACCAGTGAAGTGCATAAGCTTTTTTCTGTCTTTATTTTTGTCCCACCTATATAATTATAAGAAGAACCACTAAGCTTTATGCATTGGTACTGAAATAGATCTTCCACTTCCAATAGCACATGAGTGCCACCGACTGGCTAAAACCGGCTAAAAAACAAGGTTATGAGCTTGTAGAGAGGATCCCGTTGATATTTAGAGCTTTCCAAACAAATTAGTCAATTTATAAAACGTTTCCTTTATTGACATAATTTTATTTTTATCAGGAGCTGATAAAAAATCGAAATCAGAGAAATTTGAAAACTCAGATTACGGTAATCATGACAATCAGTAAGTTGTGACCAAGTTACCTTACATGCTACACAGAACATCAATGAAATGCTAAGACGAAGTAAGCTTTTTATCGATATAAGTTCATTTTCTCCCACAAAAAGAAGACCGGGACCTACCACTCATATTTGTTTGAAACTTTGCAAAAGTATGGATCTTGACATGCTGATCGCAGTTAGATCAAAGAAGCGAGGGTCACTCGACTACATTTAGAGTAACAGGTACGTAATATCCTACATATAACAAAAGTGTCAGTCTCAGAAATGTGATCAGAAGGCAATATCTAATACACTTTGGTTATGTATTTTGTTGTCCCAACTCTGTGATGAAAAAAGAGAAGCTATTTGCGAAATCAAAGCGACCACACCAAAGGGACCCATAGATAAACATCTCGAAATTGCTGAACGTCTCATAGTTTGTGGAGTCATGTAAAAAAATGATATAACATACTGGAACATATCAAAACATTAAGTTATAATGACATACTGAACAAGTGAAAAGGAGCACGTAAGCAAAAGCTTACTTCGAAGCATTGATTGAACGACAATTCAATAATGCCAGAGAAAAAAATTTACTGATTGGAGGATCATACTAGAACTGGAACTGGAACTGGCGTGCACACTTAAGAGAAGAGCTAATATAACTTTAAGTATGCCTCGGATTAAAAAGGTTAGCACTAACGTCGATCGCTTGTGCCAAACTGGAGTTATCCTTATGCTCAAATTTTTTAGGTATCAATAATTGATCAGAGGAGTTCACCTAGATATAATATAAATTTAAACAAACTAACCTTACTAATTCCATGTCGACGCAGTTTATTTCGAAGTTTCCTAAGTCAGCTCCGCTTGCACGAATGTGCAAACTAACTTCCTCCATTTTAAAATTAGAGACCAACAATACATGGAAAACTACCGTGACCCCAACCTCTGGTTCCACCTGCTTCAGACTATAAATTGGCGTCGGAGAGGTTCTGTGAAAAGAAGTCCGCTGATTAGTAAATGGACCCTAAGGCTTGAAAGAAGTTAGAAAGATGCTTATTCTATGTTTCTTCCTATAAGCCAAGCACGTAGACCAAAGTATTTCTTCCTCATTTTCAACAATGTACTCATCAAGAATATTCTAGCTTACGTTGAAGGTTGATTGCTAGCCACGCTGGTTTTTCCTTCTTTCCTCTTTCCCTTGTCCTTTTTATTGGTTGCGGTGGTATTTGCTTGCGGATGAGTGTTATCTTTTTGGTACCAATATCCAGATCTTGTCTCATCTGTGGTCTGGCAAAAGAAATTGCATCAAATACTTACAACAAGCATGATAATATATAGATAATTTTGGCTAATCAACTAAGTTGATAAGCCCTTCGTCAAAGCGAATGGGGGAGTTGTGGGTTGTGTGTTTATAAGCACAAAATGGAGCTACGCTTTTAACAGCTCCATTTTCTGCATATAAACACACACACAACCCACAATCCCTTCATCCGCTATGACGCAGGGCTAACGCTCGAAAAGTCAGCTTTGAAAATCGTTACGGTGGCCAATTTACCTTATCAACTCAGTTGATAAAACCAAATTTATCTTGTCATACTCTCCCACCGACCCAGCACCAAAGTTTCTCTAGAAAAGTACCTCTCTATAATAAAAAATAGATGCCATTCTTGGTGTTAACATACCGCCACGCTAAGCTGTGTTAGACAGTAATGGGCAATTTACAGTGACAAGAAAGAATTTTATATTCTTCGTAAAGAAGAGGAGCTGGGTTATCTTGTTCACTCAGCCGATAGTCTTCAACATTTTTCCCTGACGTTCCAATCAGAAATCCATATGCTACCTTCTTATCTGCGCAAGATAATTCACTTTTAAGTAACCTCGTTGAATTTATTTTAACCTCAGCTCTTTCTTCGCCATCGCCTACGTTCCCTGCGCCTCCGAGAGGATCTTTTAAGACGATTTCTTTTCCTTCTGGTGGTGAATTGACATGGGTGACGGTCTCGACTTTTCCCCGGCCACCGTTCAGATTTTCATTTCCGCTCTTGGAGGATTGTGAGTTTTCACTTGAAGCCTTTGCATCTTCTTTCCCTTGCACCTACGTTTTTTAGAAAAAAGTAACATAATGAATCTTAGTCACGTAGTACAAAGATAATTTCTCTCAGCCAGTTTGGCATAGACATATTAGGAAAATACTAATTCGGCTTCATCCCATGAGAGTTGATCCTACCACAGAAATTGCAAAACAATGGATAGGGTTCTACAACCCCTGGAAAAAAGTGTTCCGTTTAAGATCGTAGAGCGAGCGTGGTAAACAGGGAGACATTTCTACCTCAACCGATTCGTTTCCGGTGTCTTTTTGAGATGCTGAATTGAAAGGGGATTGCACCTTGGATTGTTGAATATTTTCAGCGACGTTCCTGTCGGCCGTCTTAACTGCTTCTCTCTCGTTACCCTTTTGTTTTTCGCCAGCTGGAGTCACCAGGTCATCATCTGGTGATTTCTTTGACTTTATGACCTCTTTCTTTGTGTTATTTGTTCCAAAATCATTTTGACCCATACTCAACTTTGTATGAGGGCAGGCACTGCTGATTTTCACCATCATCTGAGTGTAAAATTAAAAAAATCACTAATCAAATAGGATTTATTGTTCAGAGAGCTCACCAGAGGGGACGGGGGGGAGGGGGGGGGGTAATCAAACTGCTTTGAAACATGTAATACTACTCCTGTATCTTCTCATCCTACCACAGAAATTGCAGAGCCACGGATAGGGTTCTACAACCCCTGGAAAAAAGTGTTCTTTAAATATTAGAGCGAGCACAGCGAACAGGGAAACATTTCCTACTCCAACCAATTTGTTTCCAGTGTCTTTTTGAGATGCTGAATTGAAAGGGAGTTGCACCTTGGATTGTTGAAAGTTTTCAGTGACGTTACTGTCGGTTGTAAGATCTGCTTCTCTCTCTTCTCTTCTCTTTAACTCCATGACCTCTTTCTTTGCGTTATTTACTCCATCATCACTTTCTGTCGGATCAGTATCAACGTCACCCTGTTTAAGCTCAGCTGGGCCTCTCACGCTTTCACCACTAGTTGTATTATCTTTCATGATGATTTTGCTGTCAACATTTCCTGCAGATCCTTCATGTAACGTCATTCTGTCGACAAAATCCAGCTTTGCGGCTGTTGGCTCAGCATTACCTGGTTTGTCCCCTGAACCCGACATTGCTATCTTCATGTGGGCGGAGGCGTCAGCCTTACGGGGCAGACCACTGTCACCCATAGAAATTGAGGCTGTCGGCGAATGGGAAGTTGATGAGGAGTTCGCTGAATGAAGATGGCTTTCTGGTGACTTATTCTGTCTCTCCGCCGATCGATCGACTTGGGAGGAGCCACCCTCGATGTCTAGATGACCCGTGTGAATTGTGGGCTGTGCTTGTTGACTCATCAGGGTCCCATGCTCATCTCTGTATGAAAGCAGGCACTGTTGATTTTGACCATCACCTGAGTGCAAAAAATAAGAAAAAACAATTCAAAAACCTACTTAAATGGGATTTAGTTTTTCAGATAGCTCACCAGAGGGGGGGTTATCAAACTGCTTCGAAACAGGTTAACAAAAGATGTTTTTATCCGCAACATGTAGCTTTCAGTCAATTACAAGAGAGTAAAAGTGTAGAAGGTTAACATCATACATCCACTTTGAGGAAATTATTGGTAAGCAGCAAAAAAGCAAAAAAAAAAAAGAAATAAATTTCAAGGGCACACATGATCAACTCATGAATGTGTGGAATAAATTCATGTTTTATTCATTGTTCCTCTCTGATACTTGTCAGAACAAAAAAAAAATATGAGAATGCAAGTTTTGTCAATGATGGTATTTTTGTCAATGATGGCATTTTCCACGTTATCAAGTCAGCGACTTTCCAGGCATTTCTTTGATCCTTGAGATAGGTACTAAATGTGCATATTTCAGACATATAAGTGTCTGATTAAGTAGTGCTCATCACTGCAAAGATCACTTTAATCTTCCTTAATTAACCAGCAGCTCAAATATATGATATTCAAATATTCACAGTCATTAATCAGTCACTTCATATGTGTGTAAACAGAGTAAGATCTTTCTTATGCTTTATTGCTCCATTTCATCTCGAGTCTCACAATTTACCATCTTTCATATTCTGTTTAGGAGTATATCATAATCTGAACATAGCATTGCATGAACTGAAGAAGAGCAAATATCAATTTCTAGTATTTTTGTCTATTTGCAATAACATGCTCTTTGAGTACATGAAGTGGGTATCCCCACAGTATCACATACAATGTCCATATTGGGAAAGATGTTTTGTCTTGCCATAAACGTGGTAAAAAGAAAAAAATTAAAACCCCATGAGACCCTAGACCTTTGGGTTCCAAGCCCCAACACTCCACCTCTAAGCCACAGAGACTCCATGGGCTAGGCCATTTATATTTTGCACATAAGTCTTTGCCACCAAGTACTGTCTACTTTTGACAAAGACAGGGAAGGAGAGACAAAATGAATTCTTACGACAACTGTCACCACACATACGCTAACTCACCCCCATGTAAGCCAACATCTTCTACAGATGAATAAAATTGATCTCCCGCAAACTCCACCAGTAAAACATGAGATCAAATTTCTAACTATCAAATAAGTGCCATTATCAAAATTCTATCACATGAACTGTGAGAAATTCCATTTTTCAACAGAGTCATCAAACTTGGTCTGATTTTCTGTGATATCATCACTGTTACTACCTTAGCTACCCTTGTATAGGATTTAAACCTGGAACTAACCAACCAAACGGGTAAAATGGAGTTAGTCCTACTGCAAAAGGGGTGAATTTGTTTAGTAATGGTACTTTTCAGCGCCATACTCTCATGCATTCAACTCGATTAGTTCGAACTTCAGGAAATGGTTTGTCACACAAAACATGGAGGCATTTCTCTTCGTTCAACATCTCAAGGCGTACTTACTACTAAGGTTAAGATGAACATGCTTATGGTATGATAATTTTTTCCTGGAAAAGAAATGTTTTGGCTGGAAATTGGAGAATCAATCTCTGAAATTGAAAAATAGAAATCTTTCAAGTAAGATTACACAATGGGATATAACTCTGCCAAGATCAGTGTCTGAGCATGTGAGCGCTTTCGAATCTGTCGCCTTTAGCCAATTTTCTTTTGGTCGACCTCTGTAAATTTACTCAGATAAGAGTCACTGTCAGTCTCGTTCAATCTTACTGTGCACTGAGCTTGTGAAAGATGATAACCTCTGTATTTTTTTTAGTAAAGAAAGGAAAGCCTGCCTTCTTATCAGATACTTCTTTTGTGCATGAACAAATTGCTATTTTTTAAGCACTCTCTTAAATTTAAAAGTTATGACAGACCCAGGGCTGTGGTTTGCTATCAATTCTCCATCATTATTTTCTTGTAAAACAATGATTTTTCCCATTATTCCAGGTAGTCTAACCTTATAAATTATTGGTGGAAATTTCTTGATCCTGTCATCATATGAAAGTTTGACTCAATTTTACCTCACTAACCTAAACTGCATTCAAGCACATGCACTTTAAACATTCATACCAGGATTATAAATACTTCCACTGACTTTCCTATATGTGCCATACAGGGACAAGCAGCTGTTGAAAAAAGTTTGTCAAGCTTTTTCATTAGTACACATTTATTTTTCTAAGAATCTTGTGGATCTGGCCTATGCTTAATTCTAATTTTTCAACCAAATTATATATTATTATGAATATTCTTAGATTCCTAGTATCAGTTAATATTCATGCAGTTAAAATAATTACATGAAATCTTGCAGAGGTGTTTCCCTGACTAATTGTTTTGTAATGGTGTTTAAAAGTTGTGGAAAATGGTTTGGTTGAAATATAATACAAAGGCCAATAGATAGTTAAATGAAACCTTTATCATGTTGCAACAACTCCACTGTCCAGTAAATGCAGAGAAAATACCATCTAAAACCTTTCAACCTATTTAATATAGCCAGTAACAATATATCAAGTCAACTTCTGCACTAAAGAGAAAACTTATTTGATGTTTGGAATTGATTTCTGCAATATACAAATGAAATCCAGGTATTATCTAAAGTTCTCTACAAAAAATGTCTTCATGATCAAATTCAAAGTAATCAAGTTTTAATTATGATATTCTAGTTCTAGCTAGTCTTCCTTAAAATCAAACTTTCACAACACAAGAAAAAATGTTAGACAAATTAAATATATTTCATTAGCTGGAGTTGCTTGGATCATAGACAGTTGCTTAAAGACACCTACATTATATGCAGTTACAACTGAGGTTGCTGAATTAAATAACAGAAAAAAATCTCCAAGAGATGCTGTGTATTCCAAGCCAGAGGACAATCATGAAACAAGAATTCCCAAAATAGAAAAAGTAAAAAAAATAACAGGTTTAAACACAGGTTGAAAATGAATTTTCTTTTCAATTTTCTATGCTTATCACAGGAGGTTGAAACGTTAGGGAAAAATGGTGGGGCAAGCAGTTGTCTGGCAATGCTGAAGGGAAAGGTGTAAATAGCTTAAGAAAGAAAACTTTGCTGCTCCTGCACCTCGCAGGAATGGAGGTAGAGGATATTTTTGAAGATATTTTTGACTCAGAACTAGAGAGAGATCAAGATCTGTACACAGTGTGTTTTAGGAAGCTTAATTATCATTTCCTGTGCGAAGAAATATTCCATTTGAGCACCACTTGTATTGACAATTGGTGCCAATTGATGATGAACCAGTTGACAAGTTTTTCATCTGCCTTTGTCAACAGGCAAGGCATTGTAATTTTGGCGATTCTCTTGACAACAATCTACTTGAAATAGTAGAACTATTTCAGGTAAAAATTTCTGCAAAGCCCCATCCTACATTATGCATTCAGTTCTTGGATAGAGAAAACAATGACGAAAACAACACATTGCCATTGGGAAAACAAATTTGTTTTAAAATAGCATGGGGCTGTGCAGAAATTTTTATTCTAACTAGTTCTTCCTTTTAACGGTATTTTTGCTTGATAATTTAAATGTAAAGTATTTTACAAGGAAGCCATTTCAGTGCAACTCTCGAACTGTGAGGCGGTCAGACCGCGCGTTGTTTTCCTTTGAAAGATAATAAAGATATGTTTATCTATGAGTTCTGTTCGCTTATGAATCTCGGTATGTACAAAATAAATAAGTCATTTCACGGTTAGTTCGCTTGTACTAATTTTATTCACTCGTTGTGAATAAAAATCGTCCGCGCTCACCAACCGTGAAATAATCAATAAATGTGTTACGATTGAGTGCTTCCGGGAGTGGTTTATTATCTGAATAAATTATCACAAGGAAATAATCACTTTGAACCACTTTCACTTTTGAAGAACTCGGAATAATGCATCATTGAGATCAATAATTAAACTTTGCTTGTCGATAAAATAGAAAGAGGGAAATCTTTCAGTAAATACATTCAAGCTAAATAAGCTTAAGTCATGTTTCAAATGCCATGTTTTAAATGTACAAATAACCAAATTGTTTCCCCCAAGCGGACCGTTCGCCATAAATTAATCATCTCAGGCCAGACGAAGTCCTAATCAGATCATGGAATGTGTTGAATTTGAACAAGATTTCGAAGAAAAGTCTTATTTACCATCCATGATGGCACAATTTACCTTCAACGTGTCCTTTCCCGTCCCCAAAGTCGTGTCCTCTTGCCGAAGCATCGCTTCGCGGCTGCTCTCCCGTTGAATTTGGAACAATCTTACCCTGGCCATGTGGATTACTCTGACCAGGCTGCAGACAAAAACAACATTCTGGGCACCATTTAAAAGTCTCTTTCAAGTCTGGAAGTCCACAGTTTGGGCACTGCATCGCTAGAAACTACGGCCATATGTTACGCATACCAGCGACACTTCAAGATTGCGTCAATCCCTCGAACCGAGTGTTTCTTAGAAGCGGCGGCGCAGGTCGAGTTCTTAGAATGTAACCGGAAGTGGTAGGTCACAGTTGCTAGGAGCATGCCGGGCTTCTCAAACACAAAGGTGAAAAATAGAAACCCTTGTGTAACACGATAAGAAACTTAGCGATATTTTACAACAAGTTGGAGGGGGAGATCAAGGACTCCCTCTTCTGAGCGATACTTACGAGTTTTCAGATGAAAGACTAACGGAAAGAGAAAATGAAACTACTGACAACAGTAACCTCACTTCTACTTTCAACTTTTTTAAAGTGGTATTCAATATTGTTTACTTCCGTTCATCTCTATGCACCTTTTATTCACTCTTTCGTTTATATGCACCTGTTTTCAAAAACTTTGCAAATTTGAAAATATGTATTATATATATACATTTTATTTTCTCATCAAAAAGAGAAAATAAAAGATATTTATAATTAATATATATTTAAAATGTTGCAATGTTTTTGAAAACGGTTATATATACCCGTTTTCACAAACGTTGCGATTTGAAAATACATATTAAATATATATATATGTCTTTTGTTTACTAATCAAAAAAAGGGATGAGATCAAACGATGCATGTATATTTCTCATCAAAGAATCAACATCTTTTTTTTATCTTTTGCGAACCCTGTGCAATTGAATTTTTTGAATGTACGTTTGTTTTGGGGGTCATTCATCACCCTAACTACTATTTCACGAGTCTACTCGTCAACTCAAACAGGGGCGGATCCTGGAATTTTTGATTTGGGGGGGGTCCAAACTTTGGTTCAGAAAGGACTGTTGGACTTTTCTTAGGAAAGGTTGCAGTTATTCATCGTGGTGAATAACAATAAAAGCTAAGTTTTTCGTTTGTCTCACGATGCAGTCACGTGTGATGTAGATCGCGACGTTTGGACTGCATGTTGTTAGTCTTCTTCAGGCGATGGGGTCGACTGGTCATACGTGATCTTATAAAGCATGATGCTCTGGTGTGATTAGTTGTTTTTCAACAGCTCTGATTGGTGCATTTCGATCCTTGCTGATCAGTGATTTGCTCCCTCGGCGATCCGCTGTCTCACGGCTCTCCTGTTGTTGTGTTTTTTGATCGTGGGCATAGAAGACTGTCATGCTTCACCATGATGGAACCAGATGGGAACCAAGGAAAAAAGAACCAAGGAAAAAATTTCGGCCCCAGCCCTTTTGTCTTCGCTGAATCTTGAACTAATTTCTTCTAATAAATGATCCATAAAAGGAATGGCAACGTTAACACGATTATGCGGATTCCGGGCTCCCGCTAGGTGCATTGCTCCTATGTTCCTGCCTCCCATTGTTCCTATGTTCCTACCTCCCAGTGATTCTTGGCATTGACATAACATTCATGCCTTTCCACCCATCAGGTTTTGCATAAGCCTTTTAACTTCTCCTTTCTGGAAGTAGAACCACACTTCTCTAAAACTTGTTCTAGAAATCGCTGTCTTTTAGATGAAAAATGAAAGAGGAAAGTTTCATGTAAGGTTCCAATCATGTTTCTGACTGAAGTTAACCTGCGTGCGGCTACAACACTGAGATTCAAAACGTGACTGTTGCAATGAGTGTACGGTGCCATCGGTGCTATTCTCCTTATTCTGCCTTGCACACCACATGCTTCTGAGGACATGGCACTGGCACCATCATAGGCCTGTCCTCTTGCAAACGCCACATCGATGTTGTTCTCGGTCAAACTTAACAAAATAGCTAAAGGGGTAAGTTTCTAAAGAAACTGTAGTGCTGCGTCGGTGGGAGAGTATAGCAGGTAATTTAGTGTTAACAACTGAATTGAGAACGTAAATTAGCCACCGTAAAGGGTAAAAAAGCTGACGTTTCGAGCGAGCTAACGCTCGAAACGTCAGCTTTTTTACCCTTTACGGTGGCTAATTTACGTTTTTAACTCAGTTGTTAACACTAAATTACCTGCTCGACAAAATAGCGTTTGCTGTGCTCTCACCAGTTGTTTTGTCAAAAAATACTTCTTCGATTTTAGGGGAACCTTGGTGGTTAAGATCTAAAAACCTAAGGCAAACACTTCATATTTTTTTTGTTTTGCGTAATTATCTGTTACCTCATCGCCAATGATTGAGAAAAAAGCGTCTTTCTTCTGAATCGGCTGTGTAACTTTCGTCCGAATATACTCTCCAGTGATGCGAATAACTTCCTCTTGTACAGTTTTTGAGGTGTTTGTAACATTTCTCCTACCAATAAGTGTTCTTGAAGATTTTTATCAGAGTTGCCCAATAGCATAAGAATGGCATGAAAGTTGCCTTTGTTGGATGCCGTGCTTGTGCTGTCATCTCGATGGCCTCTAAGAGAGATGTTCTGTTTGCCACACAATATTATAGTACTTATGATTTCTCTAAGTGCGTTCATGTTTTTTTCAAACATCTCTTGGTTTTGCGTGGAAATCCTGTATGGCAAGGTTTCCTTTGGTTTTTTAACACTTCAGATTATGGCAATGCCGGCTTCAAGTGCCAACTGGTCACATTGCATTTTCTGATGACGCTCAAGTACCCCATCTTTCCCAGTGGCTTTTTCTAGATTTTGGAATGGAGCTGTTACTAGAGGCCTTTTCTGTGTTTGAGGATCTGATGGATTATTATGCATCACACAATATTTGCAAAAACCTCCCATTTGTGAAGAACTATATACAAGCCACGTATACTTTTCCAACCATGAGGGCTGGAACACAAGCTTCTTGGTATGTTTGTCTTTTCCCTTAACCACAGTCTTGGAGAAAAAGCCTGTGTATGAAGCAGGCGGAGTGAAATGGTTCTTAAGGTATTTAATTTTTTCGTGGGACTGAAGAGTTCCTGGATCAACTTTGCCACTTACGATGTCCCCGACATCAAAGTAGGATACAACATCCTGATCAGTGGAAGAAAATTGAGAAACACCTATAAACCAAGGAAGTCGTTTATTTATAAATCGTCAAATTAATTTTTAACAGACTGTGATATGAAAACTGAACACTGACAAGCTAAATGTTTACTTTATCTGATAAATGTGTCTTAACTGAGTCAACGTACTGCACCCTTTAATTAAGCATTGTTGACAGTGATATCAAATTCGCTTGCTAAGGATAAAAATTCTGATCGATTTACTATATTAAGTTGAGAACGGCCTGGGAAAGCTTGCAAAGTGTTTTACACATTTCTCTAAGTGACTTTATAATAAAGTTCGGATACAACGCGCGCTGTCATTGGTTGAAAGAGCGTGCTCTATGAGAGTACAGAGCATAGAGCTGAGCTAAAGCTGTCACGCCATCTGACAAATTGTACTACGTTCGACCTTTTACGGGACTTCTTTTTAACTTTTTTCCGATAATTGAAAGTGAAATTTCGGAACAAGCGAGCCGGCAAGTAGCAAACAAAGGTTTGTAAACATACCAGGCGCCGTAATTTACGTTATTAAAACGTGAGCAGATACGAAAATCCTCAAAGGAAAAACAAAATAGACATTCCGAGTTTTAAAGATTTTCACGCTCAGTTAGATTGCAAGCTTACTTACGGTAATAAAAATCAAATACAGCTAACACTCGTATAGTATATAAAGTACAGTGTTCTAAAACAAAACAGAACAAAACAGAAATGATGAAAAATATAACCAAACTGGCATAACTGTTAAAATTCATACTAATCATGACGGTGTTTGAGCGAATATGATCGTGCTGAATTCCATCGCGGCTCGCTCATCATGGCGATCTCCGATCATCACAGTAGAGCAAGCCTCAGAAACTACATCAGCCGCCCTTCGAGTGAAAAAAAAGAGCTTGCTCTGATATCCTTTCCGATGCGTTGGGTGGAAAGTCACATCAGTCACTGCAGCCGAGTTTTGCGGCGCTGTCATCCCGTGAAATTTCTGAAACCCCGTGCATGCTTTATGATTGTCTTGAACAGTTGATTTTCTACCTTAAATGTGAAATGCCCCATTTTTCATGAACCAAACATTGGTGAAGTTCACTGAACATGTCACTTTCAGAGATTCTGTCTCCATCTTCTAAAACCTCAGGAAAAGTGTTAAAGACTTGTTTATTTTCTTTTTAAGACTAAAAACTTTGAATACGACACTTTTAGAAGCTTTCATCTGATAACGATCTGATGATAAGAAAAATTTAAAATTGTCAAATTATGCTTATATAAAGCTTTGTCGAAAACTGAAAATTAATTTAAAACAAAGATGATACTGTGTCTGTTCTGTATGAAGACTTAGGAAAGAAATGCTTTGAAAAGATTGGGGAAATAGATTGTTCTTTCGATGACAAAACTTAGCTGATCGTCGTGTTCTTTGACCAAACCAAAAATAATAGAAATCATGAGAAATTAAAGAGGATTTCCACTGTCGGGAAAATTTTACGACACGTCAACGGGTACAGACTTTAAGAGCTCACCCTCGTGAATAACGTCCCTGGAAACTAGGAGTTGAACCACATTAAATTTTTCCGCAAACGCAAATCGGGGATATGTCCTTTTTCATTTATTTTCTATTTTATTTCGTTTTTGGACGCGGTTTTTACAAGAAGGTCTGAGACAAATGAAATGCACGTTTGACAAACATAGACTGTTAAAGCAAGCATGAGCTGAGATTGTACAAAATGCCCTTGTTTCGATGTTTCGTGACATCAAAATAGGCTAAAACATTTTCGAAAAACGTGCACAAGAATATGATTGTCTTAAATAATAACAAGGTAAATATGATGCTGATATTCATCTTACAAAGGCAAACATTGGTCCTAAACATGTCATTTGTTCAGAAACGTCAGTAAAATAAGTTAAAATGTATTTTAATACCGAGTTCTTCTCAGACGCCGGGTCTGTAAATAATTGGCTGCGTCGGTTTTGTTTTCCTCAGGCTTGTTTAGATATCTAATTTACGTACCCTAGCCAAAAAAAAAAAACGAAT